AGGCAAAAATATAGCGTGAATTAATTAAACAGTAACAGAAATATATAGATAGCCTTAGAAAAAAACTAAAAAAATATTTTTAATAAATAATTAAAATACAGAAAAAATACTATAATTATTATTATAAACTAGTAATATTTTAGGTTAATAATAAGGTTTTATTTAGTAAAAAAAACTTATTAATATAAAGGCTGTCTAAAAAGTTAAATAATAAATATATTAGATTATTTAAAGTTATAAAACCTATTAAAAAATAAGCTTACTAACTATGTTTGTCTAAACTATAAAAATAGATTTACTTAATTTTTTATATTTTTTTTTTTAAAACTATAGATTTAGCAAACTAGTAGTAGAATATCTGCAGTCTAAAAACCTATTAAAATTAATAGTTAAAATAAGTAAAAAATAAAGAAGATTATCGCGTATTAAAATTAACAAAAAAAAATTTAATATTTTATTAAATAATCTGAGTTCCCTGATTATAAAAATATATAAGAATTTATAAATAACTTAGTAAACACCTTAGAGGCCCTAGATATATATAAGAATTTAGGATTTTATTATTTTTCTTGAAAACAGAAATAATATTTTTTTTTATAAAATTTTTTATTTTTCTAATAGAAAATAGATCTCTGGTAATCCGCTTGTAGGATAATAATATATTTTTTTTTTATCTTATAAGATTAAAAATTTTAATAGTATATTAAAGGCTACAAGTCAGTGATAAAATATAAAAAAAAATAACCTGAAGGCCTGTTTTTATTTAATATAAAAAAAAAGAACTTCTTGCCCTTATTAGGTTTTATCTAGTATTTTATTATTTCTAATTATAAATATTATTTTTTTTTATACTAGGTCAAGATAAAACAAACCTAGCGCCCTTTATTATAGCTGTATAAAGCAAAATATATTATAATTTAAGAATTAATATATCTGAAGTATTTTATTTTTAACACTTTAGTAATAGCGCTTAAAGAACTTTATAATTATAATAAACTATTTATATATTTTTATTAAATTTTTATTTCTACAGGCAGTTTATATTTTACTTATCTTTTTTTATAAAGGAACAAAAACAGGCTTGTAAGGATATTTTATAGTTATATAATATTTATATATTTTAGTAGTGTATAATTAAATATATATTACTTACGGTTTTAACCCTAGCGCCTTTATATATTAAAGATACTAGACTAAAATAAATACAGCTTTAGGGGGCTCCAGGATAGAGTAAAATAATAATATAAAATAATCCTAATCTTTAAGAGAGGCCGGAAAAAATTAAAAAAATAAATAATAACTAATTTAGGGGGATTTTTTGTCCGGGACTTTAATAATATCCTCTTAAATATCCTATACAAAACCAGAAATATTACTCTTTAATAATAGAAAAAATATATTAAAATACCTTAAATTTTTATTAAGAAAAATAACAGGATAATTATTCTTAAAAAAACGGGATAAAAATAATATAAGATTTAAAAAAAAAATCTTATATTTTTTAAAGCTTTTATATCCTAGCTATTCTTATTATAATATAAATTTAAGAATATATAAGATTTATTTTTCTATTTAAATATCCTTTCTCTTACAGGATTAAATATATTAATAAGAGTTATAATCTATAAAAAAATTAATATTCTATTTATTTTTTTATACAGGATAACAGTATACTGAAGCTAATAATCTCTCGGGCTTAAAAAATAGTTTATTATCTAAAAATAACTCTAGGGCGCGGGCTAATAGGTCCTTATTAATAATAAGGCCCTTAATAGCAGCCTGGGTAATAACAGCCTTAGTAGTATAGCGGGTATCTCTGATATGCTATAAAAGATCCTATATAAATAAAGGATCTTTCTAACAGAGAAAAGAGTTATTTTATTAGTTTTAATAATACTCTTATAAGTTAGCCGCTCGGCGGTAGTAACTTTATTTTTTTTAAAAAAATAATAGCCGGCTAGCTTAATAGTATTCTTTAGTTTCTTAAAAGCCTACACGCACTTAAAATTAGCCTTATACTAGTCTAGCCTGTATACCGCAGGACTCCCGCCAGGATTTAAAAAAAAAAAACTTATAGAGGTGGCAGAGGAACCTTCTTTTAAAAAAAAAATAAAATAAATATATTTTTGCCCTGTTAGGGCTATAATAATATTAAATAATAAAAAAAATAAAAAAACTAGCTAAAAAATTAATTTTTATATAAATTAATATAAAATCTATTACCAGGGCAGCACAGAATCTTATAATTAATTTTTTTTAATATGGGAAATAAACGCGAGAATTTAAAAAAAAAAGTTTAATTTTATTAAATCTATTTATATTATTTATATTTACAGGGGGGTATTAGGTGGCCTTAGATACCTATAAAGTACCTAACTATCTTAATTTCCATACGGCGAATTAACCCCTTATTAAATAATTAAAATTATAACGGCTATAGATAAGCTACGGAAATAATTTTAAGTATAAAATAATTTTTAAAATAAAATAAAATAATTTTACTTTATATAAGAATACTAAGGCAGAAGCGCAGGACGTTATACTAAATATCTAAGAATAGCTACTTTATTAAAAGGGACATATTTATTACCAGTACTTATCTCAGCACAAAACACAAAATAACTAGACTATTAGAGGTCCGCAGGATTACCAAGGCATTCGGGAACTAATTCCCGCGAAACCCTTTATTAAAAAAAACCACCCGCTTAACCCTTAGGAGGTCAAGCAATTAATTCTATTTATTATATACCCATCCCTTAACTCCTTGTATCTCTCAGCGCGTAGCAGGCGGTCCGCAGGCGTATCGCAGGCGTCCCGAACTCCTCGGTACATCCATCTAAGGGAACCAAGTGCCCGGAACAGAACCTTCGTGGCTGCCCCTTACAATAGAAGTTAACTAAATCAGACAGGTAAATAATTTACTGTAATAGTGAATAGATAAGTAATTAATTAATTCGCGTGTATGTGAATTTAATTAATAAATTAATAAAATAATTCAAATTAATCAAACACTTCAGACAGGTGAAATAAAACACTTAAAGTGAGTATACAGGTTAAATAAATTAAATTAACATAAATAGTAAATAGTTCACTGTAGTAGTGAGTAATCAAATAATTAATTTATATATGGGTTAAATTTAATCAAACAAATAAATAATTAATTCAGGTATAGGTGTGAATTCGATCAAACATATATGAATTTAATCAGACAGGTAAATGATTAATTCACGTGTATGCATAAATAATAAGAACAAAGGGCTAGACCGGGCTCATAACTGTCAGATAAAATACTAACCCGGGCTCATAACTGTCAGATGGGGTAGGTAGATCACATGGGTTAAATAGAAATTTTAAATAGCTTAATAAAATAAAGAAAATCAATCAGTCAGATAAAGTAAACAGTTTACCTGGACCACCTAGATCTGAAATAGATAGACCAGAGCTCCTACCATTCGCTATACATGTAAATAGGTGAAATTGATTGAATAAATGAATAAAATTTAATTAAATGAATTAAGTGGGTAAATTAACTTAATAAAAAGAATAAATTAATACAGGTTATTAACTACATATTTATAAACAATTAAATTAGGGCTAATTTAATCTGGCCCTAAGTAAACATCATAAACATAAAATTATTAGATCTTTTTAGGCCTTTATCTATAAGTTATATTATTAATCTAGGCCTTCAAGATCAACCTTATAAATCATTATTAGATTAATATTTAATTATTTAAATAATTAAATAATCAAGATTTCATAATCAGAATAATCAGAACAATCAAGATTTAACATATAAATCATAATAAAATTATTTAAATAATATCAGAATAACCAGGATAGTAATATTTACTTTATGGCTTATAAAATAAATAAGCAAGACATTCTGGACCTTTTGTATTGATTATCTGAACAAAGCTATTAATCACAGTGGTTAAAATAAACTTTTAATTTTCTTAATAGGAAATTTATCGAATTATGTTTTCTGACTTCCATAGGATTCTAGCGACCGGTGATTTTCTAATTAGGAAGGTAAGCTAGTCTAAAATAGGAAATTCTTCAGAGATTTTTCTTTTTCATTTTTTGCTCACATTGAGCTCAGTTTTACCTTACTTTTCCCATATAATTTGGTGGTGGAAGTGAGAGTTCAATAAAGTGAAAGTAAAGTCGTAGTGAATTTTGAATAATTTCGGTTGTGGGGCGAGATCAGGTGATTCTGATGAATCAGGTGATGTCAGGTGACCCCAATTGACAATATAAAATAAATAAAATTAATTACTTAATTTCCTAAGAGTCAAGTAGTTAGTCTCTTTAAATAAGGGGTTTCCTGTATATAATCTTATCACAGGAGTTGGTTCCTGAATACCTTAGTAACCCTGTGGACTTCTGGCAGTCTGGTTGTTCTGTGTTCTGCGCTGACATAAGCACCGGTGACAATTAATCTTTAAAATAAAATAAAAAATTTTACTTTATATAAAAATATTAAAGTAAAAATACAAAATATTATATTAACTATTTAAAAATAATTATTTTAGTATAAAATATAAAATAACTAGACTATTAGAGATTTATAAAATTACTAAAATATTTAAAAATTAATTTTTATAATAATATTATATATAGAAAACCTTTTATTTAAAAAGATTACCTGCTTAACCCTTAAAAAATTAAATAATTAATTTTATTTTATATTTGTCTCTTAACTTCTTATATCTCTTAGTGTGTAGTAGGCAGTCTATAGGCGTATCACAGGCGTCCTGAACTCCTCAGTACATCCATCTAAGGGATCCAAGTGCCCGAACTAGAACCTTTGTGGCTGCCCCTTACAGTTACATACTGGGCACGTAACTACCCCCCCGGCGTCTGGTCCCTTACAAGGTGGCCAGGGTGGGCGACTCGCCCGGGAAATACGTTGTTAGACCTGCTTGCTTAGTCAAATCCTGTAACATCCGCGTTAAACCACCAATTCTAGGCTTTCTTTTAATTTTCCGCCGCAGCAACATTATTACGCTACTCTGGGAAAATGAAAATGTTTCCTTAAAAAAAAAGCACCCTAACAAGAACTTATTTTCTTCTGCTCAACTTAATACATTCGCCCTCTGTTTTTAGCATAGTGTCCAAGTCGTTCCAAACATGCAATCATAAAATATAGCACTGGGCACCTCCATGACTAGTGCGCTCTCCCATCTAATGATTCGAGGAGTTACTCCCCTTTCTCATTCTCATCTGTTTTGGTGCCCAAGTCACATTCTAGAGTTCTTATAATAAGAATCTACCGCCATCGCCTACATACAAAGCAACTGGTAAAACGTTACCATCACCAACATATCTGCATAATCCAAGAGGCTTGCGTTGAATGCAACTGAAATTATTGTCTGGGTTCATTTTTTTTGGCGTCCTGTCCGCGCTCCAGAAAAATGAGCCTAGACCGTCATAAGCCTGCTTCCACAGATGAGACGAATCGTCCACCGGATGACAAGCCACCTATTCGCTCTCAATTTCCCTCTTCACCTGATGTTATGAAGGTAGGAGAGCCGTCCCTTTAAGACACATATCCGATCCTCATTACCCCTAGGGAAGAGGCCCCGACGACACGACTCCATTTCTCGTTGATCTCAAGCGTAGGATATCCGAACCTGTGGTCGCGGCGTTTGTTGCCGGAGGCGTCGCAGGTGCCGTGTCTAGGACGATCGTGTCACCTCTCGAGCGCCTTAAAATCCTACTCCAAATCCAGACAGTCGGCAGAGAAGAGTACAGGCTTTCTATATGGAAAGCCCTGGTTAAAATAGGCAAGGAAGAGGGGTGGAAGGGGTATATGCGAGGGAACGGCACGAATTGCATCCGCATCATCCCCTATTCTGCTGTCCAATTTGGCAGTTATAACTTCTATAAAAGAGTACGTGCATTGGATTCCTATTCAAAAACTAGTCACTTGCTAGCCCGGTATGCCTTGGTCGGGGGGCAAATCATTGTGATTGTCCCTGCGAAAGCTAATTATTTCAGTTTGCTGAGCCCCATCCGGGTAGTGACCTGTCCCCAATGCGTCGTCTTATTTGCGGGGGCGCTGCTGGTATCACATCAGTAACTATCACTTACCCCCTGGATATTGTTCGAACGAGGCTCTCCATTCAATCGGCATCATTTGCGGCGCTTGGGCACCGGGGAACCAGTGACCGGCTTCCTGGCATGTTTCGAACCATGGTTTTAATATATAGGAACGAAGGAGGTATTGTGGCGCTTTATCGCGGTATAACCCCGACAGTTGCCGGTGTCGCCCCATATGTACGTCCCCCTATCATGGTGTTCATCATTGACTAAACCGGAGCAGGTTGGTTTAAACTTCATGACATATGAGTCCGTTCGGTCATTCTTAACCCCAGAGGGAGAGAAAACACCCAGCTCCATGCGTAAATTACTCGCTGGTGCCATCTCAGGGGCAGTGGCTCAGACATGCACATATCCCTTGTAAGATATAGCCTGTGCTGCCAATCATATCTATGCCCACCATATTGACCTGATTCCAGCGATGTCCTCCGACGGCGTTTCCAAATCAACACAATGTCCGGGCTCGGCTATAAATACAAGTCTATCTGGGATGCAGTAAGGGTCATCATAGCGGAGGAAGGACCCCGTGGACTTTTCAAGGGAATTGTGCCTAATTTGCTCAAAGTGGCACCTAGCATGGCCAGCAGTTGGCTAAGCTTTGAGCTAACGCGCGACTTCCTTGTATCCCTAGATGATTACTGATATTGCAGATTGGAAGTTGTGTATATCATTTGTATGTACCATCAGACCGGCAGGTAGTGATGAAAAGTGTCAACATCATAACGTGTCATAACCATCCATCGTCGACTCCGCCTTCTTAGATCCGGCCCTTATATAGTCTCTGGGCATTTTTTAAGGTGATAAGTTAGTTGGCCAAGCTACTAGTGATTGTAAGCTTAGGAGCCCTTGTCGGACAACCTGTGATATGAAATTTCGAGAACGACGGGAAGAAAGCAACCGATATTGACGGCTTTATATTAGTCTCGGTGGGTATGATAGTCGTACAATTGAACCGCAATATTGGAGAGCCCTAACTATGGTAAGTAGAAGGCACTCTAAATAATTGTGTCCGGTTCATTAAGTCGCGGCTTCAAAGTAAGTGGGAATAATGTATAAGTCCTCCTGAGGTGATACAAAATCGAAGCGTACTAGTAGGCTAGGTACTACTGATCAGGAAGCCTTCATCCCAGGGTGGGTCACAAATTACGGAACTTCCGCGCCTCAGTGTTTTGATTCGCGGGAGCGGCGGCAAAGTGCAGGAATGCAGATTAATCGACCCCGCCTCAAAGTTGATATGATCTTACTTCGTAGTTTGTGATATACTACTCTGTCGTCAAGTCAATGACTCCCGGATATTTGCGAATTAGTAGTCCGTAGAGATAAACTACCCTGGGCTGAGCGTACTGCGTATAGAGATCCAGTCTCTGATTCTTTGTCCCGATATTACCAGACATGATTGAGCCTTATCTAGGTAGTCTGTCTACGCAGTAGAATCTGACCTGCTTCCTGCAATGCTACTCCGTATATTCTGTGCCTTTGCTCCCCCCTCCTCCCAATCGATGCTGGCGGAAAAAGATTGATGTGGACCGGTGGAACCTTCCGTGACCTAGAGTTCTGCCGGATATACGTCGTTGCAGACTCTCTTCTTGCCAATCGTCTTAGAAACATGTGCTTGTCATAACAGGTTTTCAGGAACCCCTAGTGGTAATCAAACTGCGTGTCTGCTCCGTAATAGAGTTGGAATTCTATAGGGTATCTGGGTAACGTAAGTAGGTGGCAGGTACCTGTAGATAGTGTGTCAGGTACGGTACAGTACCACAGTACGCAGTAGGGAGTTCACGGCCGTCCGTGACGGAAGGCGGTGGACAGGAATTCTCTGCTCGAGAACTTTTTGGGCAGTACTCCGTCCGTATTACAAAGAACAAAGTAGAGACGCTGGTTCCACATTTGTTTTAGGTTAGGGCTCAACCCGCACACACCGTCCATCTGAAATTTGTAGACTGAAAACCTCACCAGCTTCACTTTGCATACGGGTGCGACAGCTAGCCAACTCCCAGGTGTCCCGTGAGATTCAGCAGCAATGGGTATGTCCGCAAATGGTCCTTTTTATCATCTGAAGCCGATTGTCAATTGGATTCGAAAAAAATTCGCAACATATTGAATTTTGAGCGTGCCTACATTGTCTCTTTACTGACGCGCAACATAATAGGTATCGACTTGGATCGCCACCATGTGCGCAGCACCCATCGCAAGGCGCCTAAGAGCGAGAACGTGTACTTGCAGGTTCTGGTGAAGCTCTACCGCTTCCTTGCCCGTATGACTTTTCTCCCATTGTCCCCGACTACGACGGTTCGATATATGAACAAAACTGATCGGTATACCTAGGCCGTACGGACGCGAACTTCAACAAGGTCGTGCTGCGTCGTCTGTTCATGTCGAAAATCAACCGGCCCCCAGTTTCCCTCTCCCGCATCGCTACCAACCTGACCGACGCACACAAGGGCAAAACTGTCGTTGTCATCGGCACTGTCACTGATGATAACCGCCTTCTCAATGCACCCAAGGTGTCGGTTGCTGCCTTGCGCTTCACTGCCACTGCTCGGGCTCGGATCGAAAAGGCTGGTGGCGAGACGTTGACCTTGGACCAGCTTGCCCTGCGGGCCCCCACCGGAGCTAACACACTGTTGCTGCGTGGTCCCAAGAATGCCCGGGAGGCCGTCAAGCACTTCGGCTTCGGCCCTCACAGCCACAAGGTAGGCCGACTTTTTCTTTGTTCGTTGGTGACATTTGGTATGCTAACATTCGCCAAGAAACCCTATGTGCGTAGCAAGGGACGGAAGTTTGAGAGGGCTCGTGGACGGAGAAGATCCAAGGGCTTCAAGGTCTAAGGGTGTCTGTTATTTGCCTGCCTTGTACCAATGGCGAAATGCAATGTGATGGAAAGTTTTATGCGGAACACCTATAAAATCATGGCGCTTTGAATTACATGGAAGTACGGTTAGCTACTCGACTCGCGTAGCTGTGGAACCAGTAACATTTTTTTGAAACAGCTGGATTGCAAAGTACAAACACTGTTGGTAATATGGAAGATACTTCTATGCAGTGCTGTTTATTGTTTTGATACTCAGCACAGCGGCAGGTTTTGGTGTTTCCATGTTCTGCTTCCATCCACATCAGAATAGTCGCAAGCTCGGTGACCCGCACCCCGCACAAGATATTTATAGATTGTCAAGCCATCTAATCCGACCGGGCCCCTTGAGTGAATCTTGTTCGTGCTGATTCCAACCTCCGTACCAAATCCATACCTCATGCCATCCGCAAATCTTGAGGATGCATTCCAGAATACACCGGCGCTGTCCACACCGTGCATAAAAGCCTGAGCAGCGTCCCTTGAACTTGTAACGATCACATCTGTGTGTCTTGAAGAATGCGAATTTATGTGAGCTATAGCGGTTTCAAGAGCAGAGTTTTCGGGTGTTGGGGCGATTGTCTTAACTGCCAAAACAAGATCCAAGAACTCAGTTTGGTAGTCAGAATCAACAGCACTCTGAATCAATGCCGGTGGTGGGCTTTTCAGGGTCTTAAGTAATGCATCCCGGCTTGACGCGTCGCAACGAAGAGACACCCCCTTAGCGAAGAGAGCCTCAGCAACAGCAGGGAAAATGTCCCCAAGGACATCTTGATGGACGAGAAGAGTTTCTAGAGAGTTGCATGCTGCAGGGTAATCGGTTTTCGAATCCACGACGACTCTCAGTGCAGTTTCTTGATCAGCATCAGAATGGATATAAGCAGAACACAGACCATCAGCATGACCAAGCACTGCAATTTTCGTATTATCCTTCACAAATCGAACCAGGTCATTGGAACCTCGGGGGATCACTAGGTCAATAAATGAATCCTGTTCCAGCAAAGATGAGACGATATCTCGTGTTTTGACAAGCTGTATGGACGACTGAGGAACCTTGGTACCGGCGATAGTTTCTGAAATAACATTTGAGATAGCAACGAACGATTCAGTCGATTCCTTGCCGCCTTCAGCCGTATTAGATCCAAGCACATGGCCTCAGCAAAATTCATGGCTTACCTTTGAGAATTGCCGCATTTCCCGATTTGATGGCAAGGGCAGCTATGTTCGCGATAACCTCGGGCCGCGCCTCGAAGATTATGAGCAAGACCCCGATAGGACAGCTAACTTTTTCCAGAATGAGACCGTCATCGATAAGGGTTTTGAGTGTCACTTTCCCGACTTTTACCAAAGTTAGTTGAAGGCCTAAGATGTGAATTACTCCCCGAGAATACATACTGGGATCATCCAAATCTCGTACGCCCAAAATCCCGTTCAGCATATCATCATATTTTCCGGGTTTGGACAAATCTAATCTTCTGAGAACACTTTGACTGAGATCACCATTTTCAGCCGCTTTAGTAGCTATTTCAAGATCTCTTGCATTTGCCTCGAGGATTTTGTTTTTATCCTTCAATAACGCATCGTGTAGCGCCGTCAGTGCCTCCTTGCGATCAGCGTCTGCCAATGTTGCTAGGTGACGAGACGCTACCGATGCAGTTTTCGCGATCTCATATGCCGGACATTCAGTGAGCGACATTTTTGCGCACTGTACAAAGTATTGGCTGCAGCGGGGGGGAGGGGGAGTTGCAATTTCGGGCTATCGTACCTAGGGACTTAGTGGGAAGGAAGGCAATGACTCTACTCTGGTCAGGTGACCGTACCAGGATGATATCACGTGGCACGGTTGACCTTCATCAATAGCTACCTACTCACAATAGCATACTCTGTGCAAAGAAGCTAGCCATATAAGACATTAGAAGATGTATTGCTTGACATTTGGTTTCACTTCCTATACTAAGCACCGAGGTCCCAACTATGAAGTCCTGAAGACTGAAGACAGTAGTGTATAAGCCCAGAAAAAAAAACGAGGTTATTTTTGAGGCTCTGCAGATTGCCAAGACAGTATTACTACCTACCTACCTACTAGTATCATAACTAGGGACGTCAAGAAAGATTCAATACACTGTACGTAGTAACATGTGGTGGTTACCTATCTACTTTAGGTACCTAGGTAATGTATCTAGTGTACTTATGGTGTGATGGACAATGCAATGTAACCAGGGGTTATTATCCGTGAGTTCATCTGCTTACGCATAGCGGAATGTGACGGCGAAACCTGCCGGATTTGCCTAACTATTTTCATTCCAACCTATTCTCTGGTATAAGGCCCACCTCTATTACATCGCCAGTACATTGCATGTGGATGCGCCTAATGCAAATCAAATGGTAGGTAGTTGTAGGAAAACCCACTCCTATGGAGTGTGGTCAGAAAGCGCTCGTAGGACTTACTAGGTAGCCAAGATTCGAGAAAGTTCGGTTATGGCATTTACCGCTAGCTGTACCGCAGCTACCTCACTCACCTTACCTACTCCTTCCTCCTAAATCTTACTTACACTATCTCCTGGATTTGGCACCAACCACCTAATCCTGACATCAACGCCAGTATCCGTGGCCAAAGCATAGCCCAGCTACCTGGAGTCTATTTCTGACAACCAAGAATAGCACGATGTCTCGCCCTGGCACTACCCTGTATGTCACCGGTTTTGGGCACGGAACTCGAGCTCGCGATCTTGCCTACGAATTCGAACGGTACGTGCCGCTCGTCGATTGCTACGCCCTACTATGACCCGACGATCCGTCTCTCCTTCTCGCAGTCTACACCTCGGTTGAATCTCGCAAACATCGACGTCGGAGCTCTATCCATAGTGTCATCATATTGATTTATTCGCTTCACAACTTATAACTTCCTTCTCCCTAAGCATTCCCAACCCCGAGGACCAATTCATTTATTGCGCGCATTTGGTCATTCTACGCCGTCTATTCACTTGACTTATGACTCCGTGTTTGTTTATTTTGGGTTTCTGTTTTTTTTTACTAACCTTGCCCCAGATATGGCCGTCTTGTTCGGTGTGATATACCAGCGCCGCGTACCCCATCTAGCAGGCTGTGTGTTCAGAAACTCCCGCAATTGACTAAGTTTGCGTTCTAATTTTTTTTTCCCTCAAGGTTCGCCTTCGTGGAGTATGAGAGCCGTCGTGATGCAGACGATGCTTACCATGAAATGCACAATAAGCGAATCGGTCGCGATGACCTACTGAAAATTGAAGTAAGTATCGCAACTTTTCGTTTTTGAGTTCCTTTACTTCTCAAGACCAAGTCAACTCGTTAACCTGGCACTCAGTGGGCTCGAACGCCTCCATCTGCTTCTTGGCGGTTCGACTCTGGCCGTGACCGCCGCCGCGACCGTACTCCTCCACGCCGTGGCCGCTCGCCATCCCCTCGACGTGCTCGTGGTGACTATTCTCCTCGAAGAGACGATAGATACGAGCGGGATTATGATCGGCATGATCGCGAATACGATCGCCGTGATCGAGATTATGACCGTCGAGACCGTGACTATGACCGGCGCGACCGCGACCGTGAACGCTCTCGTGACCGTTCTCGCAGTCCTGATGAGCGGGACCGTGACATTAAGGATGATCGTGAGCGCCGTGATGACGACCGTGAGCGCCGAGACGATGAGAATGAAAATGCACCAAATGGAGATGATCGAAAAGGTTTGTCTATGTGACCATCCACTCCAAGTGATTTATCACTCATTATGGCAGTTTCTTTAGATCCCATGACTTCGGCTCATGATGAGCTTGATACTGCTGAGTAGGTTTAAACTCACGTTAATGAAGCCGGATTCCACTTTATGCGCCTTGACCATGCTTGTTGCAAGGGGAAAAGAGAGTAAGGTTGTGTGAGATGAAAAAATTAAGGTTTATTTTGCTTTTGATGCCCATGTCATTGAGGCAACAAGAGCTTAATAGCCCTCGCGCAAGACTGTACGCCGGTATTTCATATGTTCCTGTTCTTTCGTTTTACCCTTTGCTTTTTTTTTTTCTATTTCCTTTTTGCTTTGCACCCGATCGGACTTTCCTTCCTCGCTTCCCTACTCCATCCTTCTCCCACATCCCCTCTTAGAAAAGTTGCCTTTGTGATGGTTTTCAGAGGCTCGGACTTGGTTTCAGTTTGGACATTGGTATTCATCGTGGTCAGCAGCTCGAGCCATTACCGATCGAACATCGAGCGACCGCTTTCATCTCACGCCGCGTTTTGTCGTCCTTTCCCTCGTCCCGATTCCCAGCCGTCCGTCGTCCGTCTAAAGCACAAATTAATATAAGACGATTCCATTTCCCGCTCACCGCACCCGGTGGTTGCGAGCTTTACAATGTCGTCTCGGACCGAACTAAAGCCGTCTCGGGCTTGGCGTAGTGTACGAATTGCTCTTCAACACCGTAGTCTTTGAGCCTCGTAGTTCGATCGCTTAGCATTAAAGTCAATTTACATATAGATGTAACTCATAACAGAACCTTTTGTATTTCACTATTCTTCTTGCCCTCGCAATTAGTAAGTAACCTCATGGGACACAGCAGCTCAATGGCTACCTTGCCCCGCGTGCGCAAATTTTGGGGCATGACGCCTGATGTTACGACAAAAGAAAAACTTCTTGTACATGCGAACAGCTAAAACCAAAACCTCAGTCTGGAACTAAGTTATAGGTAGGTGAAATAAGAGTACAAGGAATCCTTAGATATAGAGCCGAGATTGGCGGATTCCTGCTGCAGCATGCATGTCATGAATGGGGTCCAATTTAAGAAAGCACGTTCAACCATTGCCACCTAGTCGAGAACAGGAGAAACAGAAGCACTAATGCACAATTTCGAAATCACTGCATTTTCTCATGTGTGGCCATAAGTGAGCCTGTTTCCGTAATTAGTATGACTACTACACTCACTTTCAGAACGTTTGTGAATCAGACTCACCGATGAACGTGGTAATCAAACGAGACCGCACTTGGCAGATATCCTCAGGTACCAACCAGATAGTTGCACCTAACTTCCTTGCTATGCTGATGCTTAATTTGGCATTTCCATATGCCTCCTCATCGGTTCGGCCTGCAGTAACAAGTTCATAGTCCACATATGAACTCTTCAGCCCACTGAGCACATCCAGAAGGAATATACCAGTTCCAATTGACTGGTCTTTGAAGCTGCGAATGGATGAAGTTTTGCCTCCCTTACGAGACATGTCGTTGGACCACCGAATCATTTCAGAATCGGTAATTTCACGTTTGCCCATCCGCTGGGCCAAGCCCGAGAGGGTGTTCGTAATATCCTTCCGCATCAATTGCCATACCAGTCCTAATGTGAGGGTGCGCTGGCCATCGGTGATATCGGCCCCTTGTACACCTACAAGGGAAAAGCCAATATGCTTCCCAAGCTCGGTTGCATAATTCGTATTCTCCACAGCCTTAAACCGCATCATCTCGTTTCCTGAAGCTGGTGCTTTGTTAACATGTCTCCAATTGACACTACCCGGGATGACCTTATCGTAGGCCTGCAGCAGCACAGTGCCATCCCGAAGGTCGTCGAATAAAGAATTAACCGCAGGCTGAACATCCAAGGAATTCAGCCAGAGAGTGAACACTCTAGCTTCTCGTTCCCCTTCGGCATCGAAATCCTCGACCTCTAGTTTCTCCTCTTCGGTTATCGGCTCGAGTCCGGGGATGGTGTTGAACAAGTTGGCGACAAAAGCGAGATTGAGTTTTGGATTCCCAGCAACGAGTGAAGTGGGTGTCAAAAACTTCCTGCAGCCTACTTTATCTGCATTCCCCAAAACCTGTTCAGCTCGCTGAAGTAGGTCCTGAGTTTGTAGGGGGCTGCGTGAGCATGCGTCGGGTGCAAGTTGACTGAGAAGAACGGTATAGTTTTCGCCATCCTTCACATCTGTAGAAAAGTTCGTCACCCTGGAATGGCGATACATCAGTAATCCGGAATTTTCACACATGACGCCTTTCGTCCCTCCCACAATCTTTCGCTACCAGAGGCTTCAATATGTGGGGTCAGGGTGTCACAAGCCTACAAAACACAAGGCTGCAATATGGCCAAAACATAACGTACCTTCTATCCCACTTCGCGTTCTTGAGGTGGTAATTGAACCATCGCAGGAGAATTTGCTCCGGGGGCAGACGAAGAAATTGCTCCAACGTTTCGTCATCCTCCAAAAGCCTGTATAATTCAGGATGGAGTTTTATGTCAATCTTGCCAAGAAGACCCCGACGGATAATCTGCCAAATCAACCCTAGAATAAGGTGTTCGCGCACTTCTATAATGTCCCCGCTGCCGATGTTCACAACCGAGCAACCAATGCCCTTGGCTGAGTTTATCACAATGTTGTTGTTTTCAGTCATGTGAAATGCATTAAGCTCCTTGATTTTCTTCCCGGATTTGTTCAGAACGCGTTCGTCAATTGTATCAGGCACGCTGTCGTTGATCAATTTCGCCAAAACTAATCCGTCCTTGCACTTGTCGAACATTTCAAAGGTGTCAGTGGGGAATGGGAGGGAGTTGCCAATGTCTGGATCGCCCGCTAGGACAGCATTGATATGCCTTGTAAATTCAGTTCTCTCGTCCTCGTTAATAGTATGGGTAACATTCGCCGAGGATCCTTGAACGTGAATCTTGCCCCCAATACTGTTTCGAGGGACATGTCTAGAGCCCGTCACATTTCCCTGTAGAGCAGCTGGGGCGGGGCTATCGACCGGCCTGGTTTGATTCGGAGCAACGCGGAGTTTGGAGATAAGCTTTGGTTTGATTAGCAGGCTGGTCGCTGGTAGATTTGGTGATAATATACTAACATCAACGTAATCTTCGAGCTCCACCCGACGAGAACTGTCGAGTTCGACTTCCTTCAACGCCTGGCGTACGACATCATACGGTTGACGTTCCGATTGTTGGGTGGACTTAATCACAGTTGCTTCATCCAGGTAGCCTCTTTCATCAATGTCTAATTTTCTGAATGCATCCTGAAGGGTGAAGATCTCGCCTTGATCAAACTGCGGGAACTTCCTGCGGGCCAGAACAGTTAGAGCATTCGCTCAGGGATACACAAACGACGGAACTCGAGGAAGTGAAGAGTAGCATACCGCTGAAGTTTGATCACATTCATTTTGCTTTCCCCTTCCTTTTTGTGCCCTTCGCAGCTGACGGTACCTTTGATGTAAAAAGCGGGGGTTTGGCTGGCAGAGATGCAGGAAATAAGATTCAAGGTCTGTATTACGCACTGGAAGCTTTGTTGTTGAATGAGGAAGGAATGAAGCTGTCAATGCCTTTCTTTCCGTCACCAGTCTTGTTAAGGGTTGAGTTTTTGGGAGAAGATAAGCGAAGTAGGTCGAAGCCAGCACTGCCCGTTCGGAGTAAGTATTTAGGCAGCCTGGGTGAGACCCGCCTCAAAAAGGAGGGGTGATGGATGTACTCCGTGCTTACAATACTTACACCTTACAAGTTGATACATTTGTCCCACCTACCTTACCTACTTGTATGGGTAGGTAAAGTATGTACATGTTCTGAGGATGATGGCTTTACTTAGTTACGTAATTTACCAGCCTAGGTAGGTATGGTAAGGTAACTGGTAGTCACCAGGTACCTTAGGCACGACAGAATACAGTACATACACGGACATCATACTCCCCACTAGTTATGTACATGTACCCTGGGTAGGACGGTAGTTAGACGAGGTAGTTAGGTACTAGGTATGTATGTAATGTATAGGTATGTACCTGAAGTACCCAAGTACTTGTAGGTGTCGAACACTTCCAGGTTTCTAAGGTACTTACTTACCTACCTTCCACGTGGAAGAGTACCACGATCCTTCCGGTAAAAGGGACAATTTTGACCTTCGGGAGTTTGTCATTCGATTTATGCAGTAAGGGTTGACCGTGATAGGCGCATAGACCTTACCTGCATCTGAGGTACATACCTTGAGGTACCTGTAGGTACTCCGTAGTTTTCAATAGGTACCTTGCACTAGTTACGCGGCCGACACAATAAGTGAAATGACATAGATAGTTCTCTCTATGACGTCAGAAGTGATGGTCAGCGACCTGCTACACAGTTGGCAGTGGTACTCCGTACTAGGTAGAGAACTATCTGCTCGTAGGCCTGCATGCTTATCTATAAAACAAGGCGGGGTATCCTGCTCTCCGGTGGTATTAAATAAACCGGTAGGGAATTCGTGCCAATAATGACCTGACTTTTCGTGTTGGTCGGGTGTTTTGTGTCATACCTTACCTACAGTAAGGAGAAGGGTGCCTAATATATTTGGGGGCTGCAGGTACCTAAACATCTAGTTACGTACTATAAGAGGAACCTTTTGACTTCCTTTTTTTTTTTTTTTTTTTTTCCCACGAGCCTTTGTATAAGGTATATACTTTACGGAGTATACAGGTAAATATTAAATTGTTTTCGTCGTTGATTGGCAAGGGACCGTAGCTCGAGGACTGACGGAGGAGTGAGTACCTTATCAGTTTTATGATCCCGACGGCAACTTGGTCATAACATCATCATCTCGGAAATCCTACATGCACCCAGCCCACATTCTCACTGCCGACGCGAGAAGTACGTCGACAAAATCCTGCCAACCTGCGCAGACTGTATAGACCTGTGCTGAGTTTTCTGGCACCGCTTATACCCCCATTCCCCCTCTACAAAGCTCAATGTCCCAGGAACAGCATGGCGACCGGGAATCCTTTTTGGGAACAACATCACGGAATGTGCCTCAGCCCAACATTGTCCATAAGCACAACCAGGACGTTCTGCAACAATCCAAAGGCGAAGACCACACAGTCACACACACACATCGATTAAGTCTGCGCCGCTATCCCAGGGATTGCCCCCCTTTGCGAGTAAGATGGTTCTATGCCGTGGACTCCCCTAAATGGAAACCCCAGTTGTGGGATCAAAAGAAGGACGCCTCAAAAACCCCGCCCCCTCCTAAGAAATTCGTTCCCTTTTCTTCCAAAGACTCCCACGCGATCGAGACCGCTTTCCAAAGGCTTTCAGATATCGAGGCGGCGCACGAACAATCCAAACACTCCGAAAAGAGCGGCATGCCGCAGGGCAGTACTGCAAAAGTAGCTGTTAACGAAGACTATCTCTTCGACGTGGATGTGGAACGGAGGGAGCTTTGCCCGGCTTACTGGGTAGGGCCCGTTTACGAAGTCCGTCGTGGGACCTGGTTCTTCCAGGATGGATCTTCAATAAAGCCATGCGAGGAAAACCTAGCCACGCAACTCGAAGAGGGATACCTCAAAGTGAAACCATGGCGGTTCCACGATATCCACGACACCTCCACGCAGCCCTTCACGCAGCCCTCCACGCACTCAAAGTCTTTTGACACAGGTGATCCTAGAATCATGAAAAGCGCCGCTGCACACATCGCTAATTCAACCAAGCAGCGCCTGGGCTTTTGCCGAATTCAATCGGGCATACGGCACCTGTCTCGCCTGGTGGACTCCCGAATCATCGTCTCTTTGGTGCATATATGAGAAGTATCGTAACCTATCAGGACCACTCGGCGGCATTGATCACAAATGATGATTTCATGTCGCGAGTGAGCACAACGGTGTACCAGAAATTAGGCGGAGTGCCCGGTACAAAAATAGTTCGTGGGTTTATAGACTCTGGGAAAGAAAAGGGCATCTCGAACACGCGGAGACCAGCAGAAGAGCTGTTGCCCGAGACACCCGTGGAAGGACTGGAGGCTCATGAGGCAAACACCTATGGCTCAGTGGATGCCAGGGCAGCTTACAGCCAATATTCTCATAGAAGCTCTACAGGCGACATATCAAAATCCACGCTGGAGCAGCAGATGTCCTCCCTAACGGGTGAAACCCAAGACGAGGCGCAGCTTGAAGAACAAGCACGCAGACAGGAGGAAAAAGAGATGGAGGATTCCCGAGAAGTCGACAACGAGGACAGGGAGCGACAGATTGATCATCTGGTCCTTGTCACACATGGAATTGGCCAGCGGCTTGGGCTACGATTGGAGAGCATAAACTTCATACACGACGTGAATGTTTTACGAAAGACCATGAAAAATGTTTATAAAGCCTCACCTGACCTGCAGGCTCTCAACTCTGCATTCGCGGATAACTACACAAACTGCCGTGTTCAAGTACTTCCTGTGTAAGTTGTTGCGGTCGGAATCTACTATAACTAATAATGCAGTATCCTGGGATATAATATAACAGGAAACCTGCTGATTTCTTCTAGGTGTTGGAGACACCTGCTTGACTTCCCATATCGAGGAGCGAGACATACTCGTAAAGAGCTCGATCTTGCTGATGCTGATTCTTCCGATGACGATTTGTTCCCCAGCCTAGCTGATATCACTTTAGAAAGTGTACCGGCCGTTCGAAATTTAATATCTGATCTGGCGATGGATGTTCTTCTATATCAGAGCGATTATCGTGAGCATATATCCAACATCGTCAGTCAGGAAAGCAATCGAATTCTCAAGCTCTTCAAGGAGAGAAACCCATCCTTCAGCGGATCGGTTAGTCTCTGCGGTCACTCACTTGGCAGTGCTATTTTCTTTGATATTCTTTGCCGCGAGCAGCCTGGTCGCGAGTCTGATCAGAAGACCTCCGTAGAAAAAACAAATACACCAGAAAACAGATCACGGAATCAGCAACTGCATTTTGAATGCGAGGAGCTTTTCTGCCTTGGGTCTCCTATTGCCCTTTTCCAGATGCTTAAAGGAAAGACGATTGCAGGCAGGTCGGCGCCAGGCATTAGCAGATCCGGACTGCCGCTTTACTCTGCTGAAGAAACAGAGGGTACCCAACTATCTTGTTCTACTTTAACCATCCTTTACTCATGGTGCCGCAGGAATTGAATATTTCGATACTCAAAACATGGTGTCTTCCCCGAAATGCCGCCGATTGTACAACATCTTTCACCCATCTGATCCAGTGAGTTATCGTATCGAGCCTCTTATATCACCGGCAATGTCTTCATTAAGGCCGCAGCCTTTACCTTCTGTGAAAAAGAGCCTATGGTCTACATCTGGCCAAAGCCTTTCAATAATAGGTAGTCGCGTGGGGCAGAGTGTTGGATCTCTGTGGAACAACTTTACTTCTGGTGTTGCGAGTAGTCTGCTCAACCGCAGTCTTGGTCTAAATCCTGACGATGACACATCTCAAATTTCCTCGAGCGAGGGCATTCAAATGCAACAGTCCAAGTCATCTCCTGATGGAGACATTGCAAATCCTCATCCTGACCGGCACCCTACTCTTATAGACTCGGGCTTAGAAACACTCTATGAAGGTTTCCAGAGGACTCGGAAAGACGAAAGACAGGAGTCTTTGAACCCCAGCGGCAATTCATCTATGGAGGATGAAGGACCAGATGATCGATTGAAAAAAATACGAACCGAAGATGCCAAAGTGAGAGCACTCAACAATAATGGACGGGTTGATTACAGTATTCAAGAGTAAGAAAGCCTTTAAATTCCTTTGGGATTCTTACGATACACAAACTGTCCAAACTGATCACTTGTTAAACAGAGGAGCTTTTGATATATCTTTGATTGCTAGCATCGCTAGCCACTTGACTTACTGGGCAGATGAAGATGTCAGCCACTTTTTGCTTTCCCAAATGCTATCTAAGAAACGGCCTCATTAAGGCGACTTGAGAACGACGCCAAGTTTCTCTACTTCAATCCCTATCCCTGGGGCCAATTTTTTCAAGCAAGCGAAACCTAGGTAGCAACGAGCGTTCACGTGTGCCACAAGCCTAACAAGAATTTGATTTGCCTATTCGAACTGATCAAAGATAACCCCCCCTCCACAGACATAAATTCCACGCCAGGGGAATGTTTACTTGATGTAACTAAATAGATAGTTATTTGAGCTCTCGTAAATTTTAGAGTGGGGCGGAATTATCAGCAGCCCAATTCTCGCCATGTCACTCTTCTGTGTAAACCTGTCAAGGGCGCGTATCCCGTAGAATGTAATGACTTTTGGTACTATGTACCTACCGTGCCTTAGATAAGTAGGTACGTAAGGCCAATAGATAGACCGTCAAGGTCAGTACTCGTTACATGCTAGGGGCTGTAAGATAGTAAGGGATATTGAATTGCTGTAAGATTTTTGAGGTGGGGGGAGCAAGAAAGAAACAAAAGTTGAGGAAAATAAGCCTATCCTACATTTGGACTATTTTCATTTTTTATTTATTTTTTATTTATTTATTTATTTATTTTGTTGGAAAAAAGTTACAACCAGTGTTCTGATCAAAGGATATAGCCGGCTGGCACTACTACCGTAATTACTCATCCATAAGCGGGTTACTCTTTTATCCGTTCCGCCAAGCGATAAACTTTTATTACTCATAAGAAAAATCCCGGACCAAATTTTCTTCTTCCTTTCTTCGCACACAGACATTTATCAATAACAATGGTTCATTGGGATTGATGCGAATTTCCAGCTCCAACCTGGAGCTTGGGAACTATTTAATGTTTCTAGGTCCGCAGCATGGTTCTTCACTACCAGCAGTTTTACTGACAAGCTGTTAATGTGTGAAACTGGGTTTGCTCGCTATCTTGGGTTTCGTACTCAAAGCTTTACATCAAATGCACTGGCCAAGTACTGCTTTTTGATCAATAACTGCCCCCGGCCCCCTTCAAGTGCTGACAACTACATATTCATGATGGCTATGGGGCCCCTTTAGAGCAGTACCTGCTGTAAATTGACTTTTTGCTAATGCTATGTTGGGCGGGTATCATATTCTCGCCCCCGGGTTGATTGTCAAGCAATCAAGCAAGGATGGAATTAATGCCTCGGGGAAGGTAAAATAGAGTCACTCCGCATATATTTGCTTGATGTCTGACATCTTGACATTGCTATCTTCTTTGCATCTGGCATGAAAAACATATACTTTGAATGACTGGATTCACTCGGATAGCGAAGAAAAACACCATTCTTTTAGCTTTAGATGCCGTGTCTTCTTCATATAAGACAGGGTAATTGTGAATGGGTACATACTGAATATTTATATACTATTAGATAGATATGAACATGTATGTACCAACGAACCCTGCTGTTTATGGGGTAGCTTACGGTATAATTCGTTGCTCATGATTCTTTATTTTATCTCATGCCTTGGGGGGAATGGTGGATCTAGTATCAATAAGCCCCCTACCTAGGTACATACCTGTGGAAATAGTATAGACAACTGAAGAAGGCCAATTGATTTATTGTATTTTGGCGGATGTGTTTATAGTTGGTAGACATCTATGGATGCTGTAAGTACCTTACCTCAGGTACCTAAGGTACGTAGTTTCGTCGTACTACTGCGTAATTTGGTAAAAAATACATATTATGTAACCAGGAGCACATACCTACCTAGCTAGGTTAGTTAATTAGTTAGGAGTGTACTCTGCAGGTAGGTGATACCCAACAACTTGCCCTACCCTACACGCTGTTCATTAATCCAGGTATCCCCAAGTCACATTAATTTGTTTGATTTAGTGAGGATCTAACTGAGATTTTCACAAGCATGCTGTGACTAATGTCTATTTATAAAGTCAATAGTCATGAATGGCCCCCATGAGAAACCCAGCCCAGCGCAATTGCATGGGTTTGAGCGTGATAAAGAACCACTCGACGAAAACCACACACGAATAAGTGATGAAAGTGGGAGCATCAATGGTGACCAAAGACCTTCTCAACAAAGAGGAACTTACGGTCTTATAATCCACCACATTTCAACATCCAGCAATGAAGCTCTCATTTGCGTGTGTATCTGCATAGTGGGCGCAACATATGTGCTGCTCGGGAGACTTGGCTTGCTCCTGATTGGACTCGTTAGTGGTGTCATCTTACATTCATCATGGGAGGGAACGAACCCCAGCGACATACCGAACTCCACGACGCGGAGAGAACTTTCATTGAATGTTGTCAATAGACTACTCGATTGGCCCAGGCGCTCTGTTCATGCTGAACATGAACTTGATGAAATCCAACCATTTATCACCAAGGACCTGCCACAAATATCTGTTGATTATTCTCCCTTCCCTCCTAAAACAGCAGCTGCGTTGGATTCATTGACGGACGCAATAATTCGGGACTATGTGAAGTAAGCAGTTCACCCATTCCATGAGAATTGAGCTTACCAGACGCGAAGCCACTGGTATGAACCGATTCTGCCTTCTGAAACAACATTCCCTCGTGCCTGTCGCGAAATTTTGACCGGTTTTGTCAAGTCAATGGCCTCCCACCTCGCGCGCAAACGAACTACGGACACTTTCCTTGAGTTTTTGACCAATTCCTCGTCTATCATGATCGTGTTTCTCAATGAACTCTCAACTGCTTTTGAAAACGTCGGATCATCTACGAAGCCCGAGGAAACTGTTAGGCGCTATCTTGAACGATATCCGGAGAGCAGCCTAGCAAACGTGTTGGCTGACCAACAACAACGGAAAAAACTCAATATTATAGCCGATGATATCCTGTCTAGCTTTCTGGACACTCCAGCTTTTGGCTGTGCCCCTCTTAGAACCTTCTGTCGGGAAATCTTATGCGGTGTCGTCTTGGAGTCCACCATTTCCAACCTTTCACGACCGGAGTGTATCAACAGCTGGATAATACATCTCTTTAGCGAAGGAGAGTCTGAAATAATGAACGCGATTGATGCCGGCGTTGAGGGGGCCAGGAACCAGGGCGTAACTACTACGAAACGCCCCGGGGATGCGGATGCGCCTCGGTCAACGTCAACCGATAGCTTTGGTTCGAACTCGAGATTCTCTAGTCAGGGTTATAACGAAAAGTCTGAGTATGCAGACAAAGCAACAGAAGACGCAATAACTGAAGCAAAACGATTGAGCGCCTTGATCGCCGCTCAGGATTTACAGCAAAATGGATCCAATGATGAGAACGCCTCAGAAGCCCCTATTACTTCGCAGAAGGAGGACCCTGCCTTGGATTCTGATATTATAACGAGAAATAAAGAATCTGTACTCGAGCCAGTGGAGAGGCAGGGGCGTCCAGGAATTTTGCCAGATGCGGCCATTTCTCGGATGAACAATGCTGAACCAGAATCAGCGTTCTCATCGCCGATGCAAGCGAGTCGTCCATCGCACCGGAAGTTGGAACAGCCTTTGCAATTGCCACCTTTAACGCTTCACCGTGCATACATATCAGTGGAAGACGGTTCGGAGTCCCGTGGGGCCTTGGTTCGATCGAAACCAATGTCCAATTACATGCTTCAGGTAGAACCAACATCTTCTCAGCGAACTGGGTGGATGGTCTTTAGAACCTACAGAGATTTTGAATCGCTTCATGAGACCCTGGAAACCATTTCAAGGCTAAACAAAATACACAGTTTCGCGGACACTTACTCTTTACTACCTACGTGGAAAGGATTGACAAACGGAGCCTTAGCAAAGTCTTTGGAACAATACCTACAAGCTGCGCTTCAACACGAGTCTCTTGCAGAATGTGAAAGAATGAGACGTTTCCTTGAGAAGGAAGGTCCCGTCAGCCCCGAATTGAAAACTGCGCCCACAAGGCCTGGTTTTTTCCCTACCCAGGCGGCGTTGGAAAATGTTGGAAGGGGGGTCTTGGATGCTTTAACTAACGCACCTAGGGGCGTCTCTAGTGGCAGCAAAACTGTTTTTAGTGGGATGACTGGGGTGTTTGGAACAAATTCAAGCAAGAAATTCAGCTCGTTTCCAGATGTCGATAGCCCGCCACTTGATGGCACTGCCCAGTCCGGGGACACAATTGGCAGTGCGTCTCAGGCCATTCAAAATCCAAAAGCAGAAGATATGTCATTATCTAGGACATCCAAAAGCGGCGTACCTGTTTCTGCTACCGAGCCCTCTTCAAGTGACGGCTCCCTCGACAGTTCAAGACCCACGAGAGCGACACCAATACGCGGCAGCTCAGATTATTCTCCAAGCGAAGATCCGGTCAACAATTCGGATCTAGAAACCAGGCACGTGGAGCATGTGCCATGCTTGGATGGATCCCCCGAGAAAAGTCCAAACGCAGTCAATGTGGGCGAAGCAACTTCCGCTGAACACAGCATCTCAGGAAACCATACATCTTCCATAACACATGAAGAGACTCGTATCGCAATTGAGCTCATCTTTGCTGTTATTAACGAATTGTATACTTTGTCTTCCGCCTGGAATATACGGCGAACTCTTTTGAATGCGGCCAAATCCTACATCCTACGCCCCGGAAACCCAAACCTGGAGACAATTCGTGGTCTTCTGCAGAATTCAATGATCGATGCCAATACATCGGACGAGGCAATCGGGATCTACCTTGTCAAACTGCGTGAGAATGCCCTTCCAACCAAGTTTGAACTTGATTCCTGGCCGCCGCCTCCCAGCGAGGCCGAAAAGGAGCGTTTGCGAGAAACAGCCCGAAGAGTGTTTGTACAGAGAGGGTTACCACAGGCACTAACAAGTGTGATGGGAGCAGCTGCTAGCCGTGAGGCCCTTGAAAAGGTCTTTGACTGCCTTCAAGTCCATAGTGTCGCGAGGGGTTTTGTTTTCTCTATTTTACTGCAGGCCCTGAGAGCTATTATACTTTAGAGTACACGAAGCATGCAGGTGTGAACATATATATTTTCATCGGCAACCATTTTCCCATCAGTTGGCCCAGCACCAACCCTATTCCGCGTACGGAGTGCTCTTTTCACTGCACCGCTGCACTCGACAGCTCGCATTGATAATGGAGGTTTTTGAGTCCCTGTAGGTACCATAAAGGCAGGGTGTCTCAGTCGGAAAGCCGACGAGGAATTGTGCAGTACATACGGAGTGATGATAGCAGTGGGTAGGTGGAGCCTTCCGCCTTCCAAAAAAGGCCTAGTATGTGGCAGCACCCAATTTAATTACTACTAGTTAACTACGGAGCAGGTAGGTCCTCTGTGCCTGACCTATAAGTTTTATCATCCGAATAGCTACCCTAGATAGCTCGCTCATATCCTCCATTGAGCATGCAATACGGGACATAATGGTCTCCGAAGTCAGAAAACGTTCGCCAGAGGCTGATAGCAGTCATGGTGAACATTCTCAGTCCAAGAGAGCAAAGACCGCGTCGCTGCAAAGTGCCACTCCGTACACTCGTCCCCACTCAAAAGCATCGGTGAAGATCGATTCAAATGGGGATAAATACTGGGAACTTTCAAAAATGCGCAGAGTCACAATATCCACATTTCGTGGCAGAACCATGGTTAACATCAGAGAATACTATGAAAAAGATGGACAAGAGCTTCCTGGCAAGAAAGTAAGCTCCCTCTCAACCGTATTTCTTGCGACCAAGAAGGTATGCTCAATTGCTTCAAGGGAATTTCTTTGCCGCTCGATCAATTCGCCTCGCTTGTGACCATGCTACCCGAAATCGAAGCCGTGCTCAAGGAACAAGGGCAGTCGATTCCTCGGCCTGGGTATACGGGCTCGGACAGCCGCCAAAACGAGAGTTCTGACCCAGACGATGATGAAGAACCCACAAACTCACCGAAGAAGAACATCGAGGCAACCAGTGACGAGGACGATGATGAAGACTAAATCGCCCATACGAAGAGATATTGCTGGATGAGGGTTGGCGTGATCTTGTCGTATGATTAACGGAAAACTACGGTTCTAATTGCTGGAAGCTTTTTGCTGGTATTGGATTTTCTGGTTGAACTGAGCTCCAATCAGGCTCTGTCCAAGGTAGTTCACTATCGCAGTTAATTAAATCTACCGTCTCGATCCAGGAATTCACGGGAGCTAGAAGTAGTCAAAGGGAATTTCTTCTCGTCGCAGGCTCCCTTAGGCACCTGTTCCGAGGGAAGGAGGGGGGAGGTTGTTCTTAACACGAAATGCTCGAATCCGACGACAGTTCACTTTAGACAGAATGCTAGTAATAAGTGTTGATGTGGTCTTATAGACCAACCGCATTTGATATGTTGACTATTTTTTGGACCTGGCCAATTTGGCTGGGTAGTCGAGTACCAAGGTTTCTTCCTGGGCACTGCGGAGTAATTCCGATAGTCAAGGTCATACCCCATTATTAGCCCCTTTTCAGTTTTCACTGCGTACTCTGTCATCCAGGTACAGCTGGCTGACCGACTTGCCTTCCGGGATTTTAGTTTTACTGCCACCAATCCAATTATCATAATACTTATGTTTACTCCGTTCTTAGAACGCCCTTAAGTTAGTATCGCGGAGTGCCCTTGAAACCCCTTTCTTTAATAACAAGGATGATAAAAATAAAAATTCAACCATAAAAAAACAAAAGAGAAACCAGCAGCAGTACTACTAATGATAGCGATTCCCTGGAGGGCCAAATAAAAAGAATTCAATGTCCGAAGCCGGGTTCGAACCCGCGAGTTATGGTGTGTCCCCTTCCAAGGGAAATTCAGACCAGAAGGAGGAAAAGTCGTCTCGGGCGGCCTTCCCCCCTGGGATTTTAGTTTTACCCTCTATCCGTAGCACATGCATCCATTGCTCTCTCCTGAACTCCATTCCTCCTGATCTAACAATCGCGCCGCCCCTCTTCGCCATCATTCCTCCAAGCAGCAATCTTTATTGCTAATTACCACAACTACCTACGGTCGTATTACGACTCGGTAGGTGCTTGTTTCTCCAGAGTAACTCCCGAAGCGCTGCTTGTCAAACGGAGTGACCACCTCAGACTGGACTTTGGCTGACTCCAACCCCCCAACAGTAATTGACCCTGAGGAGTCCAGAAATCAATTCGAAGATACTTGATCCTTCCCACCTCTCGTTATATCTCCTGAACACTACACCACGAAACAATCTCAGAAAACGCAAAGACTAGTGGGGAGGGAGAATCTTGAACGGAGAGGCGAGCACTTCTGTCCTCGCGGGCCGTGGCCAACAACTATAGACAACGCCCTGGTCATGATGTGCAACCCCCAATGAATGATCAAGTGCTGCCTTGGCTTCCAGGAAACACATTCTTTGTTGAAGACCAATCAATCATCACCTTATGCCAAACCTGAATGCGGTATTATGTGCTCGAAGCCAGCAGGCACTAACGGCGAAATTCCAGGACCCATCTCACCAATTTCCATGCAAACCCGCGAGACGGCTACAAGACGGCCATCTTTCTAGAATCTGGGGAGGAAGAGTAGGATGAAATCTATAGCCTAGGTTCCCAGCAACTGCGGCATCTCTTATTTCTTGTAAAGCGGCAGGCGTATTCAACAACCTCGGGATTAATTCGCTGACGCCGTCGAAGTCGTCAATTTGCCCCGAAGGGCGCTATTACTCGGCTCTTGTCAGTCTAAGGTGTAAAGAGACAAGCTGGTAGACTTGGACATAGTCACCACATCACTCAATCTGCTTATTAACAGCCGACAATAAATCCGTGTCTTACAACGAAGAAGGCCACGAATCCAATGTCGGAAACCGCCGCGGCAACCCCCGCTAGAACAGCCTCGTCTAGGCCAATGCCATCCGAACCAGCAAATGAAATGGATCGAGTTGGAGTCAGTGGTTTCGAATATGAGCCAGTAACCGCCATTTCGGGTCCCGTCAAAACGTCGGTCACAGAGTCTCCCCCAACCAGCCCAGGTGATAGCAACATCCGAGAAGGCTTGGGAAGCTTGAACCGTTGGTCCCACTCCACAGCATCGAGCAAGAATTCAACTGATCACATTGGTTACTGTGCGGGAAGCCATTCCAGGGTGCTCAGCATCGCTGGTGGCGATCACCCCAAAGGCACACATCCAAGCGCGAACATGGGGTTCTCGACCATGCCGCCTCGTGCCACCAATTCATCCACAGGCAATGGAAATTACCACCAGTCTAACCCAGACCAGACTATAACTGATACTACAAACCCGGCGATAGCAATGTTTGAACTTGGAGGAATTGACATGGCACCAACTTTCTCAGCTGGCCTTATGAGCGTACCATCAGCGGAAGGTGATTTCTCATCTGAGCCGACAATGATTCCAAATCTATTCCAGAACCCGTGGTCCATGAACGGCGCGGAGTTGAAAAACCCCCAGCATATGCCCGCCAACAATGCTGTTGGGCTTCCCCAAGACAACGAAATCCCGGTTGACGGTGAACCACATCTATCCACTGAACGGCGGCGACGGGGACACTCCCAGAAGGCTATGCTTTCAAAAGCGCTGCAGAAAGCGAATACTGCGGTTCTTCTTGATAATGCAGCTAATTTCGAAGGCGCCATGGATGCCTATAGTGATGCCTGCCAACTTTTACAGCTGGTGATGCTTCGGAGTAACGGGGGCAAAGATGAAAAGCTCAAACTTCAAGAAATTGTAAGTCTTCAGTAACTTCGGCTCTGTACCAGGACGAGGGGCTAAGTTGTTCAGCGCGACACGTACATGATTCGAGTCACCGAGCTGCAACGCATGGACTTCTCTTTTCGGGGACGTGAAAGCAAGGCACTTCCGGAACGCCCGCTGAGTCAAGAGTCTTACGGGGGCCTTTCTCAGTCAGTTGAGGATGATGAGGCTGGGGTTTTATCTGGGGATCATGCTCAACATCTACATCGTTTCTCCGGTCCTCGTCTTTCTCTGACGGAGGAATCAAGACCACTGGTTCTCGATCAAGTTCCACCAAGACGCCAGTCGCTTTTACCTTCTGTGCTGGATGACCCGCGAAATACAACCACATTGGCGGTTCTTGATGGACATGCTGATGGTTCCCATTTCGAATCATTCCCCAGGGCTTCAGGAACGGATCATTTAGATACGTTAGCTTCACCCGCTGCAGATCGTCTTGCAGAAACGCTTACCCCATACCAAACCTTGCTTGACAATTCACGGTATTCCGATTTACCGGCGAGTCAGACACATCCTAGGGATATATACGAGTCAACCTCCTGGCTTGATACTATCGATGAATCTGGCGCATCATCTCCTGCTTCCATGGGCTCGAAAGCGTCGTCGGTGTATCTTCGTCACAGAGGAAGTCGCCTGTTCGGTCACACTACAGAGGCCGATTTTGATGCTGCTCTCGATGCCGCCGTTGAGGCTGCCTACGACGAAGGCCTGGAGCCCGCAATAGAATCAAGTGAGGAGCCCCGCAGTGATGATGTTGTAGCAAATGCCCGCAGGAATGTTGAGTTGGCAAAACAAAAAGTCCGAGAGGCCGAACGAGAGGCCGAAGTGGCTATGACGCGCGGCCGAGACGTGCATTCAAACCAGGAGCAACCGCCAATTGATCAATCTCTGGGCGTTGACTTGGGTTATCTTGATGAAGAAGCCGAGGAGGAGGAACGTTTATTGGAAGAGATGACTAGGGAATACGTGATGGATGAATTTGAATTTGATCTTCAATCCAAGTCTGCTCTTCCTCGACAATCAGATTCGAGCAACCTGTCCGGAAGAACCTGGGATAGCTCAGCGGCATCTCAAACAACCATGGCTGGCGCAGCCTTGTCTCCGCTTGCAGAAGATATCCCTAGCGAAGACGCAAACGTACAACCGAGCCGAACAGATCCAAACAATATAGCCGGTGCTTCCTCCGTCCTCACCAAACCAGCTCTTCCACCAGTGCTGGGACCAAGTGTACGAGAACGGAGAATGTCGCGGCAAAAAACGGCTGAATTGAAAATCGAAACACGGCTCAAAAACAGCACTGATCTATCTGGACAGAGTAAAGCTTCAGCGCCGCCCAGTTTTCGACCACCATCCCCACCACTTAAAGATGAACCCAAGACCGGTTTCCCCATGAACATAGCCAAGTCTTTGGACCGCCCCGCTTCAAGGTCTGCTGTACATCCAAGCAGGCGGAATGCATCTGTGGGCTCTTTCATCGGAGAGGTCCCCGCAAAGACAAGCCTCGGCCGGGCTACAGATGATGTCGATACGACCGAATCTGCAAAACTACCATCACCGGTGCGTCCAATTGGGAAAATTCCTTCGGCGCCAGATAGCTTGGACAAGCCTCACTTGGGACCGAAATCAATCCGAACCAGAAATGTATCAGTCTCGGGTCTTGATTCGACTCAAGAATCCCCAGGTACCCCATCGAACAATGCTTTCCCTCTAGATTATCAGAAGGGAACGACCGCTGCTGCTGCGCCAATTTTGCCCACGCCCACCGGCTCGAGCTTTGCTCCCAATGGTCTTCCTAGTGGCGGCTTATACCTTTTTGACAATCACATCCATTCGCCCACTAGTCTTGGTTCTCCCAACTTGATGGCCACTAATGCGCCCTTACCCCTTGAGCCTTGCCCTGAATCCTTTCTGCTGCGCCCTTTCTGGCTTATGCGATGTATTTTCCAAACGATCACCCATCCTCGTGGTGGTTATTTGACGACGAAGTTGTTCGTTCCTCGCGATGTATGGCGAGTGAAGAACGTGAAAATCAAGGCCGTTGAAGAGAAAGTCTCGAATTGTGATCTGCTAACAGCAGCATTGCTTAAATTGGCCAAGGTGGATACTTATGACGCCGATGCTGTACTAGAGGAGATGCAGTCGCTGGAAAGTATTCTCGACCAGGTGCAAATATCCTTATCTAAAAAGGTCGGCAGCGATGTTGGTGTCCAGGGCGCCATGCCACTTTTCAAGTCTTCCCAATCTACCGAGGATCCCACACACGTCGACACTCTACCCTCAAAGTCCTCAACTGGAGCTGGGAAGTCATACTTGAGCTCCTGGCGCAAACTGCGATCCAAAAACTCCGGATTTGGCGTTACAACGTCGCTTTCCAGTTCGAGGGATGCCAACAAAGACAACCTCACGATAAGCTCACTTCCTATGACTCTGATTCCCAGTGCGCAACTCATCAAACACACTGTGAATCAGCACCAATTTAGTGGACCCAACGCAAATTACATGGGTGCTTTGGCTCGACTGTGTGACGCAGCTCAAGTATTAGGTAAGTGAAAACCGGCTACCGGAACGTGTTCATCGAATTAATAATTATCCGGACAGATCAAATTGCTCAGCAAGTTGAAGATCCAGGTCTCAAGCACTCATCCCAGACACTTGTTGGTCTCGAATTAAGCACGCGCCATGCTGCAGAATTCTTTGGTTTCTACATATGCCGTTTTGCTTTGGCTGACATCGGAGTGATGCTTGACAAGTTTATAAAACGAGGTAGTGAATGGGTTCTAGTATAAGCGACTATAGATACCAATGTATTTCATTCCATCTTATAATTGGTCCCGACTTTTCTACGTTGAGGATTTTGCAATCAGTATTCGACGTGGGACGATATGTTTATTGTGTGTTTTTCTTTTCCTTCCTTTTTTTGTGTTTTCCCCCTACTTTTTTCCTCTTTTCTTTTTTTGATCACAGCCACCGGTATCCACGAGGGTTCGAAATAGGCAACACAAGTCCAAAGACGAACCGGCGCTGTCGTTGCTGCACGACACAAAGAATCTAGGTAACTACTTTCTCATAGTCCAGGTATACCTGGCCAATCAATACCTGGGTTAATCTTACTACTTGAAAATTGCAACAATGCGTTTCAAATGGGCAAGTAGGATTGGAGTAGAACAGCCGAACTAAAGCAAAGAGACCACTCCAGTCTGTTAAGATAAGAATTTCTGCTACTGCAGAAGCGTCCATGCGCATGTAGGAGCAAGCGTGCTTGGTATGGGGTTCAGTCTCTTTGAGGGGATAAACTAGGATGAGAACCGACCCCTGCGGTAGACACACCATTCGAAGTATCACCCATCAAACCCGTTGCCCTGTCGACATGAGACATATTTGCCGGCGTCTTTCTGCGTCTCTGATGATCTCTGCAGATAATTTCAAACTGGGAGCAAGATGCGCATATCTACCGACCTCCGCCATGACACTGGATATTATCCGGTCCACCTGAATTGTTGGGGGTAGTAAGATCGAAAGGGCTGGAGACATCGTTGCACCCATGATTAACAGAGTCTGTGAAACCATTGATAATGCACCCTGCCAAAGGTACGGAAGATGACCTTCGCGGTGGCTTGTAATATTTTCGAGCTGGCGTAAGGTAGCCTCCAAGCATCGTCGACAACACTCTCTCACTCCTGGGTCCGCAGATGCCTGCTCGTTTTCGAAAACAGCCAAGATGTAGGGTCGGTAGATAATTGTACGACATGCATAATATCGCAGCCTGAGAACAGTTTGAACCGGGTTGGAAACAGGTGTGTGAGAAAGGGGGAATTGAAGTGGCTGAGGCAGGTTTTCATACCACTGTGAGAGTTGGAAATCTAGCTCCGAGACTATTGGTCCAAGCGAGCCCAGGGTGAGAGAATTGTCCTTCTGGTAAATCATATGGCTCACTCGGTTGAGCAGGCGTCTCAAGGCAATCTCTGCTAGGAAGTACCAGAGCTCATCACGACCTACAGACCGACTACCATCTTCACTCCCTTGGCGTTCGCCGTCTATTTCCTCCTCCTCCTCTTCCTCCTCCTCTTCCTCCTCGAATCCACCCGGGAGATCGACAAGCTCTTCAAAGTGCACAATGCCCGAGTGTGGCAAGTCCAGCTCTGCTAGTAGGTCACTCTCGTATAGAAGCGCGTTCCAGTAAACCCTGACACTCAGTTCTCTCCATTGTGAAGGAACGCGCGAGGGATTGCCAAATAGCAACTGCAATTTCATACTAGCATTTGAAAGTAGAGCCCAGGCTTCCAGGGGCCGGACCAAGTAGAATAGGTAAGCGGAGGTAAGAATTATGCACTGTGCGGCAAGTACCGAGTTGCGCATCATGACGGATGGTAGAAGGCTCCATGCCGCTGCAAAATATGAGAGACCGGGGGCATCTTCATTTTGAGAAATGCATGAGATACTACCACGTTGGCCGGCACAACCAAGAGCTAATACCAGCAGAACAATGCAACTTTCAGGTCCTTCGCGAAATCTGGTCGAGACAGCGGCACTGTAGTACTGAGTCCACGTATGGGGATTGACACAGGCATACCATACATTAACTCGCTCGAAGAATATCTGAACATAAAGGCTAGCATTCGACATGTCGAACTCCATAAGGGTGGTCGTTCGCAGCGGCTCACGGGCCATTTCAAGCTGTAACAAGGTATGAGGATCATATGGACCTGAGACCAGGTCTCGGATCAGCGGCCACTGCAAAAGGTGCAGCGCAGGCGTAGTATGTAATTTGGGCATCGTGGATATACTTGTAGGTGGATTAGCCCAAGACCCGAGCCCAACTACAGATATCCTTCCTGGCATGGCAACGGGGTTTGACGTCTTTCCCATGACATCGTCGCTATGGGTATCATTGCTGGTCGTAGGCGAGTTTGTGGACAAGGGAAATGAAACCGGCTGGCCGGTTAGACTAGATTGCAATAATCCTTCGATTCTGTTCAGTCTTTCAATGATCAGCTTGTCCCCTGCATCGAGTTTAATGCCGGGCTCTCTGTAGATGCAGTCTACGTCGAGGTCGGTGCATAGCTGACATCTTGGCCGTGCACCATTGCATCTTGTTTTTCGGAGGCGACATATCTGGCACTGTCATTCCCCTCGGTAGTCGGCGATCAATATACGGCCATGCCAGCGAGAAGTATCGGAAGATGACACGTTGGGAAAGTTGGGGGGGCGGTGATAAGACATGGGCTATACAGGAACAACGGAGGACTTACAGCTATTGTAGCACGTCGCCGAGGGTACTCTGTCACCTCCGAATTTGAACGTTTTTTCTTGCTCGCTTGGAGACCAGCGGAAGGAATTGCAGTGGCTGCGTCAAGAAGCGCATCCCCATCTTGTTCTGGAGAAGGAGACATGGTGGATGTTGATGCCGGAATGTCTTGAACCGATGGAAGCGGGTTGGATAGATCCTGCGGATCCTTCACTAGAGGAGAGAGGCGGCGGCGCATGCACGGGTCAAGAGAAATCAATCGATCCGTCATCCACTCATTGTAGGATCAACAGCATATCTCGGATCCAAGACATTCTGGAGAAATAGAATCGGATCGGATAAAAAAAAGCGGGTTAAGGAAAGAGAGTTTGCTTCGCGGCGGTAACCATCTAGGTAGGTAGGTAGATAGCAGAACAAAGGGATCGGGCTTTCTGTCATGGTACTACGCAGTAGGAGTACTACTAGTAGGTCAGGTAAGGACCTACCTGGTACGGAGTAGGTACCGAGGAGTAAGTACTAGCGACGTTGCCATCATTTCCACCAACCATGCGGTCGTAGCAAAAAGCGGGGCGGACGCTACTCATAGGGTACTACTGTAGTACGGAGTACGGACTACGGAGTAATGTAGGTACAGTACTGTCGACAGGTCCAAGGACTGGATTACCGGCTTGGGGGCGGCCAACGGCCCGTGATCAAACCGTCTCGATCATTCCAGAGGGCCTTGCCTCGGGAGGTACCTATGAAGTAGGTACATGTCCATACTGCGGAGTATGTGCATACTACCTACGCTACATGTACTTACTCCGGAGTAGGTACATACTCCGTACATCCAGACCTGGCAGCTAGTGCGACCGGATTCTTTTGCCATTGGCCGGGCAGATTGACCGGCGGAACCACGTGCGGCCCAAACGCGTTCGGCCGCCAAAAACAAAAGAAACGCGACGGCCTCTTCCTCAAATTTGGACGTGGGAAATAAAACACAACAAACTGGCCGCAGATACTGTCCCTTTGATCGTTGACTGCCCTGGTTAACGAAACAGAGACTGCACCAAAGGCGAGAACAAAGAAAATCCGGTCGGTCGATTCGAGCTTTCATCCACAGCCAGCATGCCGCGCCCTCCCTCAAAACGAAGTCGTCCAGTCCCCAAAACCTTGACGGCCTCCAAGGAAGCGTCCCGGCGCAATGTTCGACATGGGGACGCCATCTCCGCCCAAACCCTGGGGTCCTCGCCAAAACGCAACCCGGATGTAGAAATCGCTACACATTCCAGGAGAGACCAGACTCCCGTATCCGATGCCCAGGAAGTCGCAATCGAGTCGTCACCGATGGGGGAGCGTGGAGCAACAGGGAGCCGACCACCCACTCGATCTCGTGGCTATTCATCTACGCTTTCCGTGGCCGGCCGAAAAGGAGAGACTGGCTCTAAGGTTCCCGGAACGCCTGCCTTTGAGAGTTCCATCCTGAGTAATTTCAGACGACGCCCGAGACAACCCAGTATCCTGCAGATGATGCAAGCAGAAGATGGTTCCTCAGATTTCGACGATGATGATTTTCTCGGTGGCTTCAGCCCAGAAGACGAGTCCACACCGCTGAATCTCACCAGGAAGAAATCACTCGCAATGCAGAGTGCTGTGGATTCGTCTCCATCCCAGATATCGTTGCCTCCCAGCGGTGGATCACGCAAGCGCAGACGATCCTTGAACGAAAATGCAAATCTCGAGGCACCCGTGGCTGCAATTCCTTCCAGTCCTGTTAACGCGGCAATTTCACCAAAACATCCCCGTGAACGAGAACTCCATGCCTCCGTCCAATCACAACAAACTCCAGGATCTTTCGCAGTGTCAATACAAGCAATGGAACCGCCCTTGAGCAGCAGCTTGCCTACAAGCCCCGCTCAACCGTTGACAGAGCCTCGAAACCCGACAGCAGCGACCACAGAGAGGGAGTCTGATAACAAGATCAACCTTCCGACCACCGCCCTCCAAGACAAGCTCCTTCCTAGACGACGTCAACGGCGGCGCAGACCCCGTCTCATGCCGGACGTGGAAGACCCAAACGATTCAAGCGACAGTGATGGGTCTGTGGGTGAGCAGGAGGAGGATGAATTGAGCTATCTTCCCGGCCAAACCACGTCACGGCAGCAACGAAGGCAACCGGCCAAGCCTCAAACGTTCCCCAATCTTCGCAACACACATGGGGCTCGGAAGGCCGCTCAGGCATATGAAAGCCAAGCCGCCGAGAGCTGCGATTCGACGGCCACACGTTCAAAACAAACGAAGGAACAAACCGGGAACGAGATTCGCGGGGATGCGTTGGGGACGGACAAAGAGAACAACGAATTGAACACCTCTTCCCCTATATCGTCCCCGCCTAACTCGGAGGCATCGGAACCGGAATCCCTGCTAGAAGAGATGTCAGTAAAGTTCGTCAGCGAGGAACTGAGAGCACAGGCACTAAAGTTTGCCGAGGTTGATAATTGGAAAATGGAATACGAGGACCTCCCCGCTAGCCAAGGGTGAACCAGTTATATACCCTTTACGTTAATCAGCAATGCAACCCTGGCTTCACCCTGAAATGCCAAATCTGCCTGTCGTAGAAGCCATGCGATCGAAATCCTTGTATGTACAGCATAGCGCAAGTTTCCCAGGACTTGCCGACGTTAGCCGACGGATGGCTGGCGTTGAGCCCCGCAATCAACCCCTCCGGGGCCAGCCATTCATGATTTTACAAATATTGCGTTCTTCATCCTCGATCCATGCTTTGGTAGTTCGAACACTGCTGACCCTGTTCCGTGCACATCTTTTCATCGGAAGCGGACGACGATGTCTACCTTAGAAGCCGTTCTAGCCGGCAAATATCCGGCCAAATCCCACGCGCGTCGGGTTGCTGAACACCTGAAGGCACGTGGGCATGACGGCCCTGGTGTCATTTATTTGGAGGCGCAAAAGACCCGTCTAATCGAAGACAATGACGAGCCCATGCCTTTCAGGTACACTTCGACCGCCCCCCCCCCCTCGCACAGGATATGGTCACTGATCGATTTCTAGGCAGCGCCGTCCCTTTTTCTATTTGTCAGGATGCCTGCTTCCTGATTCTTATCTAATATATGATGTGAACGCCGACAAACTGACTCTGTTTATCCCCCCGGTTGATCCCGAGGAAGTCATCTGGTCTGGCCTCCCTCTTTCCCCAGCCGAGGCCCTGGAGCGCTATGACGTCGACAGCGTGCTTGCGACGACCGAGCTCAACGAGTCTCTCCTTTCTATCGCCTCGGTATATCAAGGAAATGCCGTGGCTTTTGCCATTGCAGACCAAGTCTCGAGTGAGACTAAATTCGAAGGCTTTCTTGAAACCAACTACTCCGTCCTGAAGGAGTCCATCGAAAGGACCCGCGTCGTGAAAGACAGCTACGAGGTTGCCCTCCTAAGGAAAGCAAACGAAATTTCTGCAAAGGCACACGTTGCAGCCATCCAAGCCTCTAGGTCCGCAAAGAATGAACGTGAAATCGAAGGTGCATTCATTGCAGCATGCATTGCGAACGGCGCGCGTGAGCAATCCTACCACCCAATCGTCGCTCGCGGCGAGAATGGGGCCACCCTCCATTATGGTAGAAACGATGATAGCCTGAGTGACCCCGTGTCTCAGCAGAAGAAGGGAAGTGTACTCATCGACGCCGGAGGGGAGTATCGTACGTACTGCTCCGATGTTACCCGTGTTTTCCCTCTAGGTGGCAAATTCGCAACAGAGACTCGACAGATCTATGAGATTGTCCTCCGAATGCAGAGTGAGTGCATTGCGATGCTCAAGGACGGTGTCCAGTGGGAGGACGTACATGCCCACGCGCATCGAGTCGCAATCAGTGGATTGCTAGACTTAGGGATCTTGCGCGGCGCGAAGGACGAGCTGTTCGACAAAAGAATAAGTGTCGCGTTTTTCCCCCATGGACTGGGGCATTACCTTGGAATGGACACTCATGATACTGGAGGCAATCCAAACTATGGAGACAAGGACTCTATGTTCAAATATCTGCGAGTAAGAGGTCGTCTGCCGGCGGGATCAGTAATCACCGTTGAGCCAGGAGTAAGACCCCACTTTAGCCCTGGCCTCACTCTTGTTACTGACATTGTTTGTCCCTTTAGATCTACTTCTGTCGCTTTATCATTGAGCCTTTCTTGAAGTCTCATGAAACAAGCCAATACATTGATGCTAATGTCCTGGAGCGTTATTGGAGCGTTGGCGGAGTTCGCATCGAAGACAACATTCATATCACGAAGGAGGGATACGAAAACCTGACCACAGCCCCGAAAGCTATCGAGGAGGTAGAGGGAATGGCACAGTAAAACATGATGCGCACAAATTCGGACCAAATAGTAGCCAATCGAGTGATATTATCTTCTTCTACCTTGTACAGTACTACATGCCTTATTTTTGACTCCTGAGTATTGTTGTACATGCCAACTCAAAGGCCGCTCCGCAGTCGTTTTCTCCCACTTCCCTTAACACCGGATTCGGCTTCCGCTCTATCCTGCGACCGTTTTTCCTTGTGATCGAGAACAAGGCTGAGGACGTCGAAACAGAACTGGGGAACTTCAATACAAAGTTTCTTGAATTCTTGTTCCGCTTCATGACGCAACACATGACTCCTCATCGCCCAGAACGAAGCTACTGGCTTCCTAATCGTGACATCGTCTGTCGGCGTATGAGTGTATACATACCGGGCGTAGGCGATTTCACCTTGGGAGGTGCTGTTGATACGGTGAATTTTGGAATGAGCGAGAGTCTTCAGTGACGGAATACCCAGCTTCTCCGCCAATGTATAGACCCGTGCATGCTTTAGCAGCTGATCGCCGCTGTCATCAATTTCCCCAACGACAGCCTCTTCTGTGGACGACCCAGTAGGAGAGGCAGCGTAATCGCGCGTGTATTGGAATTGTAAAAAGTAACCGAAAGCTTCTACATTTTCGTCGGGAAGTTCGATGCGTCGCTGTTGGGGTTAGCAGATGCCCCCATTTGACCGGGATTGGGGTGTTAGATTACAGAGCTTGAAGCTTTAAAAGCCGCGACAGCCTCTGCAAGCAGTGGAGATTCTAGGAGAAGGCTTTGGTGTGCGGTCAAGACCGTTGGATCCTCTTGTGGCCCAACAACAAGTTCCACGATAGGCGACGTGAGAAAACTGGAGCGACGTAAGCAAGAGACCTCTCTCGCAGGCCAATGATCAGAGGAAGGAGTAGATGGCCTAAGCTAGACAGGCGACCGAAGGAGAGAGCCTTACTCGAGGAATTGAAGCATAGGTTTCTTCTTCACCGCAGCTGGCTCCTCCAGTGGCTTCGGTTCTTCCATTTCTGCATCTGGCAGAGGATCTTGAGTAGGTTGTGGCTGGCCTTCATTCGCGGCATCCGTGTTCTGGGTCGAGCCCATGACCACATCAGGCGCTTCATTGTTCGAAGGAGCCTGGGTACTTTCTGAAGCCTGGGTGGGTTCAGGACCGCCAACCTCTACGTGGGGCCTGTCCATCGGAAATGCCGGTTTGCGATGATCGCGTTAACGAGTAATGGACGGTCGAGGCGCGGAGAAAAATGCAGGAGAGTTGAAGGGAAACAATTGGCTTCGAGCGACGTGATTAGAAAGCGATGAAGATTGTCCGGAGTGTTGCAGGTGGAAAAGAGGGTAATCCAATGCACGGGTTGACAGGGGCAGGACGGAGCTGAAGCGAGAGCTTTGGCGCCCAGGTACCGGAGGGAAAGAACGTATGGAGTAAACGTCAACAGTTCCTGAGTTCCTGAGGCTCCTTTGACTACGAGCGGTCTACACACACAACAGACATTTCATCTCATTTTATTTTTAATTGCACATCAGGTTCTTGCCTGATGATTGATAGAAGAATATGTCTCAGTGTTCCCCCCCTCCTTTCTTTTCTCTCTCTCACCCCTCACCCTCTATCCATCTATCTATCTATTATTATTATTATTATTATCATCATCATTTTTGAGGAAATTCAGGTAACCGAGCTCTCACGGTCCATGTGTCTGTCTGAGGAAGAGGGTATTGGCCTACGGACGTATAAACTTGAATAATTGATTGATGTACCTAGGTACCTGGGAGGATTCCAGAGAGCTGTAGATATTCCGTAAGGTACCTTAGGCATGTATCTCTTGTAACGTAAGATGAGGTACGGGTATTTACCCTGGTAGGTACCGTACGTACCTACCAGGTCTAGGTACTGTACCTCTGGGGCGGTCTTTCCGCCGGTAGCCGGTCATGTCACGGTCGCAATTTTTCCACCTTGCCAGTTTTGTCAGGTGGTGAACAACTAGGTCAAGTGAAGACAACTCCGTAAGGGCTAAAAAAGACGACTGGGATTTGTCTTCTGCTATATCTCCCTGATTCCAAGCGTGGTGATCTCTCCCACCACCCGACCACCCCACCCCGCACCTCAGTTCTTACCCCCAACCCCTCCTCAAGATGGCAACCGCTAGCAACCCACGCAGGGATCCCAATACATTGAGTAATTACGATAGCTGGGTGTCGACCCATGTCGTTGCAAATTTCGCGATCCTCTTCGATGAGAAGAAGCTTGCCGGAAACGTTGTCCATAAGCTCAAATCAACAACCGATTCCGAATCTACCGAGATCGTCCTGGACACCAACAATGTGAAGATCGGGAGCGTGCAAATCGATGGCAAGTCCTCGTCGAACTGGGAGCTTCTGCCTCCGCTGGAACCTTACGGCGCTGCATTGAAGATAGTTCTTGATCATGGTGTAGGCCGCAACGAGATAGTCACAGTCGATGTATGTTTTCCTCCTGAACTTTGCCCTACAACCAATCAATCAGTCTAACATTGCAATAACAACTAGATTGCCGTCGAGACAACTGACCGATGCACTGCGCTTCAATGGCTAACCCCAGCCCAAACATCGAACAAAAAACATCCCTATATGTGTACGTTGACACCCCTCTGGAGCCGAGGCAGGGAAAGGCACGGCCGATGTGTTTCTAACAAGCCATATCTAGTTTCTCAATGTCAGGCGATCCACGCACGGTCCATTTTCCCGTGCCAAGATACTCCTGATGTTAAGTGTACTTTTGATTTCAATATCAAATCTCCACTGCCCGTGATTGCTAGTGGCTTACCTATTGACAAGGAAGAGCCGCAGTCTAGTGACAAAACATATCATTTCCAACAGAGAGTGCCGATCCCTTCTTATCTGTTCGCTCTTGCTAGTGGGTAAGTGATTACAATGGCTTGTTAATAACCAATGCTTACTTTAAGGATGACAGTGATATTTCAGAAGCTACCATTGGACCACGGAGCGCTGTTGCAACAAGCCCTGACAAACTCCAGGAATGCCAATGGGAACTTGAAGCAGATACAGAAAAATTCATCCATGCGATCGAGGTTTGTCCCCTTAGATTGAGAGCAAACAATCGTGTTCTCCTTCTAATTCTCGTTTCTTAGGCGATTGTCTACCCCTACGCTTGGGGTAGATATAATGTCCTGATCCTACCGCCGAGCTTTCCGTACGGGGGCATGGAGAATCCGATCTTTACGTTCGCCACTCCTAGTATCATTTCCAAGGTCACTAGTCCCAGGAATTTGAATCCTGCAGAGAGCCATGACTAGATGCTAACCTAAGTTGCAGGATAGGGAAAATATTGATGTCATTGCGCACGAGCTTGCGCATAGCTGGAGCGGTAACTTGGTTACGAATGCCTCTTGGGAACACTTCTGGTTAAACGAGGGCTGGACAACCTATCTTGAGAGACGGGTATGTGCTTGGCTTATGATGCTTCGTTCTCGCCTGCTCCTCAGAGAAAACACCACTAACTGCCGATTGCACATTAGATATTAGCTGCAGTGTAAGCACTCCATACGCTCAAGCTCGGCCAACCCATCCATACTAACCCAAATATAGCCATGGTGAACCATATAGACATTTCTCAGCCATCATAGGCTGGAAGTCGCTTGCTGATTCCGTGGAACATTTTGGACATGATCACGAGTTTACTAAACTCATTACCGACCTTAAAGGCAAGGACCCCGATGATGCATTCTCAAGCATTCCCTACGAGAAGGGATTTAATTTCTTGTTTCATTTGGAAACGTTATTGGGGAAACATAAATTTGACCAGTTTATCCCTCACGTGAGTTTCCTATCAAAATCCTGAATAATGAGTCACTGATCATTTGTTGTAGTACTTCATGGCATTCAAAGAAAAGTCCCTTGATTCGCACGAATTCAAAACGACAATCCTGAACTTTTTCCAGTCTGATGTGGAAGCCTATAAGTTGCTCAATGATCTCGACTGGGACACCTGGTTTTACGCGCCTGGAATGCCACCCAAGCCCCACTTTGATACCTCTCTTGTAGATGTTGTTTACGAGCTGTCAAAGAACTGGAAGTCGCTTCCTGAATCATCCTTCAAGCCCCGCCCGAGTGATATCGAAAATTTGACCGCAAACCAAGTGGTCGTGTTCTTGGAACAGATTCTGCTCGGAAATCCACTCACACCTGACCTGTCTAGGCTCATGGGTCAGATATATGGATTTGCTTCAAGTGAAAATATAGAGGTCTCAAATCTTTATTTTCAAGTGGGCCTGAAGGCCGGTGACGAAAGCGTGGTTGAGCCAACCACAGAACTACTAGGCAGGATTGGGAGAATGAAATTCGTTCGACCGCTGTAAGCTTTCTTTTGTGGCTGTGTGCAACGGGACTTTCACTGACTGGCTAATGCAGTTACCGAAACCTGCAGCGATTCAGCCGTGCTCTTGCAGTTGACACCTTCGAGAAACATAAAGACTTCTACCATCCTATTTGTCGAGCCATGGTTGAGAAAGACCTGCTCGGCAAAGGAGGATTGTAGATTGGGGGAAGTGGCCTCATCGGGCGTCATATCTTAGATGTTCGAATAGAGAGCATGCCCGATTATGGACCTTTTTTTTCTTTCTCGAAATGGAACGTGGCTTTGAGGGATTGGGGAGAGGATAACCTGAATGTTCAATAATGAACTGATGCTACTGCGAATCTCTTCAGTTCCTAGGCAATAAAACACTGGTGTTTCGCTCGCGATTTGTTCAATATATATTGTATAATTCTGGTCTGCTGTCAGTTGCAAATGGCAGTATTGGCCTTTATTATTAACATATTGCCTTGCAAAGGGCGAAGGCATAATAAGACAATAAGGAAGAAAAGGCGTGAAGGGGGAGGTTGGTTCAGCTGAACGGGATTGGATGGTTTGCATCCAGACCTGAGTTCTTGTTTATATGTGCCTCTTGAGTGCCATCAGGGGAGAGAAACTATCGCCTCGAATCCACCATAGATTTGTCAGAGACCGAGTTGCCAAATATGCCAGGCTGTTCTTTATTCCGCTCACTTAGCTGGAATATCAGATCGGCTTCGGTCACTTGAGAAAGCTCCGAGGTTACTCGCCGCATATACGAGACAACACGAGCAATTCTCGCCCAATCCAACTCTGTTCCATCTGGTTCTGTGTAGCTTGCTTTCCACAAGTTTCTCCAAACTGCCGCTCCTAGGACTGCATCTCCTTTCACAAGACCCTCGTCATAAGCCGCAAGGACTCCCCGCCACTGGATGAACAGATCTTTAAGAAACTTGTTTCGAATAGCACGGCTGGTTAAACCATGAAGCACATCCATTCTGTGTTCAGCGTTGTGAGAAAAATGATCAATCAAGTGCCTTGAATATGTCTGGAAGCTTTCATGGGATGGCAGAGCTCGCAACCGGACTGTCAGCAGGTACATGTGAAGAAATGTTACTTGTGACCAGGTCGAAAATGTCGGAAGAAGACCCAAATCTGGCCTCCAATGATTAGCTCCACAACTTCGCTCACTCAGGATACCATTTTGCTGGCTACACACCTTCGTACCACCACCCTGCCCCAACACCTAGGTCCTCGCCAGCTGCAGTCTTGGGCACCTGAGCCCCCTTTTGCGATACTTGAGGGATACTGTAATCTGCCTGCACGGAACAGGCCTCGAAGAGCTTCTGGGTCATTCCGTATGCCACATAGGTCTCCGCTGCTGAGCCCTGCCGCGGCATAACAGCTTGTGCTAGTCGCGAGGAGTTCCTGTGATGCTGAAGAACAAAGCCGGAACGGGACAGCGTCGTCGGCTGGAGCGATTGGCGTGCGCTACGCGAGGAACACGCATCTGTGGAGAGAGAATTTCGGGCTACATCTGACGAGGTGGACGCATAACGATTGAGGGTGCTTGGTGAAATCGACGATCTGTAGATGGCATGCACCTTATCGCTCACATTAGTCCCAATCCGTTGAGCACATTTTCCAAAGTCGATGCATTGCCATACCTGGGGTATCGAGCCTCGAGGACTAGGAAGCCCTCGCACTCCAGAATTGATTGTCAATGTCCTGTGTAGCATTGTGCAGGTCATTTTTCGAATATTTGGACTTGATGCATTGCTGCAAACTCATGGAAGGAGAATGGTTTTAGCGGTCGATCCCATGTTTGCACTGTTTGCCACCGATTCCTCGGCGACCGCGGAGACTCACTCCTCCACAAAGATCCTTCTCGTGGCTGGACATATTCTAATGTCGTAAATTCCCGAACAAATACTACAGGGATTTAGTGAAAGATCACCATGTTACAGAATGATACCGAGTCTTTCTAATCGTCACTATCTCCTGAATAGACATGAGTGAATATCTGCGTGTTGCTAGGGCCTTGGAACGATTTAACGAGCGTAATGAGCATACAACTGGTCCTTCATCCCTTCTCCGTGACACTGGTCCAATCAAATTTGAATTGCTTTTAATTTGTAAGAGATTGAACAACATCGCTGCATCGGTTATTAAGTAACGTTCCTCGTCCCATCTACCCGAGAAGAGGGTTTATTCTGGCTTTTCAAAGCTTCGCCATCGATGAAGGTGTCCCGTACCAACAAGAAAATAGTGGAAAATGGCTGAAAGCGTCGCTTGAATAAACAAGTCTGAAAATTCCTAGAGCATTGTTCACTTACTAGGATAGATCACACGGGGTTTGGCAGTAGATGCCAATGTTGGATAAGTGACTGGACGAAAATGCACTCTAGATGTGCAGTATTCGGGGTGCTTGGGCATGTAGGACGCAGGCATGAGGTGTCAGGGTTTAGAAGATAGCGTCCCAGATAAATCAACGATTGCGAACTCAGAGCTAAGCAGAATAGCATCTTTGTTCACTAGCACAATTTTGACCCGGCAAACTATGAATTGGTTTGCTAGGGCATGTGCTCACCTGTGATAAAGTTACCGTAAGGGGCGTCCTTATCCCTGCAAGTGGGAAGCAACTGGGTGGAGCACCGTGCTGATCGGATTTTTTCTTTGCTCCTCATGCTAGCGATTCTCAACGTAAGAGGATAATTGACAATGACGCTCTCATTATGGGAATGTGACCATTTCTAATTTCTCAAATCGACCCGTTCTAAGCGCTTCTCCAGGAGTGGCAAAGCTTCTGAAAGTCTATTGGGGTCTCTCATCACGGCTGGGACGTCGTCTCTAGTAGCTGCCAATACCTGTATGTGATCGGTTAGCCTTGGGTCTTCCATCAAGTTTTCCCTGAGAAGCTGGGAATATACCCGTCGGACGGTCGCGTAATCGCATTCTTTGGACTGATATTCTCGAATCACCTCCATGCTTTCGAAGTCGACGTAGACCCTCGTATCTCTGAGGCGAACCAGGACATTATCAAGCCTCATGAAGAATCTCGATAACAAAAGCAGTCGCTTCGGCATCACACGAATTTTACACGATAGCGTTGTGATACCATTATCAGCAAGTTCGTCTTCATATAAGATGACCTCATCAAAAAACAAAATAGGGTCGGGACGCTTCAGTAATTCGACGGGAATCGGCTTTTCTGTTGCCTCGAAGGGCAGGCTTTTAGTATGAATAGTGCCCAGATAATCTGTGCTATAAGACCAGTCGAAAGGTTTGACAACTTCCTTGATGCCTTCATGTGTCTTCTCCCTATGTTTTTCTCTACAGTCAGATCTAGGGTCTAGATTTTGGTGGGGGGGGGTCGGCTTTACCTGCTTCTCTGCCACTCTTTCGAATAAGCAACCTTCAACATCGACGCGCCCGTTTTGTCTACACGATCCAAGGCATCGAATGCGTTGAATGTTATTCCCCAGTGCCCATTTTCTTGTTCTATCGTTACATAGTTGTCTCCAAAAATCATCTCCGGCGGCGCAATGCCTAACTTTTGAGTCATATCTTCGATCGGATCGGCTTTCAGTATGGGACGTTTCTGGGTAGTGATTTTGAATCCCATGACGGAGATGGTATTGGGGCTTGGGTCTAGGAGAGACATTGTGGCTGGATGTATCGCTGTTTTCCCTTTTTTGGGGGGAGAGGTTCTCTGCTAGAATCGGGGAATCACTGGGAGCGCCTGGAGCGGCGGTGGTGAGCTACCATCTTGATGCCCCGCGGCCCCGGAGAAAGAGGCGGACCGACTGGTTACCCCGGTGATGGGTCTAGCAACTGGCCGCGGATAAACAGCCTGTCAGCTGGAGCTTCAACTTCCCTTCCCCCGTTTATTATTTATTTCATTCTTCTCTTCCGACAAAACACTCAACTCACCTCCTCATCCGATGCATCTGAGCAAGGCTATGCTACAATAATCGACTAAATTTGGAACAATCTCGTTACCTGTTTCCTCCTCTTCCTTTCGTGCTTCAACCCCACAAAGCATCCCAATGTCTACGAAGACGCTGGAAGCTCGCCTCGAGCATCTCTCCGTTAAAGATGAAAATGAGTCCGGGAATAATGTGGGCGGGTATACGAAGCATAAGGTAATATCGCACCATTCAATACGGTTACATGGCCGGCTAATGAAGTGCTTCAGAGCTCTTTCTCAACAGCGGCCTCCCTTGCGGGACTTGGGACTTCTGCACCGTTGAATAACGCCTCGAATAGGTCCAACCTGCTTAAACTCGCTTTGCAAAACACCAATGACAACAAGGTCAATGCGATGAATGTTGGGTCTTCCCCCACAAAAGCCAATTTACCACAGCGCAATGTGGACGAGAACGGAGACCAGCGTCATGCAGCACTTTACGAGCAACCGTCCCCCAAGAAATTACACCTTGGAATGTTTGAGATTGGCAAGCCGCTAGGGAAGGGGAAGTTTGGTCGTGTTTATCTGGCCAAGGAGCGATCGTCGGGCTTCGTATGTGCACTCAAGGTCCTGCACAAGTCCGAACTGCAACAGGGCGGGGTGCAGAAACAAGTCAGGCGCGAGATTGAAATCCAAAGCAACCTACGCCACCCTAATGTGCTACGGCTTTATGGCCATTTTCACGACAGCAAGCGCATCTTTCTTATCCTGGAATTCGCCGGCCGAGGTGAACTGTATAAGCATCTTCGCAAAGAACACCGGTTTCCCGAGTGGAAGGCTGCCCAGTACATCGCTCAAATGGCCGCTGCCTTGAAATACCTGCACAAAAAGCACGTCATGCATCGAGACATTAAACCCGAGAACATTCTAGTGGGAATTCATGGTGAAATCAAAATCAGTGATTTTGGTTGGAGTGTTCATGCGCCGAACAACAGAAGGCAGACGATGTGTGGTACATTGGATTATCTGCCTCCGGAGATGCTCAAACCTGGATCGCAGGACAACTTTTACAGTGAAAAGGTTGACCTGTGGAGCTTGGGTGTGTTGACATACGAGTTTCTGGTTGGAGAAGCACCTTTTGAAGATACCCCCGTCATGACGCAGCGAAGAATTGCACGAGCAGATATGTCGGTCCCTTCCTTCGTGAGTTCCGAAGCAAAGGACCTTATCAAAAGGGTATGTTCAACCCTGCCTGTTAATACACACCTGCTTACTCTTTATATATAGCTCCTCGTGCTTGAACCAGAGAAACGCATTTCTCTGGATGAGATCCAACGACATCCCTGGATTCTCAAACACTGCATCAAGGAAGAGAAAACCATGAAACGAGGCTCTGGGTTGTCTAAAGATGGTAAATCTTGAAGCGTTCACGCATTTCCAGGGGTTTTGGTGTTGTAATGTTAATTCCAAGGGGGTTATATTGCACTGCATGGGTGTTTTCTTTGTCTTTTGCTTCGTGTGGGTTTGGTTTGGAGTTTGGGGCCTGGCACTGGGCACTCCCCAGCCCAGATAAAGGTGTTATATGGTCTTCCCATGTGAGGATATTGAATAATATTACAATGATTTCTTCCAACAGGAATGAGGAGAGAGATACATGACAGAAGGGTATATATGGTATGGTATCATCGATAAATTTCATCGAAGGGTCGCGTGTCCCGGAAACAACTGTCCCAGACCTCATTGACAACTTTCGCCGCATGGGCCTCATCTTTACATCCCGGTCTTGCTCGTACTGACAAAGTGGCCCGTCTTCGCACACATTCCTGATGTTGCTGCGTGAACTTCCACTGGCCTCGACGAAAGAACTCTCTCGCCCATCTACATTCCCCACTGAGAGAACTGGCGCGGATCTGGAGCAAAGTTAAATCAACCAATCGTCTTCTAGCCACGCAGAACTTGGCCTCTTGCTTACCTCTGCACAAGCAGCATGCCGAAGGTTGTCCGACCAATTGACTTTGAATCTCAAATGATCATGGGCATGAACCATTTCATGAGCCATTGTGTCCTCGAGGTGCCCTTGATCTTTCATTTCATTGGCGCAGAGAAGTATTCCGTACTCCGGATCAAACCCTCCCGCTTTTCTATTTGTGCACCGACGGCAGTAGATATTGTGACTGGAAAGGTCCCCTCCGAGCTGTCGAATGTTGTCACTCAGATAGCGAATGACCGGGCCTAGAATCAATCTCGTTGAGCCACCTGTCCGAGTCTACCATAAATGGGGATTGAAGACGCACTCCACTGTAATAGGTAATCTCGCTGGCTTTCACAACGTTTGCAATCTTCCGCCTCATTCCGGATATCTCTTGCCACGCGGAATTCTTCCTTTCCTTTCTCTGTCATTTTCCCCGACAAGATGGCAAAAACATTGCGCCATTGGGTCCAAGCGTCGTCCCCGGGTACAAATCCTGTGTCCTGGGAGCTTTCAGGAGAGGCTGGCGTGCTCGGCGGCCGGGACTCTGGCATTGCGGGACAGATAATTGCGCTCCGAGCTGATGATTGAGGTGAATCGGTCAAACAAAGACCAGGGAGCTCCGCGGGCAAGGAAGCAGAATTTCGCCGCGTTTCTCCGCATTGGCGGTAACATGCGGCAGAAAAGGGCTGATGCCAATGAATCAGAGCATTGAATCATTGAAATGGTCTTGTCAGTTGCGGGGTCCAGGAAGTAAGCAGCCTTGCCTACTCAGAGGCTCTGCCATGGGAATTACTGTGACTTCGTATTAAATCAAGTCAGGTTAGCAACACAATGGCCTCTCCATCACGGTTAACGATTGTCATCAAGCTTGGTGCGGCCAGCCTACCTTCCTTGCAAGCCGGTCAGTGTCGATGCTGACTCCTTTCCTCCAGGAACAAGCTCTATTGTGGATGAGAATACGCATGAACCGATTCTCTCAATCCTCACATTGATAGTCGAGACTGTTGCTAAGCTTCACCGGGACGGCCACAATGTCGTCCTCGTTTCTTCTGGTGCTGTCGGCGTGGGACTGCGGAGAATGGATGTGGACGAGAGACCGGACAATCTTCCCCGCATACAGGTATAGACTATGTGCTCCCGTCACGAAGGTAAAGGCCCGCAGGCTAATTCTACCCTCAGGCGCTAGCGGCTGTGGGACAGTGCAGGCTTATGAGCCTTTGGGACGGGTTATTCTCGCACCTTCGGGTGCCAGTTGCCCAGATTCTGTTGACTAGGAATGACATCGCAGACGTGAGCCACCTGGTATTTACCGATATACGAAGCATGAGCTCTAACATCAGACCAGAGAACGCAATATATGAATGCTCAGAATACCTTCGGGCAATTGTTTGACATGGGAGTCATTCCTATCGTCAACGAGAACGATACACTTGCCGTTTCAGTATGTTTCTTCTCGGCTCTCATATCTCGAAAAGCCAGAACTGACTCGAGCCCTGTCTAGGAAATTAAATTCGGTGACAATGACACCTTGTCGGCCATCACGGCCGCCATGGTCAAGGCTGATTACCTTTTTCTGATGACGGACGTCGACTGCCTTTACACTGCCAATCCACGCCACAACCCGGATGCCCACCCAATTGAAGTGGTTTCCGATATATCTTCGTTGGAGGCGGATGTCTCCTCGGCTGGCTCATCTCTGGGTACTGGAGGTATGAGCACCAAGATTGTGGCAGCCAAACTGGGCACCAGTGCTGGTGTGACAACCGTCATTACTCGAAGCTCAAAACCTGGAAATGTTCATGAAATTGTGAAATACCTTCAGCGAATTCAAAGCGATTCTCATATTCATTCTGCACCGGGTGACAAGACAGGGAATGAGATCCCGGCGCCTCCTCTTCACACGCGATTTTTGCCCTCCGAGGATCCAATACAGTCCCGATCATTTTGGTTACTACATGGCTTAAAGCCACGGGGCACTATATTCATCGATCAGGGTGCCTTCACCGCCCTTCAGAATAAGGCCAGTCTCCTTCCAGCAGGTGTTTTAGACGTGGATGGTCTTTTTGCCCAGCAGGAAGCGGTTCGGATAGTCGTGATCCAAAGAATATCCCCTGACTCCCTCAACGGAGACTTTCTGCACCATGGCCAGGAGCCGAAGGAGGTTGGTCGCGCATTAGTCAATTACAGTAGCCATGAAATCGCGCGCATCAAGGGTCACCGAAGCACTCAATTACAATCATTGCTGGGATACGCAGACAGCGAATATGTTGCCTTGCGAGAAAACATCTCATTTTGGTAGGCGTTCCTCTGGCAAGGTAAAGAGTGCTCAGCTGCTGCGTGTTGAGGAAATTCACCCGGAGAGCTGGCCCACTGCGTTATCCCGTATCGGTCGGCTCTTTTTTTTTTTCCCTTTTTTTCCCCTTTTTTTTCCCCCTGGAGGGGGTCCTTGGTTCATGAAGGTTTTGGTTAAAGCGGTCTTTGGAAAGTACATGGTTTCTTTATTCTCCAACACGATTCACATGCTCCAGACACGAAATGACAGTAACTACAAGATAAACGAAAGATTACATTATTATGAGACACAGCCGCAATATCCATCCTAGCCCAGCCCTGCAACCGAATACATATTCGTGAAGTACATGCATCATAGTTGTCATTAAGCCTAGTCTTTCCACCTCGCCAAGAACTTTTCCATTTCCGCGTCATCGGGATGAGGTGCCGGCGACGCCTGTAATGGAAGTTAGGTTTTGCCAGTCGCTCAGAAAACAAAGGAGACTATACGCCAGGCAGGGTTCTGGTTTCACGTACCGTATTCTCGACACTGACTACTGAGTATGTTCGAGCAGCCGACAGTGTGGCCTTGACTGTAGGCGCGGGAAGATATGCCGTCGCAACACTATAGGCGCTGGTTGGAAACTGGGGGGTTGGCGACGACCTCGCGGGGATCGTGCTTCTGGGCTTCTTCGCCATTGGTGCATATTTTGTTGGGCCACTCTGTAACTGATATGGGATGGTGTACGCCCCTACAGCCTGTCTTTTCCGCAGGTCTTGGTGTGCGCGGTCATCACTCATGAAATCGACGCTGTCGTGCCCGGCCATTCCAGTGAGCGTAAACCAACCCGAATGGCGGACAACTAAGACGTCTGGTCCTGAGGCGACCATTTTCAGATAACTGCGAGGTGGCAAGACAAGCACTCCGGTTAGTCAAGAAGGTCCACCTCTGCTGGTATATGACTTAATTGCTCGTACTATGCTTCTGGTGCGTCGCCGCTAACATCTGGATTGATTTCAAAGGAGACCGAATTGCCGCGGGCAAAGACACCTCCTTGAATCAGGAAGGCGGTTTCATCCTGTACATCCCCGTTTCGATCAATTGGTGACCTCTAGCAGTAATTCACGGCAATCCAACGCAGAACCTACATCTGCACCGGGTGCGTCCCAAAGAGCACAAAGATAGAGGTCGTACTGTACGAGATCCGAGATGCGAGGAGACGTTCCCGAGTCCTTCCAATGCGCCGTCACGACATGACCAGCTTCCAGGACTGAGCCGGTTACTGGGTCGGTGAATTCGATATCTGCCAAAGCAGTCTGAAGGAAAGCACAGGCCAAGAACAGTAAACAAGAGACGTTCATGATAGCGGAGCGGGCTGGCTTTCGAGGGAGAAAAAGCATGATGGGTCAGGTCCCACCAAAAAAAGGAAGTAGGAGTAGAAAAAGAAAGGCTTGCATAGCAGGATGGCTTCTTGGTTGATGAGAGAAGGTTGACACCCTACCAACCACCCCCTTGCGAACCATTGGCATGCAGACTGGTATGGCCCTATCGCCCAGTGGATTGCTCTTTCAGGTAGGATGATTCCTTGCTGCAGACAGATGTGGGAAATGCAGCCCGGTGAAGGGATTATTAACTGTCTGACATGAGTTTTCGTACATACATGATCACGAAGCCTGTTGGTCATTGATCAGGGCAGGCCGGGTCTGTCTCTGTCCGGGTGGAGCTGCGGCGCATGGCCGGATCCAGGCTCCAAGGCAGCCAAGGGTGGCATGATCATTGCATCCATCGACTAGCGAACTCTTGCCGAACTTCAAAACAGCCAACGACCAAAGCCGGACCACGTTTGGCTTGACGATGATTACAACCCGGTTCCTGGCGAAATCCCAGTTCTAGACCACACTCGATCTTCTCGCTTCGTGTTCTCGTCGACTCCATCAATCAAGATGGGCAGTCATGCGGATTGGAGGTCCGCCAGTGGGATAGCTACAAGCTTACTTGACGGGAATCCGATTGCCATTGCCGTCACTTTTTTCATTGCCTTCGGGTTACCGGTCTTACTGCACCTGATATTCTACCGGACTGTAGCGACTCCACCGTCCAGCAATTTTCTGCTCCTTGGGCCGAGTGGAGCAGGCAAGACTGCTCTTCTGTCCCTGGTAAGTCGGCCTGTTCTTAGTAGCATGCCTGACCAAGCCTTGCAAGCATTGAAGGATGGCCATGCTGACATGATCTCGGGGACTAGCTCGAAGCGAAATCGTCTCCCCGTACGAAGAAATCCCCCGCTACGCATACGTCCCAGACCTCTACCTTTGCCACGGTCAGCCTTCCTGCTTCCGTCCCCACCGCTTCGAACCGGTACCGGTCTGTGAATGATCCCTCCCTGAAAGATGTTTCACGGAATCCTCTCAAGTACCGCGTGAGGGATACCCCTGGCCATGGGAAACTCCGCGAGTCGCAGGGACTCTCGGAGCTCCGCTCCATGTCGTCCTCAAAGGACAACAAGTCCAAGGTGCGCGGTGTTTTGTTTCTGGTCGACACGGCGGCCATTTCGGAGGCCGATGCACTACATGATACGGCTTCCTATCTGTACGATGTGCTCCTGATGCTTCAGAACCGTGCCCTGAAGAAGGGAAGGTCCTCGATGAAGGCGGCCTCGGAAATATCCGTTCTTGTCGCGGCCAACAAGCAGGATCTCTTCACAGCCTTGCCGCCGAGATCGGTGGGAGAGAAGTTGGAGGATGAGATTGACAGAATCCGGAAGTCCAAGAGTAAGGGGATCATGGATGCGAGTGCTGATCAGGGCGTCGAAGAGGATGAGGATGATATTCTGGGAAGCAGCGATGTCCGAACTCCCTTCAGCTTTAAACTTCTGCACGACGAAGTGGGTGTGAAGGTTGACGTTGTTGGGGGAGCTGTCAAGGGTGACGAGGAGGGCAATATTGGAGCTGGTGCCAGGGAATGGGAAAACTGGATCGGCCAGTGTCTTTGATTGGTCTTGGGCGGGGTTGTATGTTGCTGTGTATGGAGAAAATGTGTGAATAAGTGAATGAATTAACCGCATGATAATGAATTCAAAACTCTTTCATGTTTATGCATATATCAGTGACTCCATGAACACCACTTATTCCCTCTTGGGCTCGACAAGCCCGATAACAATGCATAATTGGGCTTCTATTTAATGCAAATCAAACGGCTATTAACAATAGCCAATTAAAACCCCTGACACAAAAATATTTTCCAGTGATCATGAGACGGCTGCCTTTCAAATCTGCTTACCAACAGGTATCAGGAGGCATGCTTATTGTGATGAAGCAGCCAGCTGAGCAGATCAACCTTTGTGGCAACTGCAACCGGCTTCATTGCACCATTTTCACCTTTTTCGGTGACAATTGCTGCACTGTTCCATTCGAAGAATCGGTTGAGAACACTCAGTGGGGTGTCCATCGTAATCTCCACAAATTTGCGATTGCGGACCTTGGAGCTTTGAGTTGCACCGGAGTCACCCCCGCTGGAGCTGGCCAGTCCCATGTCTCTGGGGTCAGTAACAACCTCGGGGATCTTGCTGAAGTTGAACATGACATCGGCAACAGGGCTCTTCCCCGTGGCCCGTCCATGCGTCAATCGACTAAGAACGTTTCCAAGAGTGACCAGCCCGACAAGCTTTTTTCCAGAAGATGCCAGAACAGGGAGTTGATCAAAACCTCGGTCTCGCATGACCTCAATAGCATTCTCACAAGGTGTGTTCGATAGGACCGTGGTGATTGGCTTCAATCTCAAGGAGTTGACCTTGGATTCAGCGAGTTCATCGCGCTGTTCCTGCGGCGCCGGGGTCGGGGCGCCAAGAGATGGCGACGATAGAAGTCCATTTGCAGCGAGCCAGTCGTCGTCGGCGAACTAGAATAAATGAGTAAGAAACCGGACATCGACGCAGGATTAGATTTGGGGAGGGGGGCCGGGATGTTCCGTATATTACCTTGGTGAGATAGCTTCTTATGCTGTCGGGCAGAACCACAACAACCACATCGTCCTTCCCAAAGTTGTTCTCTTTAGCAGCCTGGACTAATGCTGAGATGGCACTTCCACTGCTTCCTCCGACAAGCAGGCCCTCTTCGGCTATCAAGCGTCTAGCGTATTGGAAAGATTCCTTATCTTCTGTCTTGTACCATTTGTCAACAGCCTGCTGGTCGAGGACTTCAGGAATGAAGTCATATCCGATACCCTCGACCTTGTAGGGCTCATTAACATGTTCCTCGTTGAGGGCAGCTGGGAGAGCCAAGATCGATCCCTGGGGGTCGGCTCCAATCACCTGGACCTTGGAGTTGTGCTTCTTGAGACCCCGGGCCAGTCCGGTGATCGTGCCACCAGTCCCGGCACCGGCAACAATCGCCTTAATTTGCCCGTTGGTTTGGGTCCAAATCTCTTCGGCCGTACCAAATTCATGAGCCAGCGGGTTGTTCTCGTTTCCATATTGATCCAAAATGTGGGCATTCGGCAGCTCCTTCTCGAGACGCTTGGCGACCCCAATATGAGATTCAGGCGAGTCATAGGCGGCCTCGTTCGGCGTACGGATGATAGTTGCATTCAGCGCTCGCAAGACGGCTACCTTCTCGGCGGACATTTTCTCGGGGAGCGTGATGATTGTCTTATAGCCTAGCCGATGAAAGAAAGTCAGCGCACTGTGCACGTTGCTGAGCACCTGGAAAATATGGCATTACTGACCTTTAACGGCCGCGACAAGCGCGAGACCGATACCACTAGAGGGAATAGATGGTTAGCTTGATAGAGGGCCGAGTGGGTGATAAAAATAGGTGATGTACGTATTTCCACTCGTGGGTTCAATCAAAGTATCGCCCGGCTTGATTCGACCGGAGCGTTCGGCCTCCTCAATCATGCGCAAAGCGATTCGATCCTTCACACTTCCACCGGCATTGAAGTATTCTAACTTCGCATACACAGTCGCCTCGATCCCCAAGCTCTGGGGTAGTCGGTTCAGGCGCACCAAGGGAGTATTACCGATATGCTGGGTGATCCTGTCCAGAGCCACCGGAGGGATGGCGGGGGAGGTGATCGAGGACATGACGGCGGAAGCAATGATTTTCTGGGAGGCTTGGTTTGACTCAGTATACAAGGGGAGAAGCGTGCAAGAGGAGGTCCAGTGGACGAAGAAGATAATCCAGCCCGCAGGAGTTTGAGGGCCTCGCAGAAGATGACCGGTGCAATCCGCAATTCGCAATTCGGCGAAAAAATCTCACGACTTTTTCCCCTCCCGACGGTAGCCGCCTTGCATTGCATGTGACGGGTGAGTCAGCATATTGTCTTAGTCATCCGCATAAAATTGGCAGAAGAGGCTATTTAGGGTTTAAGGTTATTCGGTACGGAGTATGTAGTATGTATAGTATGTCTATATTCTTATTCTTGGGAATCGCAGGAGTTAAATAAATTTATTCTGGCTGTCCTCATCTGGTCAGGAAGTTCCTGAACTCCTCAGGTACTATGCAGTAGTATGTACTTCGTGTGTACAAACAACCACCATCGGGCGGGAGATGATCCATTGGTGGCTGTGCAGTCCTTTTTCATCTCGCTCCCTCCAAGACCCCCAAGACCCCCAAGACCCCCCAACAAGCACTAATCGCCGCCCTCGCGTCTGCCAAGGTTTCAAAGCGTGTGCATCAAATATTAATACACACCGCAGGGTCTGGCCGGAAGAATCATTTGCGGTGCGTTTTCGAGATGCACATACTCCGGAGTAAGGCTTTCATGGATAGCTACCTAGGACAGACGCTCGTTGCGATCTCGACATAATGAGTCAAGATGGACCTTCTCGGGAGTCCATCCATATATGCCAGAGTAGCTCGGTGGGTGGAGCACTGTTAATCTTACTGCTTATCACTGCCAATTAATTATTATTTGGACCTCTTACTCCGTAATGCTGCCAGCTCATCCACCGTGCACTTCTGTCTGGCGTTGCTGCAACATATTTTTTTCACTGCTTCCAATGATCTGAATCTCTTGGTGAAATCTTAATCTATCTTAACTGAGCCATTTGTGACCGGTCTCCTTGTTTGTTCTCTTCCCTCTTCTTTACTTTTTCTTGTTTTCAGCCGCCCTCCCCCCGGATTCTGACAAGACATGACGAGTCGTTTGACGGAAATCTCATCTTGCCATCCCTGACCGAATCTTCCCAGCTTGAAATGGAAAGCGCGAAACAGCAGCCTCCGACGCGACAAGAGAGCGGCAGAGTCGACGAAGGCGTGTTGAATCCCGCTCCCTCTAAACAACCGTCCAACTCGCGCAGTGACTCTGTGCTGCCCACCCACCACAACCATGGACTTCGACAAGGCCTGTTTCGCATTAACACGGCGGGAGAGAGTGGAAGAAGTGGAATTCATCCGGTTCATCTTCTAAAAGTGTGCTTCATGAGTACTTGCACGCTATCAATGCTGGTCAACGTCCTGTGGCCCTTTGTACCGGCGGCTATCACGATTTACTTTGCTCGCCCGGATCTTCATGTCTGGATCTTTACTCTCAACTACATTGCCATGGTTCCTTCGGCTAACTTGCTGGGATTTGCGGGCGGAGAACTGGCAAAGAAGCTTCCCAAGGTGTTTGGCGTGCTGCTGGAGACCACGCTGACCTCGGTGGTCGAAATCGTTCTCTTCATGGTTCTAATCCACAATGATGAGGGTGGGAACCTTATACCGGTCATCCAAGCCGCGATCTTAGGGTCCATCTTGGCGAACCTCTTGCTTTGCTTGGGCCTGTGCTTCTTTTTTGGGGGAATTGGCCGCGAACACCAGTCTTTCCATGAAGCCGTGAGCGAGGTGGGCACGGGGCTCTTGCTTGTTGCTGGCTTCGGGCTCTTGATCCCGAGTGCCTTTAACGCGGCATTGAGCGGGGGCTCGTCAAATGCAGAGATCACCCCCGAGGAGTTGATGCACTCCACCCTGGTCATCAGCAGGTCTACATCGATCGTCCTTCTGGTCGCATTTGTGATGTAAGCTACGAGCCGCCGTGCTTTCCCGGCTTCCCGGCGGAGAGGAATTCAGCTCACGTTGTCCTTTAGGTACTTGTTCTACAACCTGCACAGCCATCACAGTATATTTGACGAAGTGCTTGAGTTTGATGAGCATCGCGACGAAGATCGAGAAAAAGAACGCAATCGTGCGAAGCTCACATTGACCGAGTGCTTTTTGGCCATAGTGATATCGCTTGTTTGTGTCTGCCTGTCGGCGGTGTTCCTGGTCCAGGAGATCGAGAGTGTTGTCCATGAAAGGCATGTATCGGACAGCTTCATGGGTCTGATTCTAGTACCCCTGGTCGAGAAGGCTGCGGAGCACTTGACCGCCATCGATGAAGCCTGGTAGGTTCACCTCCTCGACAGGAGAACAGCTGCTGACGTTGCATAGGGACAACCAAATCAATTTCGCACTCTTTCACTGCCTTGGTCCCTCGATCCAAACCGCCTTTCTCAACGCGCCGCTCGCGGTTCTAGTAGGCTGGGGCCTCGGCAAGGACATGGACCTGAATTTCGAAATTTTCATGATTGTCCTCGTGGTGCTATCTATTCTAGTCGTGGGCAATTTCTTGCGGGACGGCAAGTCAAATTACCTCGAAGGAGGTCTCTGTGTCTTGATATACGTGATTATTGCCGTGTCCACTTGGTATTATCCCGCGGTCACACGGGAAGGTTCGGCCCATTAGAAAGCAGGACTAGTATAGATAATACTCCGTAGATGCACAAAGTTCTTTCAAGTCGGAGTGGTGTGTGGAGTAGCAGTACGTATCTTTGGCACTAAGGCGGTTTAGCGGGGCGGAAAGAGACACCGTGATCCACGGGGCGGTCCAAAAGTTATCGGGTCGCGGAGTTCTCTCCGGTGGAACCCAACAAACAAACAATGACGAAGTCAATCAACCCGGCCAAATCTATCCTTTCGATCTTGAAAGAACGCGATATTCCGGTCAAAGGAAATGAAGTCACGAAGGCCTTGGAGAACCAGGCAGATTCCAGCCATGCAGAATGGACGAGACTCCTAGGCCAGGATTCCCTCCTGTCGCAAGAGGAGCTCACCTTGTATACCACCTTTTCTTTTTGCATTCTTCTTCTTATCAGCATTGATACCAAAGCTCCCCATGCTGACTGAATGTGTTTCCATGACAAGGCTCCGTAACCTCGAGAGTTCGGGTGCCCTGCAGGGCATCCTCAGCGACCCCGACACCAGCAGGACGCGACCGCTCCTAGATGAAGACTTTCGGGAAGCGATTGAGTCGCTTAACACGTCGACCGCTGCGATCCAGAAACAGACTGAAATACTAAAAGCTCAATGCGAAAATTTGAACAAGCACCTTGGTCTGGAAGGAGAGCGGGCACTCGTGCAAAAGAGGGAATCGGAACGGCTACGCCAAGAACACGAATGGGCGAGGCAGGGTATAAAGAATGCGGTAATGGTTTCTGTCGGCCTTCGTAATAATGGGCAGCTGCTGAGACTCTATTTAGTCGGGTGAATTGGTCGAAGAAGTGAACGTGGACCTGAAAAATGAGTCAGAGAAAGTGATGATAGATGGGAAAAGGATACTTTCCTCACTGTCATCGCGATTGAAGGAGGATGACAGGATATTCGTCCACCTGGAGAGACTGGCATCTGAAGTAAAGTCTACTGATGAAGATGCCTTGTTATCGAAGCAAGCCTCGGGATTGTCTACAATGTTGGCCGAGTATACCACCAAGGAAATACAACACCGACTTGACAGATTGTACCTGGAGGGCATCCAGGACTGCCACGGAAACGTTGACGGCTCGGCGGAAGTCTATACTGGGCTCATATCTGCATTGGAGGAGGAATTGGAGTCTCTCTACCCGGAGATTGACGTACTCGCTGAAGTTTCTACGAAACAGCAATACAGCGAGCCTATATTACGAGAGGTCCACAATCAGCACGAACAACTGCGCGTCGTCGCACACAAGAAGCTTGACTGTGTAAGTGTCTACCTCGGTTCGATAATATTTGCTAATGTTGGGTAGATCATGGAAGTTATTGCGGACTTGGTAGCGTCTGCTGAGGGTTCGACCAAACGTCTGCAAGATCGCGAGTCCGTCTGCGGCGCTCTCGAGACTCTCAGCGCTGCCTACCAAACCGAAGTGAGAGATCAAATCCCACATCATCCGGTTTCAAGGAGAGATACCATGAAAAGGCGCTCTGTCCAATTCAAACCGATGCTGGTGCCTTCTGAAGAAAGCACGAGCTCTTCTCCCGAGCACCAGGCTCTTGCAGGCCTCTTGCGCCGCACCGGTCTATCCCTGGAGTCGGTCTTTCAGTCCGAAGAAGGCCAGGGTGGGGCCTCTCTCGATGAAAGAAGACTGGTCATGCTTGAGTGCCAAAGCGGCTATGGGGTCGCAGCCGATGCGCCCTTGATGGCTGAAATGGCCCCCACCGACCGAGCTACCCGACTTTTATCATACTATCTTAACACGAGTGGTCAGCTTGAGGCTTCGCTATGCGACGCGGGCAACGAAGACAGGCTTTCCCAGCTTGATCAACAACTGCGGCACATCCAACAGGGAATCGAGCGACTCGACCTGGAAGGGCTCCATCGACGAAACAACGACCACGAAGGTTTTATGACAAGGTGGGCATAAGGCAGCAAGCTCGTCGATTGGCGTCCATAGCCTTGTAGCGAGTCATCTTTTATTCAAGAATGCGACCGGCCGTTGTGTCCGCAGCCTCGCTGTTGAGGTCATGATCCATGCTAGTATCTCGTATCCAATCGATTTCCCGTCAGCAAGGATCAGCCACCGGGACCAAGCCCCTGGTGGCTGGTGTGATGTAGTTCTGCGCCACATCGCCTGCAAGTCATGTTCCTTTCGTCAGCCCATCAGAGGGCCGGGAACTGTCCACATGGTGTGCGAGGCATGATGCATCTAAGCCATGCGGAAAGCTCCCATGCAGTGAAAATAGCTATTGTGCGCGAACTAACCATGACGTTGGTCCCCCATTAGCCAGGAACGTTCCCTTTGCCTTGCAGCCTCTTCTGCTTTCTTCTAGGCTTCCGCTATACACGCCCTGCCGAGGGAGGCTCGAGTCACATTGCAAGATGATTCATTTCCAGAGGGAGGAAGGTGAGGGGATAAAAGGCACCGTCAAAGGAGCTGGGATGACGCTCCATTTCTTTTGCGGTTTTCTTTTCACTTTGTTCCCCCTTCTCTTGTTCCAACCCATTATTAAACTTCCTTTTTATCATTGCCTCGCCCGGCTGACTCGACAGCGCACCGTGTGACCAAGGCAAGCTGCACCTACGCACGCTCTACTTGTCTACCAGGAGACCTTTCATCCTTCCATGAGATCTAGGGTAAATATAATTTTCCTTTTCATTTTACTGGAGTGTATGCCCCGTAAATGGATGCTCTAGGCTCCAGGGGTGCATGTTCCTGAACGCCTAGGGCGGATACCCTCGCGGGATCCTGCATTCATTACACAGGACCGAGTATACCTCGTTTCTATCTTGCCATCTTTTTCCCTCACTTCACTCTTTTCTTTTCTTTTATTTCTTTCTTTTTTCCCCGAGAAAAGTCAGTGTCTCGGTCTCTTTGTCTCATTTCTATGTCTATCGCTAGTCCCCGTTACCCTCTCCAGAATAAAAGGAAACATTCCAACGATTCCATCTACATAAAATCAGACGAGTTGAACCCATGACTTCAGGCACATGTATCTCGTTCATGACGATACTTGTTTGATAAATAATTCACATCACGGGGAAGAAAGGGAAGGGGAGAAAAAGGTAAAGTGAGCTAACCGTTCTCATTGTCTACTACTTTCAGTTGTTGCTGCTATTCTTTGTTGGTTTCATGTTGATGTATGTGCTATTGAACCAGATTAGATGAATGGCTCTCTCTACCCCACGGTCTTATGTTACCGATCTCAAAGTTTTTCGAGAGCATCCTTACCAGAGCCCCTCAGAAGAATATTTCTAACAGCCATTGTTATTTTCAGGTTGAGTCCGCGCATCGTGAGGCACGCGCCCGGGAGAGCGGACGGGGGTGTTGAAGAATCGCGAGATGTGCCTCGTTGAAGAATTCACTGATGTATATCCTATGGAAGATCGATTGAGAAGAGTTATATACCACTGTTCGTCCAGCGATGGCGAAAGAACCTGCAGGAAAACTAGAATACGGAATTGTGGTGAAGTGTACCATGCTCGCCATGATCATCCGACGAACTCACCAGAGACACCCCCGTTGAGATACCGAAGAAGCCGAGCAGACCCTCAATCTGTAAGAAGGGTTTCGCCAGTTCGAAGTCGTCCATTCAAATTACGCTTTCCGTTCCTCAAGTCCTCCCCAGAGCATGTTAGAGTGCAGGAAATACAAGGACCACGAGACCGCAAAGCGACACTCGATCCCTCTGCCATAAGAGACCCACATGGTGATGATACAATGCGGTCACGACAAAGATTCCATGTATCAGCCTCCCCACGCCTGCATACGACTTCACCGCAAAGAACGGCAGGTTCGGGATCGACAGGCAGAGAACGAGAACAAGACAATTCCCTGTCCCGCGAAGCCCGCCCCCAACAACGATCTCAGGCGCGGCGCCTACCAAGAGAACGGACTCCGGTTGTCGAGCGTGTACCTCTCAGACGCAAGGACCCTCAGGCCCCAGCTCGCGTGGTGGAAGTTCACAACGACCCCCGTGCCAGTTGCGACGAAGAGCAGCATGGTCGGAGAAAAGGCGACCGGCAAGTCCGCTTTTCCAACACGATCGACTATGAGGGGGGCGTCAGCAAAGGTCGTCAATATCCCAGCACTCCAACGGAGCCGCGCCGAGACTATTTCCTACCCGGCAAGCTGGCCGATAGGTATAGAAACGTCGATCGGAGGGCAAGTCCTCAGCGTGTTTTCTCGAAGGAACGCCCATACATCGAGACCCGGACCCCGCGATTCGAAAGGTCTAGAGACGCTGCTCCAAGTCCATCTGCCTCTCTCGGACCAAACCGCCCGCAGCCAAGGATAATCCAAGATGGTAACCGTCATGTGGCAGAAGCGGGTCAGCGCATCCTCGTGGAGGCTCGAAGACGACAGACCCGAGAACGATTCACCCGCGATCTCAGGTCATATACTGCATGGCGACCGTGGAATCGGCGGTCTGAAGGCTTGCATGAATCTGATATCAGCGAAAGAATTGGGGATGACGGAGGATCCCGTCGATACAAGGGTTGGCGTTGGCGTTGAAAAAATCCCTCATTGGTGCTCTAATAGTTTTCTGTTTTTGTAATTCCGGTTCAGGTTGGTGCAGGAATTGATCAACTCCTTGGTGGCACCACGCAAGTGATGACAGTGGCTTGGGCAGAAGGTCGGCCCAATAAATGTCCGCCCATTTCGCTCCGTAGCGGTCACGGGGTACGCACTGTACTTCCGGTCCTTTGGACCAGCTACCCATCAACAATCCCAGGTAGTCCGCAAAAACCAATTGGGCCACAACATCCACAGCATCTTCCCAGGGCCTAGAAATCAGTGTCCTCAAGTACTACCCTCGGCTCTTGCTTGTACTTCACGCCCCGTTGCAATCGACTCGATCTATCGACCCTCCTGCACGCGGGGCTTGGTCCCACCATGCGATTATCAGCTGGGAACTCGTCACTTACATGTAGGTCCAAAGCCCTCTGTGGACTGTTACTCTTGTTCAATCAGCCATTTGCAGCTTGTCGCAATGAGTAGCCAGCATGTCGGACATGAAAGGGCCGAGAACGCGTCGGCCGCGAATACATCACTCTCCGAAGACCAGGCCATTGATGTCAACCAACTGCCAGCGGCTGCAGCACTGGAAATATTATGCACCAGCGTGGAGATGCTCTCTAGGGCAACCGCGGACTATTCGGATGAAGAGAACATGGACGCTGGCCCTCACTTGGTACGGAAAACTGGGATCGACAATGCATCCTTTACGCGGGCCTCGAACAAAGTAACCGAACTACATTGCTCGGCGGCGGCAGACGAGCAAGTAGGACACGATTTCTTTCAACAAAGCATGCTGTCCAAACGGTTTTTCTCCAAACGAGAGCCTGCGATCTCGCTAAAGGACTACTTGATACGGCTTCATCGCTACTGCCCCATGTCCACCGCGGTCTACCTGGCCACAAGCATGTACATCACACGCATGGCCAGCGTCGAGAAAGTCATTTTGGTTACCCCCAAGAATGTGCACCGCTTGGTACTTGCGGGAATCGGCGTAGCGATGAAAACTTTGGAAGATCTCAGCTATCCCCATAGTCGGGTGGCCAAAGTCGGCGGAGTTTCGGAGCGTGAGCTCTCCAAGCTTGAGATCAGCTTCTGTTTTCTCGCAGACTTTGACTTGCGAGTGGATGCTCATATGCTCTTCAACCAAGCCACCATTTTTGATCAAAACACTGCTTCCGGCCACGACTTCGAGAGCTAAGCACTTCCGGTCTCTGCTTTTTCTCGTTGGGTTTTCTGGGCTTCGTTGGACTTTGAGGGGTGTCTCGGATCACGAATGCGAGAGGGCATTCAGATACCCCCGTCATTATTTCTGCCCATTTGGTTTACGTTAAAGGATAGGATGTTCAAGAGGATTGTCAACATGACCAAAACGGACCATCGTTCTAGCAGTGATGTTTGAATCGCCATTTATACGGAGTATTTATTAGTGTAGAAGGAGACAACACGGCTGCCTAAATTAATCAGCCCCGTTCGAGCGCGGCTGAGTAATCCTCCACTTGGGTCCCTCTGCCTTCGTCTCCACGATTGTTGGCGTCAGTCGTGTTTGTGCATAAGAGTGTCGGCCTCCAACATAGGCTGAAGCAGCATCGTCACACGCAAGGACATTTGTCGGTCTTCAATTCTTCAGGACGAGAGATTGAGGCGCAAAGGGTAGATCCGCCGTATATGTTCTTTTAGCGCCCGTCACGCCAGTTTCTCCGAGCCAAAGAGAAAAAGACTGAAAAAAAAAAAAGGTGAAGTGTTTCTTTTCTTACCTGTCCCCTTTCCTCTCTGCCCGGGTTTTTAGTCTCTCTCTGTTTCCTCCGGGGTTTGAGCAACATCAGGGCAATTTCGTGGATTGTGGTATTGACTCCGCAATGCTTCTTTAATAATAGTCACCGCCGAACGCTTCCCCGTACTCGCATCCGCCGTCACCCTTTCCCCTGCTTCCTATCACCCGGACAAGCCACACCTCATACGGAACAGATCACCGGGGTTGCGATACACCAAATATGCCTTCCGGGACTTCCTCCGCGGAGTCTCCAAGCGGCAGCAGTTCCGCCGGTCTCAGTTCCACCTCACCATCCGCTCCCAACGGCAAAAGCACCACCCCTTCCCCGACGGTCACCCGCGAGGATGCCAGCGTCGAGCTTAAAGCCATGAAACCGGAGCGGGGGGTTGTAAAGGGCTCAATTCCTCTAGGAGAAGATATCATGCAGATTGCCCGAATCGGCGAGATCCCGGCTATGCGACGACTCTTCGATGAGAAGAAATTCACCGCCAACCACCAGGATGACGAAGGCATAACCCCTTTACACGTACGTGCGTTCCGGACTGGCTGGCAAGATGGGAACTCCTCTGACTGACATGTATGAATCTCAAGTGGGCGGCGATCAACAACCAGTATGCGATGTGCAAGTTCTTGCTGGACTCCGGCGCCGACGTGAATGCCAAAGGAGGAGAATCGGTGGCCACACCCGCCATGTGGGCGGCACAGCGGTGTCACTACTACATCGTTCACCTCCTTCTTCAGCGCGGCGCCGATCCTCTTCTCACCGACGTGCAAGGGTACAACATCCTACATTTGGCGACCATCGATGGCAATGCGTTCTTGCTTGTCTTGTTACTACAGCAAGAAATACCGGTGGATGTGGCCGACCAACAGGGCCATACGGGACTTATGTGGGCAGCTTATAAGGGATTTCCGGCATGCGTTGACCTGTTCTTGCGCTGGGGCGCCAATGCGAACGCCGTCGACGACAGTGGTCTGACCCCCCTTCATTGGGCACTGGTAAAGGGCTCCATGCCATGTGTCATGAAGATTATAGAATATGGTGCGGATAGATTCGCGAAAACCCAAGATGGTAAAAGCCCGGCAACAGTGGCCGGCGAGATGAATACAACGAGGATATGGTATCGCGCCCTGGATGAATGTGGCTTCGATCTGGATGGGAACATGAAGGTCATTCCTATGGGATTGAACTCGTGGGTCCGGAACAAAAACATCATGTCGAAGTTCTTCTTTCTTTGGCCATTTTTGATGGTCTTCGTGGCTCTATGGATCCTAAGCAACATGGCCGTGTATGCCGCCATCCCGATCATGCTGGTTACCGTCTTTGGGCTACAATGGGCTGCGCAGAAAGCTGCGAGTAGGAGCGTTCCGGAATATAGGATCCTTCAAAAAACGGTATGTTTTCACCGGTCACCCACTGCGCATTATGCAACCTTCGCTCTCTTGCTCGACACTCTTGCTGAATCCCTCATCCAGCCATATTTATCTGGCGTGTTCGCAGGCTCTTTATTCTGGGTCGGCGTTCGATACGCCCTCTATGTTCTGCCCGGTACGTCATCTTATCCCCCCATGGCCAGATTGATGAAAGCTAACGGCTCTGCCTCGTAGCCACATACTCCACTGCTCCGTTTTTGAACATCTTTTTTGTCATATTCTACGGCTTGACGACCTACTTCTATCTCTATGCCATGATCGAGGATCCTGGCTTTGTTCCCAAACTCGGAAGCCGAAATCAGCAGAGAGCGGTCATTGCCGAGCTCTTTGAGCAGTGGAAATTCGACGAGGAAAACTTTTGTGTGTCTTGCATGGTCCGGAAACCTCTCCGGAGCAAGCATTGTAAGCGTTGTGGGCGCTGCGTTACAAAGCATGACCAGTGAGAACCCATCTTCCAGGCCCGGTCAGCGTGTTTATGACTAATTCCCTATAGCCATTGCCCCTGGATCGATAACTGTGTTGGGGCGAACAACCTGCGGCATTTTGTTCTATACATCACGTGTCTCGAAGTTGGCATTATCTTGTTCCTGCAGCTAACCTTCATCTGTGAGTGTACTTGGCCGTATCGCGCTGGACTTCGCTAACGCAGGGGGGGGGGCTAGATATCAACGCTTTACCAGCACCGGCATCGCCCAAGTGCAATGTGATTAACGACGTGCTGTGTGATTTCGTGGTCCGTGACACGTTCACCCTTGTTCTTGATATATGGGTTTGTATTCAGCTGGTCTGGGTAACAATGCTCTGCGCCGTTCAACTGGTTCAGATCTCCCGAAACCAGACAACGTACGAGAATATGCGGGGGCATTCGATTGATAGAAGCTATCCGAGCTCGCGAGCTTTCGCGTCGGCTCTGGCTGCCGGGACAACTTCACTTGATGCCGCTGGCCTCTCATCTGCGGGTCAAGGACCGAACCCAGCCTTGGCGCCGGGTGCTCTTCACCGACCGCGAAGACATGGGTGCTTGCAGCAGTGGTCATCTCTTCTGGGTGTCGACACCTTCTTCGCCACCGCACGAGATGGGCTGCGGGATGGCCGCCACTCGCAGCGCCCCAAGAACCCCTTCTCGCGGGGCTTCGTTACCAACTGCCGCGACTTCTGGTGTGATCCGGCGCCCTACTTTGGCAAGCGTGAATCTGGCTCCGCAATGCTTGGTGGTGAGGTAATCAACTACAATCAAATGTACGAGGCTCCGTTGCGGATGCATACTGGGGGCGGGTACCGCAGCCTGGCCGGGGAGGAACCTGAGCACATGGTTTGAGAGCACATGGTTTGAAGATGATTTGACGATACGATTAGTTAATCTCTCGATGTGATCTCTCTGGTTTGGGGGGAGGCCGAGTCAGAAGGGAAAGTCACATTTTGGTCCTCAGAGCGATATTAACGAAACGAATATCAGAGGAACCTCTGTATAGACACGCGCATGGCCGATTGGATTAGACGGCCCCTGATGGTTGTACTTACGAACTTTCTTCTTGCTTTCGTCTCCTGTGTTTGTATAGTCGTAGATTTTTTGAATTTCAATCAATTACTAGTGACATGTTTCTCCCGGGAGATTCTTCGTCTGAAGAAGATCTCCCTCGAGTTCTCTGAGTCCTTTTGCTCGAGGGAATGAAAATAACAACTGCCGTTAAAACCAGTGAGACCAGGGCACACGGCCAAAAAGTCTCAAGATCGGATCAAAAACAAGGATCGGATCCTGGGAAATCCGTGGAGGGTCAGGAGAAAAAAAAATGTATCGTCAAGCACGCGCACTGGTCCAAGTACGGTAGGTATGTACATACTACATAGCCATCGTCCTTCGCGGCCTTCTAGCTGCTGTTGACCGAGGCAGGTATCAAAAGTGGTATCATACATACATGTTCATACATACGACATACCCTACTGTGTAACATACTGAGTGTATTGTACTGTACATACAGCTCAAGCCGACCGAAACATCCGATCTCGCAAATTCCGCGCGCCTTAATTAGCCCAAAGTCAAATGCCGCGCTAAGATCTTATCTCGGAAGGATGGACAAGTGGGTTTTTTTTTTTTTTTTTTTTTTTTTTCCTTTGTCTTTTTATTTAGTATTTTTTTTTTCCTGGGTCGAAGAAGGAGGATTGTTGAAGATTATTTCTTTTTATCAGATCGTCTTTTTTTGGGTCATAGTATCTAGTAATTTTTAAAGCCCTCGGCTCTTCTACAGTCTCGTCGGGCTATGTTTCTTAATTGCTGCGTCTATTTTCTTTGCATCCAATGTACTCCGTAAGCTCCGTCTAGGGGTTTCTTTTCTTTTCAATTTTTTTTTTTTTTTTAAAAAAAATCCAGTAATCAAAAGATGTTCTTTCCCTTTACAGTTTAGGGAACGACAAAGGCCTTGAAACTAGTGCAAGACTACACGAAAATCCCTGCTGGAAGTACATGGTCCCAGAAGTTCTGCCAGTCAAACAATCACGTCTCCTTCCCTTTCGTTCTGCAGCTGTTTTCATTGGATTAAAACGTAGAATTAGAAGGAGAACAGGATTTTTATAATTTGCTCGCAAGACAAAAACAGAGGGGATAAAGTACGGAGTAAAATAAGTAAAGTAATGCTGAAAGGATGATCCAAAGAGACCAGCAGGCTCCCCTGTTAGGATAAACGCTAAGTCGCATAGAACCGCCACTGCAGTAAGCTTCCATCAATTAAGGGAAAGGAAAGAATGGGTGAAGGTAGTGTATATTAGGCCGAATATGTCTAGATCGGCCATGGTTAGTTCCTGGAGTGTACAGCGTTTTGTCTTGCTCTGACTTGATTTGTTTTTATTTTTATTTTTATTTCCTCCCCCACTTTGGAGACCAGGATAAAAGATGATAATTAAACCCTCCCTTCGCTAAAGAGACTCACCCTCGCTAGCTCTCCTTCGGAGAGGTACGCTGAAGATGAGTCGCAAGTCCGGTCAATCAACGGGTTCTGGACCCGACCGGTCCAGATATTGCGAGCTGCGCGAGCTGTGGCATACGGGAAGTGGGATCATCGTCAGAATCAACCGAAACGGGGGAAATAGTCCGACACCAGAGAGCGTGGCATGGGTGGCATGATGGGGACAGATGGGGAACTCGGCAGGATAAATGAGAAATTCCGAGGGCATCAAGCTAGCACGGAGAGGAAAAGGGAAAGGGACGAAGGAGGGTAGGCTAGACAGGCTCCTCTCCGTCCTCCGTAGACGACGCCGTGCTTTGGTCCGAACCAGGAAACCGATGATGCAAGCAGCGGGTTAAATTTCTGGGTGGCTGTGGGTGCAGGGAGAGAAGAGCAGAGGCAAGAGCCAGTCAGAGGCAGTCTGGGCGGAGAGAAGAGGAGAAGGAAGTGGGTACTGCCTGCTCATTATCAATCAATCATTAATCAATCAGTTACCTAATCAAGCAGCTAACGCTGGGGGTTCCTGAACTTCCTGGCCGGAATTCCGAGAAAATACCTCGGACACCGAGAGAATGGAGAGGGAAATCCAGTGGGCTAAGGGGACCAGGCCAGACCAGACCCGACTCCGAGAAAAGGGCCCTGCATTGCATTAGTTCTCATGAAAATGCAGCGGTGCAGGTATTGCATGCCATCCATGGTCCATTAATCATTACCTTATGAAATCAGAGCCACAGCTTTCACGAGATCCCTGCAGATCCAGCCGGGACAGCAATTAGGGAGGGGAAAAAAAAAAGTGCTCGCAGTCCGTCAGCAGTGGGCCTGACCTCTTCTTTCCCTCGTTTTGCTGTCCTTGGCAGTGGATGCTCTGGTGGGCACGTTGAGCCTTTCAGCGTGATGGAAAGACCGAAGGATCATGGATGCAAATGGAGACGCGAGAAAAAAAAAAGAAACAAGGAAAATAGCGCGCCAGCCACGCCTCGGTCTTGGTCCCAATGCCAATTGACGGGTTGTGGGATGGCGCCATCAGATAACAGACGAAAATTTTTATCTGATCAGATTATCAGGAACCGACCGCATCTTTAATTCCTGCGCCTTGGGAAGTTGCTTGGAGACTTCCCGCAATTGGATTTTGCTCGGAGTTGACTCCCCTATAGCAATTAGTTTGGTAGCCCTCACCGAGTTTGATTTTTCTTTCTTTCTTTCTTTCTTTCTTTCTTTCTTTCTTTTTTTTTTTTTTTTTTTTTGAATGGGCTGGCTTTCTTGTGCGTGTGTGTGTGTGTGTGCGTGTCTGACGCGGTAACATCATTCGCTTGATTGTCGGCGGGTCTCCCTCTCCATCGTGGTAGGTTTGCGACACAACCCAACCAAACGGCCAGTCCACCACTCAGGCACGCGGCTAGACTGGCAAGCCAGAAAAGTTTCCCGGGAATAATGGAGCTTTTGTCTCCCTCCCCTTGGATCTGTCGGTGAAATCGTTCAAATCATTCGTGTCTACCTCTCTATAGAATGTATCTCCAAAAAATAAAAAGAAAAAGAAAACAGCAGGTTAATAGTGGTATGGAATGTACAATATCGCATGAATCTTAAATGTTCCACAGGCAACTTGAATGTATCAGTAAATTTTTGGCAAAACCCCTGTGGGGTTAACTCGGCGTATCCCTTCCCATTCTCCGGGTTCACTGTTCAGTGTTCCTTTCCGTTTGCTGGCCCGTTCGCTGCCAGAATTATTCCTTTAGCGCCATATTCGCCTAAACAAGCGGATCTGGGCCACGATATTTTTCATATTTTTCTTTTTTTTTTACCCCCTTTTCCCCATCCCCTTGGTCGATTTTCAATTAGAGCATAGCGCGGAACTTGGGGGTGTCCGGCACCACCCCATCCGCAAGCTGACTTCCAAAGAGCGAGTTCACCATCTCTCCGCCCCGAGCGGCCAAGACCGACAGAAGACTGTCACTCAGGCCATGCGTTTTCTCGTTGGATCCCTGCAGCCAGATTCCGGCCTGCGCGGCGACCTTGCTGGGGTCTAGGTCGACCCGATAATCCCGGCTCGGGTTCCACCCCTCCTGGCCCACAGGGCGCAAATGTTGCACATTTTGCAGGAGCTGCTCGTGTGCGTTGCGGAAATAGCCCGTTGCCACCATGAGGGCGTCAACCTCCAGAGTTTCTTTGCCTTCGCTCACCGCACTCTCCGTCTCGTCCTTGGCAGACTTCAGGTGCAGGCGCATCCGGCTCTTGGGTCCGTAGTGTTCGACTCGCGTAACCTTGCGGTTGGGCAGGATGCGGTGCTGCCATTGCGTCTCGTCGGGGTTCCGGACTCTCTGAAGGTACATATCATTGTAGATCTCCTCGATCAGTTCGAGCCGGACAACACTGTAGTTGGTTGCCTTGTCGGCGGCGAGGGAGCGCTGACGTTCGGCGGGCGAAAGGTGGAAGAATTTATCGACTCGCTCGGGGTTAAAGATTTCGTTGACACTGTATCCTGCATTAGCGCCGGTATCCCAAGACCGGACGGAAATAAGAGTCGCCTTACAATGGAGAATCATCACTGGGTCGCATGGCCGAGTCCCTCATGATTAGAGTAGTCCTCGACTTGGGGTATCGCTTCTGAAGGTCGTGGAAGATCTCGGCGGCACTCTGGCCGCTTCCCAGAACCGCAATGTTGTACGCTTGGCGGTCGTCGTTCAGCAGAGCGGGTAGGGTTGTGCAGTACTTGGACGAGTGCATGATTCGGAGGTCCTGGGGCAGGCCCGGGGGAACCTTCGCGATACCTCCGATGGCCATAACCACCTTACGAGCGCTCCTCGCGGTGATGTCGCCGGTCTCCACGTTCCGCGACTTCACCGTGAAGAAGTCGACCACCGAGCTGTTGGGGTCGGTCTTGCCCGGAACCACCTCGACCACCTCCTCTCCGTAGCTCACGACGTCGGAGAACCGTTGCGCGCACCAGCGCATGTAGTCTTCGAATTCCATCCGAGCGGGGAGGAAGGTGCTCAGGTTTGTGAAATGGATCAGACGATCTTTCTGGTGCAGGTAGTTGAGGAAGGTGAAGCTACTGCGAGGGTCGCGGAGGGTGGCCAAATCCTTGATAAACGAGATCTGCATTCTGGAGCCCGGGACGAGCATACCGGAGTGCCATGCGAATTGTTTCTGTCGCTCGAGGAAGCAGACCTTGGGCTGCCAACCAGCCGGGGCGGCCTTGTTCAAACACGGGTCCAAAGCATCGTGAAGCGCAATGCCGATTGCCAGGGAAGCGGGTCCGAATCCCACGCAAAGAAGGTCGTGAAGCTCGTCATGCGGCGTGGCCTTCAGGCGGGGTAGCTCTCCAGAGGCTTGCTGCTGCGTGGAAGGCATGTTGCGGTAAATAGGGAAGCCGGCCTCGGGCTTCCGTTCCACAGGCTCCATTGAATTGGATAGGATCTGATATGGAATTATAAGAGAAGGGGGTAAAAAAAAAAATAGGGGAAGTAGGAAGTTGGGGAAAAGAGAGTCTGTGAGGGGGTAAAAAAAAATGATCTCAACGCAGCTGCGGGCGAGGGGACCGTACTTTATATGTATTAGCCGATGGGGTATAAGCAGGGACAATAGCTTTTTTTTTTTTTTTTTATTCAACCCGGAGACTGGAACTGGGCCGAGAAAAAAAAAAAAAAATAAAAATAAAAAAAAAAAATAAAGAATAATAATAAATAAAATCAAAATCAAAATTCGTCAAGTTAACTTCAAGAAAGCGGACCCAGCAAGACGGTCTCTCTAGGCAAACCAAAACAGGCGGTGGTTCCTCTGACAGCGGGCCGGGAATGGCGTAGGAGAAGTCGTCCTCGGTCCCACCAACTGATTGATTAATTTTCTCGGCTGAAGAAAATTCCTAGGGGGAAAAGAAAAGAGGGGGTCGGATAGTAGTAGGCATGCAGTAGGGTGACATGATACAAATGATCTTGTATACCTCCTATGACCCGTGGGTAATACAGAGTACAGGAATCCTCGTTTACAGTCTCCCCCCATAACCCCAGGCCAGTCAAGGAGCAATCACCACGAGGGAGAATAGATAATTAAGGAGAAAAACAGAAAATAAAAAAGCCCATCCAGATCCTGCACCGCCAGCACCCTGGCCTCGACCGTCCGTTCCTACGAACGGTCGAGTTTTGTTCACAGCCGAAACACGCCACGAAGGTTCCACCGACGCTGCGTTTCCATCCATGTCCATGTCTGCAGACAGGAACAAATGACGGTATACCACTCATTGCACACCCTGCTCAGGCCACCCAGCCCGGCAGCAAGCCCCACGGCCCAAGCCAATGTGCTCGGCGTTAACTGCAAGTGGGATGATGAGACGTTTAGATTAGATCCGCTTGGCCCGATGTCGGGAAATTCGCGCTTAGCCTGTCCCGTACGTACGGTACATACCGTCTGTACTGTACATGGCGTATCGCTCGCCTGTACTGCTCGGTATCGTTCGGTACGGTTACCGCAGTGCTCCGTATCTGGTACCTTTACTTTCTACGGAGTAGGTCCCTATATACTAAGTAGATACTTACGTAGTAGACAGGCAGGCCTGCCTGAGGTCCCGCTGGAGGTACTAATCGGAGGTCCTGCGGAGAGACTCAATCACCAGGGTGGCTGCCCTGCAGCGACCGAGGGTCTGAGTGGAAAAGTTTCCCGCATGATGCAATGCCTCTGATTCGTATCCAGGCCGATAGTCCTGGTGGCCGGCGTTTCGCCATATACGGAGCATATCCCCTTGGATTCAGGGCCTCGCGCACGCACCTCTCTCGACGTCGCCAATCATCCACCGGCGTCCCCCGCCCTGAGAAATGGAAGGGACGACCGTTGTAACGGAGATGAGCATTTGTGACCCATTATTTCGATCACAACCGGATTGACGGTCATGCAGACACCCACTTATGCAGGCATCCTCGCCTGCCCCGCAGACGTACCCCTCATGTGCCCTGGGTTCTTCCGATCAAAAGGAAGGCTGACTTCGGGGTGCCTGTCCTGACCTGTCCTGGCCCAAGGGGCGCAGATCGACGGTTCGGTCTGTGGGTTGACGTCGTCTCATTCATTGTCCAGTTATATCTTCCCTAATACTAAGCACCTCTTCCAAGTCGTGCAGGCCCTTATTCTCCCCCTCTTTGTCGAGTGTTCTTGCTGAACCCGGTCTTTTTCTCACTCTTGTTTTATGCACTCCGAGGGTTGCAGGACCTTTTATGTTTATAGATGTGGGAATGGAGACGGATTGAATCAAAGATTGACCATATGAACGCCAACCGAACATTCTGCTTTATATCACAATCAAATTCGGAGGTGGTGGCCCTTGCATGAAAAGACACTGGAGTAGCAGTGACACCTGCATCCCATCCGATCTCCAGGGCAAGCGGAATACCGCACCCAAGGAAATCTTGACCAGACATCAGGATGGCCTGTCAGCGTCGGCCGTGTTGCGTCATTGGGGTCTAGTAGCTTGCCTCAAGAGCTCTGGTCTAGATCGTTCCTTGCTTGGTGAGATTACATCCCATGGCTCATCATGATGACGTTATATCGTGGAGATCAAATTGCCTACTACTCCTTGCTGGACACAGCTATCAAAGGTAAACTTTGAGGTTGCTCCATCGCGTAGCAGCACTATAGACGTGCTTGTCAGATTAAGGCTTCTATTCCGTCCGACGTTCCCTTCAACCTTAGTCTCGGGCCACCGATCCTTGCATTGGAGCAGATGATGGAGCTGGTAGTGTGCGTATGCCCGCATGCATCTATGGCGGAGATGCCATCTGCAAAAAGGTCTGTTCTGCATGCAATCTTAAATTGGGCTTCTCTATCGACCTGGTTTCAGCTAGATAGTCCATGATGCAATTAGATAACTAGCAGCAACTTTCGCTTGCTTCAAATTTACGACGACAACGGTAGGTCCAAGTAAAGGCACGGTTCAGGAGAGATGTGTACCCCGAGAAAACAAAGGGGAGAATGTGCAGATCTCATGACTATGCCAATAGGTAGATGGCCTTGGACTCGAGGTCATGCTATTTTCATGGCAACATTTGGGGCAGAATTCCTGGCGGGGGTGTGCAAAGTGGCGAGAAACCTGGGAAACTTCGGAGTATCATGGTTCGCAAGGGGCTGACCATAGTGTCAGAGCCTCGAAGAAGATCCGGACAGGCGAAATGACAACCAGGGCACACGCATGGCTAGTGGCTATTTGGGGAGGAAGCCTAATATGCGGTGTAAGGGATGGGGAGGTGCATCTACGGAATTAGATATTCTCATACGGGCGCATTGAGATATGGTTTCAGGCTAGTGGGATATATCCATACTACTAGGTTGATTGAGGGCGGATGGCGGGGTCAGAACGGCGGTTGTGCGCGGTAGGGATGAAACTCACAAATCAATTATTTGAATCAAGGGTGAAAATATTTAGTGGAGGGCAAAACTCAGCGATTACCAGACCGGTTTCTTCTGGGATTACATTGTATTGGACAACACTACCAGCAATTGGAATGGCGGTTGCTGCTCACTGCCTCGAAGCTGCCTAGGGTTTCGCTAACCGGACGGTCGCCGTGGTCGCAAATATATATCTCGGGATTATACCACCTTCTGGATCTATGTAATGCGAGATAGCTGAATAATTCATCTGCAGCGGGCAACACGCTTGGGATCCGGGAAGTGGACATGAAAAACCTGGGGGCCGTTGGCATGAGGATTAAGCTTCAATGCGGATGATGATCCAAGGGAAAATCGAGTGGAGGCTTGCTGGAGAAGGATTATCATCCTCCGTGTTGTGATTGATCTCGGGACCCTGCCTAACCTCGCCGGGGACGAGTCGAGTGCCCAGATATACAGCGGACGGGCGTAATCGAAATACCCAGACCATCGATCAAATAAGATTATCTCGGTGGGTAAATTGATTTGGCGGCCTGATAGGGATCTGGCGCTCGCTATCGGTGACGAGGGCATTGGACATGTCCACAAGAGACACGTGGTAAAGAGGAGACCCCAGACCACCGAGCAGGCAGTCCTACTGCGTACAACGTAGACCCAACGGAACGATGCCGTCGACAGGGAGACGTCGAGACGAAGATTCTAGAAGTATCCAAAGAAGACGATGGACAGGTGGACAGGTGTGGACAAGACGACAGGTGCCTGATCGGGTGCCTGTGGGTGTGTTTTTTTTTTGCCACCGCGGCACTCCGTAATTATGGAGCACATGACAACATGGCCCCCGGGTACCTTACGGAGTACGGAGCAGGTACCTCCTACGTATACGGAGTAGATTATCTTGGGTACAGGAACTGTATCAGGAGATAGGGAAAGTGGCGAAAGTCGCGTTGCAACCGAGGACGGAGGAGGCAGCGAGAGACCATGAGATCCAGGTCAATGGAAATTGGCGCACATGCAAGGGACGCGAAGGCTGGGCTGATGCGAAGTCCCCGCGTCGTTGCTTATCAACATCAGGTATTATCGATAGGCGAAACCGGTGGGTATGTGCCTTACGGAGTAGTACCTGATGAAGTACCGGCCGGGGAGGGGGGGGGTTGGGTCAGAACCTGTTTTCCGTCGCCCAAAGTGGTTCCGACCCGGGGTTCGCTGTTGACCTGAGTCTGACCGCGAGAGATGGGATCGCGACCAGCCCACGCCTCCGATGGACCGGAAGGGCAGTTCTTGAGGATAGATGTAGACCTGGTAGGAGTGTAGGAGTGTAGGAGTGTATTGTATCGTATGATGCGGACTGGGGCGCGCGGGAACCCTTGGGGCTACGCGTGACTCTCCCGGCGCTAAGCCCAAACAAGGCCCCAGTCAACAACAAAAGACGCGCTGCGCGTGCGAGAGAAAAACATCGAGTCCCGCCTGAGGATTGGCTGGAAGTCCTCGGAGGAGGCGACATGGACCTAACTGGCCGCTATTTTTTTTTTTAATTTTTTTTTTTTAATTCTCTCTCTCTCGCTCTCCCTCTAACTAGCTTCAGCTCCTGTCAATCTTCCTGCTGTGAGCAGTTTCCCTTCTCGCCAAATCCAGTCCGTGAATTCGATCCATTTCAGAAATAGAATCGCGCACTGTCTGCCAACCCCCCCTCCCTCCTCCCGCAAGGGAAATTCCTCGGGTCATTTATCCACTGAGGACGCCTGCATACCGCAACTTCATCAGCCCCTCCGTCCATCTCATCCCTTCCTTCGTCGCCTTCGCTTTTCGCGTGGCCATCGTTTTTGGAGAGACTCGACCTCTTTCGCAACCCCTTGCGCAATCGCCTTTCGCTTTATACGGTCATACAGGGTTTTTAAAGAAAGGGAGACGGAAGGGACAGAAAGTTGCTGCTGCTGCTTCTCTTTCTATCAAATCAAATCGGCCCGTCTGCGTCTCTACGAATCCTATCGGTCTCTTGCGCGTCGGCCTGTGGATTTTTCCACCCTCTAATATTTTATTTTATTTTTTGATTTGTTGTTTTCCCCCCTTCTTGCGCCGCCTTCGAATTCCCGTGTCAACCTCGTCGCGTCTATACTCGTTTCATTCGCTCCTGCATCTTCGCGACGCGCCTGCTTGTTTTGACATTTTCGTGGTCACACCCTGAAACATTCCTCGCCGAATCCCAAGCGCCGACGGATACAGCGAGCGCCGACGTACATTGTGTTTCAGGCGCGTGGCTCGGTGACCTGGGTGCACGAAGAGGACCGACCTCCCCATCTGTTGCCCTCCATCCCCCTCCCCACTTCCTCTGACGCAGTCGCGCTGAGCGGACAGAGGCATCGCCAAGTGGGTTGAGAACTCGGTCTGCCCGCGAATAATCGGGTGGGATGTGTATCCTTCGCTTGTTTTGTACAGTCATCTTGTTTTCTCCTGACACCCCCGTCGCGGTGCCTTACTTTCGCAGCATTCCGCTGGGGAATCGACTACCTTGCTACGACGTGCTTACGGGCTAAGGCACAACAATAATCGCACCGCCACAACGGACCCTACACGCCATCTGTTCTGTTGTTGTCATAGCCTGTCGCGGGTGCAGAGCCCTGTATCCATCACGAACTTACCCTTCGACTCGCTCTTCGACCCCATCCAGAGCGTACCCAACCCTCGAATCTCGACCTACCTAGATCGATCAGTCCGCTATTGATTGTTGGACAACAAACCCATCATGGTCGCGACTTTTTCACCTCACCGTGATGCGGGTGGTACCCTCCATCTGCCGTCCCACACGGGAATCCATCACGTTGATGCCAGCTCGGCCATTCGCCAGTTGCGACGATCACTGTCGCGATCCCCTTCCAAGAGTTCCAACTTCTCGTTTCTCACATCCCGGAACCAATCTCCCTCCAAAACAACGCCATATATCTCATCTCCTCTGTCGCCCTCGCGACGCTCCTCGCAAAACAACTTCGTACTCTTTCCAAGCTCCTCTCACCAATCCCCATTCGCCGTGCCATATCCTCCAAGCGCCAAAATCACTCGACCGGTAATGCGCCGTGTGCGGACCTCTCCGAGGAGTCCTGCTAAACGCGCCTTAAACATTTCTGCTGACCAGGGCAACACGAAGCCTGCACAGTCGGTCCCAACCACACCCGACGTGGAGAATTTCCCATCAGCGCAGGGCGTGAGCGTGCAGTTAGATGATGATACAAGCGGGAATGGCTGTTCAACTACTCCAGCTGGATATCCGGAGACCGCTACTCTTTCGCCGCGTCCACCTCTATCTCGAGTCGAGAAGCGGCGGAGTGGGACCTTTGGCTCGTATGCAACGGTCAGCCCTCTGAAGCGCAGCGACGGAATAATGAATCTTGATCGGGCCTCTCGTGGTAGTCCGTCGGCCAAGAGGCGGAGTGTTCACACGGCCAACCTCTCTAATGAGTTTAGTATCTTCGACAGCGAGGATGCACCTGCGACTGTCGATGAAGCCGCAGGCGAGTCGCTGACGGATGACGAGACACCCTCGTTCCCCCCTTCTGTTACCCCATTCAGCCCTTTTGCCACGATCCCGAAACGCTCCTCTTCTCTGCGACGCTCAACGCTCCAGCAACGCCAAAGCGATCGCTCTATTTTCTCTCGACCAAAAGCCATGGGCGAGGTCGAAGCCTCGGACAACGGCTCTCCCCTGAGTCCTCGCCCGCGTCTTTCCCTGGATAACAACCTCTTCCAACCAAGTCGCGATAACTTGTTCCCTCCCCGACCGGCCCCGGCCAGCCCTCTGTTCTCGTCAACAAACAATGCTAACGGGCAGCCACGGCCGAACGCGCACCCACTTTCACGGACCATTACGCAGTCGTCATCGAGTTCAAGCTTGGTAGATGACTCGCCAACCCATGAACCCGTTCATAAGACTGACCGTCCCAGAGGGGTGTTCAATTTCTCCAAATCGCTCCCTGCAGGTGCCACCCGACCAGGGGCCGTTCGTCCACTGACCCGCGAGGACTCGACGTCTTCCATGGATTCATTCGCAACCCCAGAGAACTACAAGCTCGTGAAACCTCTACCAGCTGCTTTCATGTCCACCGGGCTCATCTCGAAAAAGAATCGCAATGCCGAGGACCCCCAAAACATGATGGGTTTCAGCAAAAATATGCCTGACACGCCGTGCAAACGACCCGTCAATCTATTCCCCACCGGACAGAAAGCGCAGCCGGAGCTGTCCTTGGGCAGATCAACACTCGGTCGACCATCGGATGCAACACCCCAGTCTCCATCCAACCCTCTTAGCACACGACCTAAGCTAGGCCCGTTCGCCCGGGGCATGGGTATCTTTGGAAACTCATTCAATCGACCGGAGGCCTCGCGTCGCGGTAGCTTTGTCAGTGTAGACGGTGACGAAGGAATGCAATCGCAGTCCCCATCAGCCCGGCATGATAGCCAGCCACTCAGTGAATACGACCTTCCTCCGACACCGACCAAGCAAACCTTCTTCCCATCGCGCACCTACCCCCCAGCCACCTCGCAGATAGCTTCTCTTGAGAGACTGTCGGAGGCTATGGGGACGAACTCGAGCCCTCTCCATGACAGATTCCAACGTGGATCCCCGCGCACTCCGCAGGATAATCTCTTTCCACCTGATCCGAGCGGCCTGTCGATCTCCGCGCCCAATGACCAACATTCTATCAAGACGGACTTCAATTCCTCGGAATTGCCAGCCACCCCGACTGGTCCGCGAGAGTCCTTGCTCCAGTCTGGGAAGAGAACCAGCTTGACCCTGAGTGGATATCATGCGCCTGACGTCGATCCGAGCCTGACTTCACGCTTTGAGAAGGTGGAACTTACCGGTACGGGAGAATTTTCCCAGGTTTACCGCGTGGCCGAGCCTCACGACCAAGGCGTAGCGTCGATATTCTCAGGTCGGCTCAAATCCCCGAAGCCAGTGCTTGAGCAGGTGTGGGCAGTCAAGAAATCCAAGCAACCCTACTCCGGATTGAAAGACCGCGAGCGTCGCATTCGAGAGGTCGACGTGCTCAAATCTCTGACGAATTCCGATCACATTATCTCTTTCATGGACAGCTGGGAAGAAAACGGCCATCTGTATATCCAAACCGAGTTCTGCGAAGAGGGAAGCTTGGATGTTTTCCTTGCCCAAGTTGGACTGAAGGCGCGGTTGGATGATTTCAGGATCTGGAAGATTCTGCTTGAGTTGTCTATAGTATGATTTGACCCCCCTCCCTTCCGACGCCGTTTTCACAGTTATGCTAACCAAATCAACAGGGACTAAAACACATTCACGACATGGGATTTATCCATCTCGACCTCAAGCCGGCCAACATCCTAATTACATTCGAGGGTGTTTTGAAAATCGCCGATTTCGGTATGGCTACGCGGTGGCCTGCCGACCATGGAATCGACGGCGAAGGAGACCGCGAATACATTGGCCCGGAGATCTTAATGGGCCGTTACGACAAACCCGCGGACATATTTTCCTTGGGTCTGATTATGTTTGAAATTGCCGGGAACGTTGAACTTCCGGACAATGGTCTTTCGTGGCAGAAGCTTCGAAATGGCGACACCAGCGATGTTCCCAGCTTAACGTGGAGTTCCGAGACTGGCGTTTTCCGAGACGCGTCCGGCAACCCCGTGTCCGAAGAACCGTCCTTTGAAGAATTGTGTGCCTCGGACTTTGGTGACGATGCATTTGGCGACGACAGTTTCCTCGGCGGATCTGGCGAGCGAAAAGCTGCACCCCTGGCTCGGTCTGGCGAACTGGTCGACCCCCCAAACTTCATGATTGATGCCGGCCATGCGCAAGCCTTGGACAGAATCGTGCGGTGGATGATCTCTCCGGAGCCGTTTGATCGGCCCACGGCAGATCAAGTTTTGGAGACGTACGGCGTCCAATTTGTGGGACGTCGCCGCCGCGCTGGAGCCACAGTCTACGAAGGCAACTGGGGCCCGGCGGACGAAATGCTCGCTGAGGACGCCGAGATGATCGACGTCTGATCCCCAAGGGTTATCTGATACCATACTGATTGATGCATTTGGTTGGAGTTGGTGCTTTCCTTACAATAACATTTAATGATGGCGTTGAGGTGAAAATCTGGGATTTGAATAATTTACATGCTTCTGCTAAACCACGCAGCGGCAACATGGATGCTTCTAATGTGCAATGGGGAACGCCCACGTCATGTACTGCGGCAATAACGCTTTTTTGTTTTCCTTTATTCGACTTCTTCCAACACGCCTTCCGACCACTCCGCTGCACTACTCCAGGCCGTTGTTGGCCCGACGTTGGCCGGCGGTGCTGTTTTGGAGTCTGATGCACTCGAGTCTCACACACTCCTTTTCTCGAACGGAGTCGAATTTTCCTTTGTTCTCACCGATTGAGCGTTTGATGCTGCTTTTTCATTTCATTTCTTTTACGTGCGACTTTCCCCGTGTTTCTGTATGATTTTGAAGAAGGTTTTCTTGTACTTGTTGATGTACCAGCCCGTCTTTGCGTTTCTCTCCTTTCCTCTTCTGGCCTTCCAGAGACGTTTTCTTTTTGTTTCTCGTGCACTTTGGGCGATTTTAATGACTACTACCACCCCTTTTTCTACATTTGTACCTCCATGTGCCCGGCGGCCGTGGACTTCCCTTCTACCACTGTTATTAATCTTCTTGTTTTGTCCCTCTGTTTCATAGGTCGATGATGGGACGGCATGGCTGATATGTGATCAAGCGGGCTTGAGAGCAGGTAATGCTTGTGAATTATACTCTTGAATGCAACCATTTCTGGACGCACAAACTGCGATAGAGAAGCCCGGTGTATTGTTTACAGTGTAGTTAACCAAGTAGTAGTTCGTCAATTATGCACATACTCTGTATGTACTTGATGAATCATCACCGCATCGGCCGATTTCTTGGCGCCTCGGGAGCTTCTTTCGCATCGCTTGTGGCCGGCCAACTTCCCTTCGATCTACCCCAAATCCCTCTCATCTCAGGGCCACTGTCTGCATCACCCCTCGGAAATAGACCATCGTTTGTCACAATGTGCCTCTCGCTTTAAGTGGATCGTTCACGGAAAGATAATTGACTGGGAGAGACCATTCCCCTCGAATATTTGAACCTCAGCAGATCGGGTTATCAGAATCGCTAAAGCTGCCGCCTCCAATTATGGACAATCGAACCTTCGTATCGGATTCCCTCCTCCGCCTCACCAACGCGTCGGACCCTACCGTTGTTGATTTTGTTCTCGCCACCGCAGGCTCTGCGAAATCGGCGACATCGCTGCAAGACAAGCTCGTTCCTTTCCTAGAAGGCAGTCCAGACGACATCGGCTCTTTCTGCAGCGAGCTCTATGGACGGGTAAATACGAGCAGCAGCAGCAGCGGCAAGAATGAAGCTAGCGGTGGGGACTCGACCAGCTCGCGGGGAGGCAACGCTCCTTCGAGGAAGAAATATCGACTTCTAGAAATGGAAGAGGACGTGCCGGATTCCGCTGGCTCCCTAGGCCCGATGAATATCGAAGCGGAACGAGACCGACGGAGACGCAGGGATAACAAAGATCGCAGTCGGGGCAAGGATCGGGACCAGGAGGAGAGCCGGAAGCGGGAACGGAGTCGCGAGGAAGGGAGTCGGGATCGACCGCGATCGAAGAAGCTCCGGCGACGCGATGCGGACGATTTCGATGACCGTTGGGGCGACGAGGAGATTCACGAGGAGGAGCTCTACGAGGAGGAGGAACGGGGCGCCGGCGACTTCGCGGAGTCGCCATCGAAGCGCACGCGTCTGGAGGATGGGTCTGCGTCGCCACGGTCGCCATCGGCGGATCTGGACCCGGAGGCGAAGCGGGAGTCAGAGCGAAAGCGCGATCTGGAGGAACGAGACGAGTTTGCCAAACGGTTGGCGAAGAAGGACGATGGCAAGACGAAGAAGATTGTCGAGGACCGGACTCGAGATGGCGAGGCTGCGCGAAGACGGGCTCTGGCTGACGATTCAACTGCCCGGGCGGCTGTCATGCCAGATCTTCGACTGCGCTCTCGCCAGGAATATCTCAAGAAGCGTGAGACCGAGCGATTGGCCCTCCTTCGTAGGCAGGTTGCGGAAGAGGCCGCAGAGCTTCGCGAAAATCCGAACCTGACGCGCAAAGAGAAGGAGGAGTTTGCCCGAAATCGAGAGGTTCTTCGACTCGCGGAGGAACGACTACGGATTGACGACCACCGCGATGGGTACATGATGCCGGAGGACTATATTACCGAGAAAGGGAAGATCGATCGGAAAAAGAAGGAAGACGCCCTCTACAAACGATATGTTGACCGCGACGACTATGGACAGGAGCGGTTCGTCACGGAACACGAGGAATGGGAGATGGAGCAAACGGCCAAAGCCAAGGCCCAAATCAACCGGGCTGAATTTGTGGATGAGGGTGACTACGAGTACGTGTTCGATGATTCGCAAAAGATCAACTTCATCATGGACGCCAAGATGGAAGGCACACAGAAGCCCATGACCCAGGAGCAACGGGCGTTTCAAGAGCAGATTGACGCTGCCGAGAAGAAGGCCGCATCAATGGAGGACACTCGGAAGAGCCTGCCGATCTATCAATTTCGCGATCAGATCATCCAGGCCGTTGAGGACCACCAGGTCCTCATTATTGTTGGTGAAACTGGGTCTGGCAAGACCACCCAAATCCCCCAATACCTCCACGAGGCCGGCTACACGAAAAACGGTATGAAGGTTGGATGCACGCAGCCTCGACGAGTTGCTGCCATGAGTGTTGCTTCCCGAGTGGCCGAAGAAATGGGAGTGAAGATAGGCAACGAAGTTGGATACGCCATCCGATTCGAGGACAACACGAGTGATAAGACAGTGCTTAAGTACATGACGGACGGCATGTTGTTGCGTGAACTCCTGACAGAACCTGATCTAAGCCAATACTCCGCGCTGATGATCGACGAGGCGCACGAGCGGACGGTCCCCACGGACATTGCCTGTGGTCTCCTGAAGGATATCGCCAAGGCTCGACCGGACCTGAAGTTGTTGATTTCCTCCGCGACCATGGACGCGCAAAAGTTCCAGCAGTACTTTGATAACGCACCCATTTTCAACATCCCCGGCCGTCGATATCCGGTTGACATCCATTACACCTCGCAGCCCGAGGCTAACTACCTGGCTGCCGCGATCACTACGGTTTTCCAGATCCACATTACCCAGGGCCGGGGAGATATCCTTGTGTTCTTGACCGGACAAGAAGAGATCGAGGCGGCGGAACAAAGCTTACAGGAGACGGCACGGAAACTGGGCAGCAAAATACCGGAGATGATCATCTGCCCGATCTATGCCAATCTGCCGTCCGAACTGCAGACCAAGATCTTCGAACCCACGCCGCCGAAGGCTCGGAAGGTGGTTCTGGCTACTAATATTGCCGAGACGAGTCTGACGATCGACGGAATTGTCTACGTGATTGATCCGGGGTTCGTCAAGGAGAATGTTTTCAACCCACGGACGGGGATGGAGAGTTTGGTGGTGACGCCGTGCTCCCGGGCCTCGGCCAACCAGCGGGCGGGTCGAGCCGGTCGAGTAGGACCGGGCAAATGCTTCCGCCTGTACACCAAGTGGGCCTATCACAATGAGTTGGAGGAGAGCACGACGCCGGAGATCCAGCGAACGAACCTGAACAGCGTGATCCTCATGTTGAAGTCGCTGGGGATCGACCAGCTGCTAGAATTCGACTTCATGGACCCGCCACCGGCCGAGACGATCATTCGCGCATTGGAACAGCTCTACGCGCTGGGAGCACTAAACGACCGGGGTGAATTGACCAAGATCGGCCGACAGATGGCCGAGTTCCCGACGGACCCCATGCTTGCCAAAGCAATCCTGGCAGCGGACAAGTATGGCTGCGTGGAGGAGGTATTGTCCATCGTGTCGATGCTGGGCGAGGGAAGTGCCCTCTTTTTCCGGCCGAAAGACAAAAAGATCCACGCGGACAGTGCCCGCAATCGATTCACCATTAAGGACGGCGGCGACCATCTCACGCTGCTCAACGTTTGGAACCAGTGGGTGGATTCAGACTTCAGCTTCGTCTGGGCCAAGGAGAACTTCCTGCAGCAGCGCAGTCTGACGCGGGCGCGCGATGTGCGCGACCAGCTGGCGAAGCTCTGCGACCGAGTCGAGGTGAGCGTCAGCACGTGTGGATCGACCAACCTGATCCCCATCCAGAAGGCCATCACGGCGGGATTCTTCCCGAACGCCGCGCGACTGCAGCGCGGTGGAGACAGTTACCGGACGGTGAAGAACGGGCAGTCGGTGTACCTGCACCCGTCCAGCACGCTGTTCGAGGTGAACCCTCGGTGGGTGATCTATTTCGAGCTGGTCTTGACGAGCAAGGAGTACATGAGGAGCAACATGCCGCTGCAGGCGGAATGGCTGGTGGAGGTGGCGCCGCATTATTACAAGAAGAAGGATCTGGAGTCATTGGGATTGGAGAAGAAGATGAAGGGGACGGGGGCCGCGGGGGAGAAGAGCCGGGATTAACGTATTCATACGATGCATTGTGTTCATATCTCATTCTATTCATCATGTCCCTCTGTAGTTATTGGCCAATCAGACGGACGCGATTTCAATCGACCGCGGCTCCGACGGGCGGCAGAGTTACCTCGGCTCTTCCCATCTCCGCTTTTGCTTCGACCCCGGAATCCCAGCTGTATTTCACTCCTCCTCTCCTCCATCCCACCTCCCCACAGTCACGATCAGCCAAAATGTCCCAATCCTTCACCCCCGCCGACGTCGCCGCCCACAACAACGCCGACAAGGGCCTCTACATCATCATCGACAGCAACGTCTACGACGTCACCGCCTTCGTCGACGAGCACCCCGGCGGCGCGAAGATCCTCAAGCGCGTCGCCGGCAAGGACGCCTCGAAGCAGTTCTGGAAGGTCCGTCTTTCTAGCTACTCCTTTGTTTTTTATTACCTTTCCTCGCCCCTCCCTCTCCCTCTCCTACCCAAGCCTCGATCATACGATCTATCCGAAGGTTGAGAGGGCGGGGGAGAGGAGGAGCGGGGTGTTAAATGGACCTGTTGAGTCGAGTTGCTAATCGGTCTGTTCATTCCGCAGTATCACAATGAAGGCGTGCTGAAGAAATACACCCCCAAGCTGAAGATCGGGGAGGTGAAGGATGCCGCGAAGTTGTAATCGGCCTTTTTGTCTTTTTTGAGTCGACTCGCTCGAGGTTGTGATTGCCTGATAGAGGGATGAAGGGATGGATGATATCATCTGGGTCGAGAATGAGGAAATAACCCATTCACCCTACGGGGCGTGAACTATGGACCATGAATATCGCGACGGCTATGGCTATGGCTGTGGCTACTAGAGACTTGCGACAAAAGTGGACGTCCGTCCGTCCGTCTAACCTTTTCACTTTTGGGGATAACTGTTTGACTATTGATGTTTGTTGATGTATTGAACTATCTATCATACCTATGCTAGCGAACTTGCAGACATTGCATACTTTAGAGTGTACAAATCTTGCTGATACGAAAAAAATCCATGATCTCCACTGAATGATTGAATATACTATATTGTAATCCGAGAGTATAATCTTTCGTGAACCGAAAAAACGAAGGCCAAATCCAGAATGGTATCGAGAAGATCAAATCGAGTAGGTAGCTATCTCCCCCAAGAAACAAATGGTATCACATCCATGCACGGGACTATCGAAGGCAGATGGTAAAGCAGGGCTCCCGTCCCACATGCAAAGAACAAACAATTACATACAGAGAAACAAATGTACAGGCCAGAACGAGACAGAATTTCGCTATGCGATAACAACAGAAGAGCTTTTTTCTTTTATTCAAAAAGGGCAAGAGCGGAAGAGAGAGAAGAGTCAAGGAGGGAGGGAGAGAGTCAGAGTGGAGAGGGGAAGGAGGGTCTAGAATCCCCGGAACGGATCGTCGTTGTGAAATTGCTCGGAATCGTCATAAGGGGAGTAATTGACTTCACGAAACTTCGGATTCGGTGCCGCCCACGGGCTCGAAGCCTTGCGACCATGTCGGCCGCGCGTGGGACGGAATCGACTGGCGTCCGCCTGGTCAATGAACGCTTCCATGCGAACGGTGCCAACCGCGTCGAAGAAGTTACCCGTTCGGACACTGGTTTCCGAGGTGCGGCGACTGAAGCTGCTTCGGCCGCTGTTGATCGTCGTCGCCGGGCCGTGGGACTGCGGCCCGTACGTGTCGGAGGATCCGCGCGTGCTGGGGTTCGACGGCATCGTTCCCTGGCTGGAGAAGCTGCGAATGGCCGGGATCGCTGGCATGCGAGGGGTCGTGTTGCTGCGCTTGCGCGCGTGGTTGGAAAACCGAGGCACCGTGGGTGGATCGGCTGCGTCGATCGAGTTCGTCGACTCTCGGCCTGCGGAGATTTCCGGCACGGGCTCCGGCTGATTCAACGAGCGCTTGCTCTTGGGACCGGGTCGAGGTCGGCCCTTCGCGATCCTGATCGAGTCTCGGATCGGGTTTCGGCGCAAGGAGGCTGTCTGAGCAGGCGGCGTGAACTCCTCCTGCGGCGCCGGGGGGAGAGAGGAGAGGTCGTGGAGACCCATGGCAGAGTGGCTCAAGAACGACAGGGCAGTAAGCCAGACATAATGACGCTCGAGGCTGGTGGCGGTGAATTTGAGCGCTCGCTGGGGCGTTAGGATGAGAATGGAACGATTGAACTGGTTCTGCGGGTTGACGCCCTTCGGTAGAGGGTTGTCATCCTTGACGTCGAGCACGGACTGGATCATCACTGTTCGTTGTATTAGTGGCCATCTTTCTCGTAAACGGGGATATAAACTTACACTTCCGGCCACTCTTGCCCAGAAGGGCCGGCCCACTTGTCGGCTGCTTGCTGCTCCACATGACGGCTCGTTCGTAGGGAGCCAGCCAGACCCATCGTTTGTGCCGGACTCCACTGTTGGTGATGTTGGCTGACACCTCCTCGGCATTCCGGCCTTCCCAGTTGTCCTTCGATTCGCCGACGCCGCCAAACGATCGTCGTCGACGGATGTACTTGAACATCCACTCTCCAACCATGGTTTGTGCGATCGCGTCGACCACACTCGTCGGCTGAACCGACGTGGCCGTTGAATCTTGTCGCTCGTGGAACGGTCCGCGGGACGGGGCCGCCGCACGGTGCGTTGACCGCCGCTGGCTTGCTCGTCGATCCCGAGGCATAGTGAACTCATCAAACGGAAGAGGTGGGTGGGGCTGGGGACTGTCTTGCCCGAACGAAGAGCCGGACATGGGAGAAGAAAGACTTCCTTGTCGGTCACGCTCGGTGTGGGACATCGCAGCGGCCGACCGGACTCGTCGGAGGGTGGGACGTCGTACAATCGGCGGACGCGTTCGATCAGAGAAATTCCGGGGATGGTTGGAAGGAGTCGGACTCTGGCGGCCCTCACTCCCGGTGACTGGGAATTTCCTGGAGCTGAGACGGACCGGCACCGGAAACGGGGGAGCGACGCTCGACGCTCCGCTAGCACTTCCACTGTCGATGCTCGGCTCACTGGGACTTCGAGGCCGGATCTTTTGATGAGCGGCTGCTCCGCTGGAGATCATCGCCGCTCGCCGGATATCCTGCTGGCGTGCCGTCGAAGGTGTCACCATCCCGGATCTTTGGCCAGACTGCGAAGACGTGACGAAATCCGCGTCGTTTGCTGTAGTATCACGGCGAGCATCTAGATCGATCAGATGCTCGTCAACCTCGCGCACGGTTTCATCCACGCACGGCCGGTCTTGCGTCGAAACCAGCTTTCCGCGTTTTAATTTGTACGCAGCAAACGGCCGGTTGAGAAGGGCGTCATCGGTGAAGATATCCTTGGACTCCTCGGAGGACTCCTCGTCGCTCTGCTGCTCGAACCCAGCGAAGAGGCTGCTCGATCTGAAAGGCCGCCTAATATCCGTCTTCGACTCTTCGGACAGGGGACCGTTGTCATTGTTCCCAGGATAGGCCTGGGTATGGTCTGCGAACTTGGGTTCCGAGGCAGCCTTCGCCGGCTTTTCGTCAACCGATGACCTCGCTTTTCTTTCGCCCTTAGCCGGCCTTGGAGGGGGCGCCCGATACGGCTGCACCGGCATGTCCTGAGGGCTCATGTTGAGCGGCAGGTCTGGGATGGCCGACGGGAGTAAGCTGGCAGGCAGCTTCACGGACCGTTGATCGATCCGGATCTCTTCCGTCTGGACGCCGATCGTTTGGGTTTCGACGGCGGGACGGAGATCGACCTGGCAAGACGCGCTCTTGGTCTGGGGCGGCAGGACAACGCTCCCACGGGGCGACGGGGGATCCGAGCATGGTGGATGGATTGCGATCATTGGGACCGCGAGTTCGGGTGACGCAGAGCCGGTCGCCTGCAGACTGACACTCTTAGATTCGGTCTTGGCGGCTGCATCTTCCGTTTGCACCGAGACAGAAACCATCGCAGTTTGCTCGGGCAGCGATGGCGAAGGCGGCATTTCGCTCACCAGAGGTGTCCATGGAGGAGTGGGAAGATCCGCAACCGTCTGGCAGGACGTCGATACCATGTCAGCCGAAGCCATTGACGTGCTGCTGTCCTTGGACGAGTAGTGCGGTGCAGGCGGCTGGGCATCGTCGTGATATTCCCCTGAATACCGGCTTGACGGCAGGGTTTGATTCTTCGTGGGTGGTTTTGGAGAGGGTGGAGGAGAGTACTGAATGCCCGCGTCCCGATATACATATGATGCCGGAGCCTTCCAGGGGCTGCTCGGCTCCGACGTGCCGTCGCCTCTGGGGACATGACCATCGCCGCTGCCGTGGAGAGAAAGTCCAAGGATCTTCCTCGCTTTCGCTCCCATGCCGATGGTGTGAGAGAGATGAGATTGAACCGACACCGGCCGCTCTTCCGGAAGCGCCTCGGGGGAGGCGGGCACAACCAGATCGTCGTCGGGGATCTCGAACTCCTCATCTTCATCGAACGCCAGCTCCTGGGCAAGGTTCAGGCCGTCGTTCTTGTTGATACCCGGTACGTTCGCAATGCTTGCTACCGAGTATCGAATGTTGTGAAAGTCCCCCTCGTCGGAGCTCACGCTGGTGACACTCGTCCGGCGTCGTCCTTGACTACTGCCGGAACGAATGCTTGCCGAGTCACTGCTTTTCCCTGTGGTTTCGTCTTTGGTCGTCGTCGTCTCATCGGTCTCTTGGGCCAACTGCGACGAGCCGGCCGTTTGAGTGGCGGCCACTTCATTCAATACCACCTTGAGGCGGCCTTCTACCACATGAACCTTACGCTCCATGTTTCGGCGTTCGTTCTCCCAGGATTGTTTATCCCGCTCCCACAGGTTCAACGTCCTCTCCATTTCCTCCTCCCGGCTTCGAACTCGTTTCTGAGTCTGCTCCAGCTTTTTGCGAACATCCGAGATGTTTTCTTGCGCTTCGTCGCGCTCTCGGGCAAGCTCGGTAAGGGCAGACGAGCTGCCGCCTTCTAGCAACTGTAATTGATGCCTGAGTGAACGAGTTTCTTTGGTGCTCTGCGATAGTCGACCGGCCAGGTCTTCATTCTCGTTTCGAGAATCGTCCAGGCTTCGTTCGAGCACGTCAATGGCCTTTGTCTTGCTTTCTACATCCCGCCGGAGGGACAGAATCTCCGACACCAGGGAGGCATGCAGCGTCGGGGTGAACCGACGCGGATCGAACGGTGACAACGCCTCCTCGTCGGCGATGTCGTCATAGTCACTGCGCCCATCGGGCGAGAAGTTTTGAGAGGGGAGATAAGGAGGCGACGTCAACGGACCGGGCGAGGAATCCCCCCTTACGTGAATCGAGGGGACCCTTTGTGGGGTGGCGGACGGCGTTGGGAATGCCTGCACCGGGGGACTCCGAGGCATAGTGTCCGTAGCCATCATGAATTCGACGAGAGTAGATTTGACATCGAAGACCAGAAGGTCGTCCCCAGTTCGAACAAGTCGTGGAATCGATCTCCTTTTTCAGACACTCGATTCCATTCGACGAGAAGAGATCCGTCGGTCACTTTATGGACCGTACATTAACCTGTACGCCGGGTCAAGGTGCCAAATGACCGAGCAAAAGGAACTCTTGAAGCCAGCCGGGTCTCGAGGGTAAGAAAAAGGAAGCGCAGACCAGCAGCGGTGTCAATCGGATTCAACAGCCTGCTTCTGCAGCTAAATACACGGACCAGCGGCGTCAGCGCGATGCGGACAATGTCGCAAGCGAAAGAGGCAAGAACCAGATTAAAAGTAAGAACACGGACAGCAAAATTTCTCACGTACGTTTTCCCTCAAGCAAGTGGTCTCACACTTGCGCGGTGAGAAGCGTTCTCCTGCAAGGCGAACCAATATTCCGACACCGAATCAGGATACCGATGCCGCGCACGGTTGTATATGCAAGACCCTTTTTCTGGCCACCCGACGAAGGGAGAAAGCTATGAAAGAAAGACGAGGAAGAACAGAAAGAAGAGGAAGAAAGAAAAAGGAAAAAATAAAAATAAAAAAAATAGGGAGCCAGCACGAGGCGTCCAAAAGTAGATCGAGTGCTGGAAGCGGGGGGGCGGGCGAGGGAACGAAGATCAAGCAAAGCTCCAAGAGCAGCAAGGTTAAAGCTGCGGAGACGGCGAGGAAGTTGATTGACGTTGTCTCAGAGGCAATATTTCGGATTCTCCTCCCTCGGACGAATGTCAGAGTCTAGACAAAGATCTGAGAAGGAGGGGGGGGATCACGGCCAGTCAAGAGCCGACTATCTATCGCGAAGCACCACGACCGACGAGCGCGCATCGGGATAGACACGGCATGAAGGCAAGCCATGGCTAGGATACTAGGCAATTAGCTCGGCCAGGGGTGTTCGTTAGGGGGACGCGGAATGAGGAGAAAGGCCAGGAACGGGTCCACCGGAGCTGCCAGTGGCTCCATGGCCATTCAAAGTAGTAACAGAGAATGGGCAGGCAAATAAAAATAACCAAAGAGAAAGAGGCAAGTCGACGACGATCCCGAATCCCACAGCGATCGGGAGGTGGAACTGGAAGGACGAGTCGTCGAGGCTTTAGCGGGCCAATAGTCGCGATCCGTCGAGAAAAGGGGGAGGATTGGGAAGCGTCTGAAACACGCTCGGCCAGTCAGGAAGCCAGAAAATGGAAAAGGGGAATCATTTCTCATTTCCTCTGATTCCTCCGTCTTGGAGTATACTGCGTACGATCATACGATTCGAGATCAACCGTTTGCCCTGGAGATCTCGTTTTTGTGGTGTTTCTGTCCGTCGGTCTTTTGCGCCTCTTGATCGCCAGCGCAATTTCCAATGAGCCCGTGGTCCGTGTTTCAGGATGCCAGCGGCCTATATTTATCGGTCGTATCTGCCATCGATCAGTCTGCAGTACGGAGTCGCAGAGACAAGAGGAATCGGGTTGCCATCATCCATTCCCATCGAGGCAAATCCCCCGGCAAGACCTGCATTTCAATTTCCAATAGTGTTTCCCCCGGGCGATAATAAGCGGCGATATTTATGCATATCCACTGCCCAGACGCGCCTCGCAGGGTATGGACATTAAACAAAGGGGAATGAGGGAGTAGCCGAGCAGGGGAACCTTGGATCGCAGCTCTCCACCGGCCTGCTCAACTTTGGGCGCGCATCTCCATTTCGGAAATTACCTGGTCGTGGCTGGTTTTTGGGTCCTCTTTCCAAGCTCTTCCTGGTCGCTTTCCCGCATGCGAACCTTGGGAAATGACGCCCTGGATTCCACATGGATGCGACATGACAGGCCTTGCAGATGACGTTTTTTTTTCTCTCGCCAGTAATCTAACGGATTGGCCGCTAACCCGTCGGGATACGACTTCAAAAAGATAATTAATACGGAGTATCCCCGGGCAGAGATCGGTGATGTGCATCCAATTTAGAAAATTTAGAACGGAGCACGGAGGATGTCGTGGGAGCGAGGATGGCCATTGGATGGCAGCATCACATTCACACTCTAATGCCGGTTCCGAACGTGTGAGAAGCTGCCGACTTATTCAATCCTAGTGGCACTCGTTAGACCCACTTGGTCGCCAGGATTTCGCGCCTTCGACTCAGGGGCACCTACTCGACTGCCAGTGAGCCGCCGTAATTACTCCGTTCTTTGTCTTCGCGTCAGCAATTTCGTTGGTGGAGAGCGTGGATTGGGACGCAAATCCTGCGAGTCGATTACGGAGGATTCACCCACGGACCTTGGCCGATCACGTCGCAGATTCAGAACCACCCAATTTAACCCAGTGAACGAAAGAGGAGTCCGATGGAAATGCACCGTTGGGGAGATCATCCAGGCTGCAGCTGTCAGCCTTCCTACTCCTGGTCGGCCAACGGCCAGATGGCGCACGGCCATGCAGGCGCCATTCAACCTGAAGCGCCGGCCGAAAGTGATAATGTGATGGATCCAGAGATCGCCCGGGGTTCTCTAGCTCTGAGTTTCCCTAGTGAGTACTACTCAGAAATACCTCGTCGCCTGAACTGGTCCAGGGTTTCCTTCGGAGCTCCCGAGCCTCCCGGTGTCCATCGCCAGAAATGCCCAGCATTCCTGTCTCCTGGGTGCTCAGTGGATTCCTACAATCAGGAGGGCGTCGCAGTCCCTGGCGACTACGGAGTCTGGTAAGACATGTCCAGCGCATGAACGCCCTCCGGAGGACGAGTCTTGTTTACAGTGGACTCGACAATGGGATTGACCAGCAGAGCCATCACAAAGCAGACTTCACTCCGAATCCTCTACGGGACAACATTCTGTTGAGAATCTCGCCAGTAGGCCCATTCTCTCGCCTTTGCATACAACGACACCGACCTCCTATCTCGGTGTACTGCGTATAGGAAAGAGACCGCGGATGAGCCACGTTGGAAGCCCACGCAATCTCCGGGTGGCGAATGTCCACAGCCCTCAATCACTTGCGCCCCGATGCTAGACTGTTCACGGAGACAGACTCCATTCCATGGACCGGAGTGGCAGGGGTCATCGAGCAGGGGGGAGTGATGCCGTCTTTCATTTCTTTGTCTTTCTTTGATGGCGATGATGAAGCCCAATGTTCCCCCCGTGTCGTCATGGCGAGTCCTGATCTAGATTCCATAGAGAGCCGCGAGTCAAGTCCAGTCCACTCGAGCCTAGAAAGCCGGCGAGATTAAACTCCTGAGTTTTAATATGTCGAGATGTCTCACCATCGACAATCTACGGGCACGGCAATTGTTCCCCGAATTGATTTGACTGGAGAAAGGAGGCATCGGTATTTGGCCTTTGGGAGTCTTCGGCCCTGGTGGCCCATGCATTTTGATTAGATTACCTTCATTTGGAGCCCATTAGTTTAATATCGCCGACGATACCTAGTTACACAGCGTCACAGCATCCAGCGGTTTCCAACCCCTACTCTTCTTTTCCATGGGATGCTGGACCCCCTGTGAACCGGAAATGGTGACGTTCGGATTCGCCTTCAGGCTGAAAGTTCAGCCTGACTCCGCCCGCACTCGCATCACCGAGACTTCCCCTCTGGTATCATCTCATCCCTTTGAAACAATGGACGAGGCCTGCGATGTGAGAGATCTCGTGCTGTAACTGCTTCGCATCACTCTGACCCGCCACATTGCCTCGGCGGACGCCGTGCAACCCCCTGTTGCCCCGCATCATTGCGTGCATTTCGACACGTCCATCGTCGCTACCATTCGGTAGGAGTCGGCAACCTGCAGATGACCCTTGCCTGGAAACAGACAAAAAGAAAATAATAAAAGACCGCCATGCCGATCCAAACGCTCCCCCGATTTCTTTTCTTCGACGTCTTTGGCACCGTCGTCGAGTGGCGTCCCCGTGTCACGTCGGCGCTGCAAGAAGCCGCCGAGCAGGTCCTCAATGACCCGCGACGACACCTCGCGGCGGAACTGCGCGCTCGCGTTTCATCCATGACCGCGCAAGACTGGCAGGGAGTCGCGGAGGACTGGCGCCGATCCTACGGCCAGTTCACGCGCAACTACGACCCGTCGCAGGCCTTCGTGTCGGTCGACCAGCACCACTACGCCGCGCTGCACTCGCTGCTGCAAGACCGACAGATCGAGGCCCTCTTCACGGATGAGGAGAGATGGCAGCTGGCGCTGGCCTGGCACCGGTTGGAGCCGTGGCCCGACAGCGTGCGCGGCCTGGCGCTACTGAACCGCCAATTCCGCACCTGCACGCTCTCCAACGGCAACGTCGCGCTGCTCGACGACCTGAAACGCCATGGCAGCCTGCCCTTCACGGACGTGGCCAGCGCCGAGAACTTCGGGGCGTACAAGCCCTCGCCGCTGGTGTACCGCGGCGCCGCGCAGCGTTTCGGCCTCGACCCCGCGGAATGCGCCATGGTGGCGGCGCACCTGAATGATCTGAAAGGGGCCAAGGCCTGCGGCTTTCAGACCATCTACGTGGAGCGGCCGCAGGAGGAAGTCGTGGACCCGGACCAGGCGCGGAGGGAGGGATATGTGGACCTGTGGATCAGCCTGGAGTCTGACGGACTGGTGGAGGCAGCGAGACAACTGGGGATTCCTACGGACTGAGGGTCTTGAGACGGTAGGACGTTTGTGATGTTATTCTATAGATGCAATGCAAGAGCTGGGAAATCATAACCATCGTTTCTCCTTACCCATGTCCATCTGTCGCCCAGTCTCCCCCGATCTCTAATAAGTTCCGCTCTGCTCCCTTTTTATCGCCGGACTGTATATGTTGGCAGTTGTGGCTTGGAGAAATCTATGCTGGTTTGATCTTCATCGAAGGATCCCTACTCTCTTATGGTGCGTAAGTCTGAAAGTCCCAATATCTCAACATTAAATATCTATTACTAATTCTCCGGGGGTATGATGACACATTTCGCGATTACGCCATTCGAGAAAACGCTACGACGTTGTATCTCCGCTGCTTCTGCATTAAACCAAATCCTCCTTGGCGATGACGTTGCACGTTGGACGTGGATTTGTAAGCTTCAATAAACTATTTAGCTGGCCAACCATCTGGCATTAACCATCGGTATATAGTAATATCTACGGATCGAAGATACTTGAAAGGGACCTCATCATCCAAGATGACCGACACAGTGAGCAGATCCAGGACATACAGACCTACCGCCCCAACCACTTCCAACCCATCTAACGAGAAAGCAGGAATCCAAAATCTACCATCACGCCGACGCCGACGGGCACTTCCGTCGACAAGTCTCGTCCTTCCGCTCCTTCGTCTCGCCCGACCCGACGGCGGAATTCCCGGCCCAGAAAGACCGCTACGTGCTCTACCTCGCGTACGGCTGTCCCTGGGCGCACCGGACCAACATCGTGCGCGCGCTCAAGGGCCTCGAGGAGATTATCCAGCTGGTGGTGCTGGACCCGGAGCTGGGGCCGGACGGCTGGTTCTTCTCGGGGCGATGGGGGTCGGCGGAGGAAGACCCGCTGTACGGGTTCCGGCAGCTGCGCCAGCTCTACTGGAAGGCCGACCCGGAGTATCAGGGGCGGTTCACGATCCCGGTGCTCTGGGACCGGCGGCGCGAGACCATCGTCAGCAACGAGAGCAGCGAGATCATCCGCATGTTCTACTCGGCCTTCGACGGGCTGCTGCCGCCGGGGCGCCGCGAGGCCAACCAGCCCGGCGGCGGGCTCTATCCACCGCATCTGAGGGGGGAGATCGACGCGATGAACGAGTGGGTGTACGAGCGCATCAACAACGGCGTGTACAAGACGGGGTTCGCCACGACGCAGGAGGCCTACGACGCCAACGTGTATCCGCTGTTCGAGGCGCTGGACCGCGTCGAGGAGCATCTGGCGCAGCCGGGCCACCAGCCGTATCTGTTCGGCGAGCACATCACCGAGGCCGACGTGCGGCTGTACACGACGATTTGCCGGTTCAATGTCGCTTACTACTTGATCTTCCGGTGCAATCTGAAGATGATCCGGCATGACTATCCGCGCATCGATCGCTGGTATCGACGGTTGTACTTTGACGAGTCCGAGAGGACTCGCGGCGGGGCGTTCAAGAAGACGACGTTCTTTGATATCGTGAGTGAACCGTTTGCACTGCAGCTCCTCCCTGGCCTGAAACGCATGCTAACAGCGTTTTCTCTTGATCAGTATAAGTACAACTACTTGAAAGCGCTGGGAAAGAAGGTAGGCGGGTCTCAGACCGTCATCCCAGCCGGTCCAGTGCCGGATATCCTGCCATTGGAGAAACTGTAGCAGTCAAGCATGTCATGTAGGAAACTGTCCTCACCTGCCTGTCCGCGCGTATCATCCAGCATCGAAATCGAACGACCCGCCGTACTCCGAGCTACCGGGCCATTTGCACCCCCTGGAAGCACCTCACCTAGACCCCTGTCTTAACCACAGCCCCCGGGAACTGAAAGACCCCTCCCTCTTCTATTCCAGGACATTTCCACAGTCTGGCATCTGTACCCAACATCTTAGGCACTGATCCCGTACAGTGTAGATCTCGTTGCTGCCTAGTAAACGTTAACATCCACCGCGAGGTTGACAAAGGGGGAGGGGAGGGAGATCTAGACTATTGCTTATATTAAAAACGGCACATAGGTCAACGGCCACCCTCGAGCCCTGCCCGCCAGCTAAGCCTTTTTCACTCCGGAAATAAACACGCACTCCCTCCCGAAAGGGCTTACTGACTCTGTGGGATTCCACCGCATTTGCTCCCTCCCTGGACCAGACGGAGTAGGCTGGAAACCCGAAGTCCCGCCCGCGGACGCAAACCTAAGACCGCCACCGTTGATCGCACCCCCGATCTGGCCGAGTAGACGGGCTCTGGTACGTCATGGCGAGACGAGGATGAGAGGGTAGCATCCCGGAGGAGTTATGGACGCCCGTTGTGGCCGTGCTGGCGGCCCACGGGAGCAGATAGTATCTGATGGGGCTGTTATAGGTAGAGGGAGACTAGAAGACGACTATGTCCAGTTTTCATAATTCTAGAAGATTGTATGCTCCATCGTGGTATCTGGTTACGTCCGAACCGATCTATCTTAGCATTCTCCGGAGCGATCATGGATATCCCTCGCCCTGTAAGGATCCTATCATCAAAACCACAGCAAGAGAACAGGCCAATACATGAAGAATAATAGTAAAAAGTTAGAGGAGAGGGGAAAATGAAGAACCAAAAAAAAAAAAAAAAAAATCAACGGGTTGGGCCTCGAAGTTTCCGAGCGGCCCAAAGTAGTGGAACGCCCCTGACCCATCGCTACTCTGGAGGCGAATTGGTTGCCCAAACCAACCGGGTGGGGAGATGGGAGAAAAAAAAGGTTTCTTTTCGACCATCAGATTGGTTCGATCCATGTCGATATGAGTGCAGGGCAGGGGAAGGCAGGATGCATGCATGCAAGGGCGAGAGGTGCCGACGCACAGCCGCGGTGAGAGGGACGTTAATTTACTGCCATGTGCATACGGAGCACATCCTACGTAAATGCGTCCGGACGGTGCATCTGTAAGTCTCGTTACCGACGAGGAGAATATAAATAGCAGGGTAGGATTGGATTCCGGCGAGAAATTATCGACCGGGGTGGCTAGGGGAGCTGCATGCGCCATGCGGGATTATTTCCCAGAGAGAACCACCGAACTAGTAGAGAATGGGTTAGGCCAGGATTTCCGGAGTCGCTAGGCCGCCGTTGACACCAGACGGAATTCTCTGTGCGGTGCGCTCGAGTCAGTTTGATTATGATGGGACGGGGACGGACTAGGACGATCCTCTTGGGAAGACGGATTGCAGAGGGGCTGGACGGAGCATAAATGAACTCCCGCAGTCAGAAGTTAATAATAATATCCATGGATGACGGATCGATGGCCATGACGATGCCCCCTGCCTCGGTAGGTTCCTTCAGAGAGAGTGAGACACTGGAGACCGGCCACCCACGTGGAAATCGACGGGGCCCGGGATATTAAGGTGGATGTTTTCTGGATGGCTAGTGGCCCTGCACGCCCTCCGTCTCTTTTCGCTGCCAGCCGGACTGCCTTCTAGAAGATATCGTCCGTAGTATAGGCTAAATGGCCTGGCCAAGGACACATATCCCTTCTGTAACTGGTCGGCAGACGGTCACCAGTCGAGGCAGCCCAATCGCCAGGTTCAAAGCAGCCAGAGAAAGAAAAAGAAAAACACGGCGAATCCCTGTTGGCTCGTGGAACGCACAGTACCCGCCATGGACCGGCCCGGCATCTGGTTATCGACGGAATGGAATACTGCTGGCATCGTGATTCCTGACAGGAGGACGCCTCCAGCGTAATAATAGGGGCAGGAGGGGCAGCTGCTAAACCGTCACCCCCACTACTCCGACTTACTAGCATGGATCGTTCGGTCTCCCTGGTGCGAGTTGCTCTGCTAAGCCCTGACGAGGCGCATGGGTTTCCCTCGTAGGCTAGCCAGGTAGGGCTTGGAGGAGAGATCCCTCGCGGTGAATGAATCAAACCATATTCTTTAGGTTGAAGATACACGGTATGTTTGCTTTTGGCCCCAATGCGACAGTGGTGGAAGGCGAGAAAAGCGACGAGACGTAGCTTACGGAGTACGCCTGGAATGGGCGCCATGAGGTAATCCCGAGGATCAGGAAGATGGGATTTTAGCCCGGTGCTCAGGGGGGCGGCGGAATGTTCGATGCTGCTTCCCCGTGAAAAAATGGGGAACGACGGCGTCCAGGGGGACATGCCACGGTGGATCCGGGCATCAGGACATCAGGAAAGGAGGATGGTTCAGCATTCAGGACGGCTTCAGATGCAGACGAAGTGAGCAAGTCTAGATCGATGGCACCACATCCGCAGCTGAGCCGACCCTTGGAACCGACCGGAATCAACCCAATCGCCGTGCTCGATGACGGTGGAGAGCAGCCCTGGCCTTCACCCACTTTCGTGTCTACCCGAAACCATTCTCGCGCTGCGTCGCTTGTCGGTTTCATCATTGCGATGCGATGCGAACGACGCAAGAAACAGTCGGAGGCCAGTGGCCCTGTGTAACCCGCCGGTCGGGGACCAAATGCGCGATCTGATACGTACGGAGACAGAAGAGTCGGCGGGGGGAGGTAGACAGTGTCGAGAAGGATAGACTAGGGGATTCTTTGTATACCTGCTCCTTTTCCCAGTCTGGCCGGAGGGATCGTCTCCGCCGCTTCTCAGTTCATTTCCTGGTCGATTCGATTTTTCTGTAGCAGCAGGATAATCTCCTTTCGTTTCATTTATTTCGTTTGATTTCCAATTAATTTTTCTTCTAACATTGTTTGGGCTTAGCATCGGTCGGATTACGGAGTCGTTGGTTCGTATGGTGATTCTTCTGGTTATGATCCTTACTATTTGAGTCGGTTCGTCTTCGTCATCTCGGCGTCCTGGCTTCTTTCTTCCTTTTCTTCCTTTCTTTCTTTTCTTCCCTTTCCTCTCTCCATCCCCCTGGATCTGCCACCTTGACTCCGTTGCCAAACCGTTTGGGTTTCGCCCCTCCTCGTCCATCGGAATCTAGTCTCCCCCTCCTCCTGCTTCCTCCCACCGTCGACCAGCTCCTTTCGACTATTTCTTCCACCTTCCGACCGACATACTCCGTGCTCCTGCGTACATCCTGCGTACATCCTGCGTACATCCGCTGCGGGCGATCCCTCTCTGCCTGTCGCTTTCCCCCTCCCCCCTCACGTGGCGGATTCCAGTTGAGGCGAACCCTCTGTTTTACGCCGCCATTTGGATCCTTTTTGCTTTGGATTGATTGGGATCGTTGATTTATTTTTCTGCCCGCCGGATTTCCAACCATTCGACCGTTCTTGAATTTTCCTTGCCTTTCCTTGCCTCCCGAGACGTCCAGCGTTGTCACGAGAACCCCGAGCTGCTTGACTCGGAACCCCCTCTCTTTTCTCCCACAAATTATTTGTCACTTCGCGCCCTCTGCAATCGTGCGAATTTCCTCCGGTATGTGCTTCACCTTAGATCATTCCCCTGCAAATCAATTCTAATTTATTTATTTTTTTTCCCTTGGCTGATGTATCAGGGTCATAAATTAGACAAAAGGAAAAAAAAAAAAAATCATTAAAAAAAAAATAAAAACAAGCAGCAGAGCTGTGCGGGCTCGTGCTAGGACGGCGGTCTGAAGCAACGACGATTATTCCCGGTGGCTAATCGCGCGCACTACCAAAATAACCGTTCTCTTGGGTCCCAGCATCTCACAACACTCCGTTTCCCGTGTCCGTGCTCACCCTGGAGCATCCATACATTGCTTCTCACGCTTATTTTTCTTAATTTTCCATCTGAACTCCCTCCTTTCTCCTGTCACCCCCCCCCCCCCCCCCCCCACTGCTCTCCTCGACTGCTTTCTTTTCCCTCGACCTCCCGTCCCATTCGATCCAAAAACGCCCGTCACGCTTCCACCGTGCCCGTCGTCCTTGGGCATAATCCTCAGTCACCATGTCGGGAAAGATGACGTTGTACAAGTTGGTGGTGCTGGGAGATGGTGGTGTCGGCAAGACAGCGCTCACCATCCAGGTTAGTCTTGTCAATTCTCCACGATCCGCTGATGTCCCGGTGGGCTGACCGTCCGATCTGCGTGCCTCCAGCTGTGCTTGAACCATTTCGTCGAAACGTATGATCCGACAATCGAAGACTCGTACCGGAAGCAGGTGGTGATCGACCAGCAATCGTGCATGTTGGAAGTCCTGGATACCGCCGGCCAGGAAGAATACACGGCCCTGCGAGACCAGTGGATCCGTGATGGCGAGGGTTTCGTGCTGGTCTACAGTATCACCTCGCGCGCCTCGTTCTCGCGGATACAGAAGTTCTACAACCAGATCAAGATGGTCAAGGAATCGGCCAATTCCGGCTCCCCCTCCGGGGCCAGTTATCTCGGCTCCCCCGTCCACGCCTCGTCCGGCGCTTCGCTCCCCGTTCCCGTGATGCTGGTTGGCAACAAGAGCGACAAGGCCGTCGAGCGCGCCGTGTCGGCCCAGGAAGGACAGGCACTGGCCAAGGATCTGGGCTGCGAATTCGTGGAGGCCTCCGCCAAGAATTGCATCAACGTCGAAAAGGTGTTCTACGACGTCGTCCGAATGCTTCGACAGCAGCGTCAACAACAGGGCGGACGATCCCAGGATCGGCGACCGACCGGCTTGGGCAGCATGCGCGACCGTGATGCCGGCCCGGAATACCCCAAGTCTTTCCGACCAGACCGTTCACGACATCGCGGCGGTATCAAGTGTACCATCCTGTGAGCGGGGCCATTGGAACGATCCCGTCGTGTCGGCCGGTTCGAGCGGTCGCCCAAGATTCCCGACTGTTCTTTCCTTTCTCTCATGTCGATCTCGTGATTATTATGGCAGTACAGATGGCCTGTCCTCCCTCCCGTCCTGCTCCGAACGGTTTGCCTTCGACAGTTCATCCGCGAGAGCTCATGCGAGCCTGCTCCATGACCAATCCTTTCTCTTGTTTATATTGACTGCCACGCAAATTTGGCCGTCCTCCGGTTTTGCACCTAGCGCCTGGCTTTAGTTTTTCATCGGCAGACTCTTTCCTGCCGCCTCCTTTCCCCTCCTCACTTTCCTCCTTCGACTCGCTGGGAATGCAGCGGTGGGTAATTCCATGTGCTTGATGCATTGTCCTTTTTTTTTTTTTTTTTTTTTTTTTTGTCTTTTCCTATCATACGTGGGAGGCGATCTCTCAAATCCATCGCAGGGTGTTTCGGCTACTGGAGAATTTTCGTGCTTTACGGGGTTGGGGGACCCAGGCTCTGCCGGGACCATAGAATTCTCTTTTCTTTTTCATTTCTCGTTTTCCTTCGATGTCTTCCGCCGTCTCGCCGACGGTTCTTTTTAGTCTCCCCCACCTCATGATTTCGTTTCTTTTCCTTTTCTTTTTACGACCAGACTTTCCGAAGGGGGTGAACCTGGGCGACCGAGGTGATGCCGTGGATCAAGGCGGATCGAATTCGGAACATGGCTATGATGATGATGCAGGCCGATTCAAGAACGGAGGGGTAATTTGGGCTTCGGCGGAGGGCGACGGTGATTGTGATTTCCATGAAGCCTACAGGATGGCAGTCGACAGTTTAGCAGGCATTGCGATATGATACCCTACGGCTGAGCTTTGAGTTCTGGTTTTTGATGCATTTGTGAGTAAAATCCAAAGAATACAAGAGGTCGATCCGAAAAAATTCTCTGTCCGGGTGCAAGATAGAATATTACGATCCAAAATAGAATCCAGTTGTTTCTTTCTTTCTCTTTTTCTTCCTTTCCCCCCCGTACCTCATGCCTGGATTCGGTGACGTGGAGGGGGAGTTGAGTTACATCCGACCAACAATTCTCTCCAGTCCAGACCTGCTCTTCCACCCATTTTTTGGGTCTGCCTATCAGAGCAGCACTGCCATCCATGGATTCGGCATTACCTAAAGGTACAGAATATTGGAGCGCAGCGTGCGGGGAAAGCTCCGACGCTATCCCCAACCTCGGGCGCTCGTTCGTCGCCATCTCTGAATTGCGGTCTTTCGATGCTTCCCCGCACTCGGCCTGCGTCTGGTGGACTCGTCGTGACGAACTCCTTTTTTTTTTTCCTTTCCTGTTTTCTCCCTTGCTTCCCTTGCTCCCGCGTGCTGTGATATCCGATTGGAACCGTCCATTACGGGCTGAAATAACACGAAGCTCAGCTCAGCTGACAATTACCTCCCTCTCTCCCGCGGAGTTCTCTGGGAAAGTGCACCACCTTGCGTCGTTTCGGATTAAGAGATTTCCTCGGCTACCTACATCAAGTGATTGCTTTTTTCGAGTTTGACTTTCCCTCTTTCACCCCCTCTGGTTTCTGTAGTGTTCTATTTTTGGGATCGAGCCTATGCACGATGCCGACCCATCCCCAACACGAAGCGCATCGCTCGTCACTCGACAACCCCGAAGCTTTCTGGTCCCATCATGCCGACCACCTGGATTGGCATCGGAAGCCATCCCGGGCCATCAGCCGGACCGTCAAGTCGCTCCCCGGCGGTGCCAGTCATGACCACTGGTCGTGGTTTCCCGACGGCGAGATCTCCACGACCTATAACTGCGTGGATCGACATGTGCGGAATGGCAATGGAGACAACGTGGCCATTGTCTGGGACTCGCCCGTGACGGGGACCAAAGAGAAGTATACGTATCGGCAGCTGCTCGACGAGGTGGAGGTGTTGGCCGGCGTATTGCGAGAGGAAGGGGTGCGAAGGGGGGACGTAGTCATCATCTACAGTATGTTTCATTCCTTGCTGCATTTGTCCAGATCGAAAGATAAATCCGGTACTGTACTAACAACGAGAAAGTGCCCATGATCCCCGCCGCACTGATCGCAGCGCTGGCAATTGTCCGGTTGGGAGCCATCCATGCCGCCGTGTTTGGCGGCTTCGCGCCGAAGTCGCTTGCGCAGCGCATCGAGGCGGCCAAGCCGCGCGCCATTATGACGGCCTCGTGCGGAATTGAAGGATCCAAGGGCCCCATTGCCTATCGACCGCTCGTCGAGGGGGCCATCCAGTCGAGCAGTTTCAAGCCCGAGAAGGTCATTGTATGGCAGCGGGACCAGCTGCGGTGGAATCAACCCGACAAACGGGGCGGGCAGCGGAACTGGCAACGTTTGGTGAAAAGCGCGCGGATGCGCGGTGTCAAGGCCGGACCGGTTCCGGTGAACAGTGCGGATGCGCTGTACATCATTTATACCAGCGGTAAGAACCCGGCCCATTGTATCGTTGCTGGGTTGGACACGGCACGGCTGATATTGGGGGAACCATCTAGGAACCACCGGGCTGCCCAAAGGAGTCGTCCGGGAAGCCGGGGGACACGCGGTGGGCCTTCATTTGTCGATCAAGTCGCTGTTTGGCATCCAAGGTCCGGGCGACGTCATGTTCTGTGCCTCCGACATTGGCTGGGTTGTCGGACACTCGTACATCCTGTACGCCCCTCTCCTGGTCGGGGCTACAACCGTTCTGTTTGAAGGGAAGCCGGTCGGGACGCCGGACGCCGGGACCTTTTGGCGGGTTGTCGAGGAGCACAAGGCTAACGTACTGTTCACGGCCCCGACGGCGATGCGCGCCATCCGCAAGGACGACCCAGACAACAGCTTGTTCAAAGAGGTTGCCCGTCGCGGCGGGCTCAAGCACTTCCGGGCCCTTTTTCTCGCCGGCGAACGAAGCGAGCCGAGCATCGTTCATGCGTACCAAGACCTACTAACTCAGCATGCCGCTCCGGGGGCGATGGTGGTCGACAATTGGTGGTCATCCGAGTCCGGCTCGCCCATCTGTGGCGTGGCGCTGAAGAGTGCCGTGGGCACAGTGCAGCAGGGCGGAGACGACGAGCCATCGCCATTGCAGATTCGACCCGGGTCGGCAGGACTGCCAATGCCGGGGTTCGATGTCCGGATCGTCGACGACGAAGGTCGTGAGGTACCTCGGGGCACGATGGGCAACATTGTCCTTGCCCTCCCGCTGGCCCCTACCGCCTTCACACGACTCTTCAACGACGACGAGAGATTCTACCGCGGATACCTGAAGCGGTTCGAGGGACGGTGGATCGACACGGGCGACGCGGGCATCATCGACGAAGATGGCTACGTCCATGTGATGGCTCGATCGGATGATATCATCAACGTCGCAGCGCATCGGTTTAGCACGGGTTCGTTCTTCCGCACTGCCAGTTTCCTTTTTATCCATAACCCGCCCCAAATCCCTGACTAATCCTCATGACACAGGAGCCATCGAGCAAGCGATCCTCTCTCACCCGGAGATCGGCGAGGCCAGCGTCGTGGGCATCCCGGACGCCTTGAAGGGCCACCTCCCGTTCGCCTTCATCCAGCCACGCGCCGCCAGGAGCACGGTGCCCGCCACGCCGCGAGGCGAGCTCTTCAACGAAGTCAACGGGCTCGTGCGCGAGCAGATCGGGGCCATCGCGTCGCTGGGCGGAATGATCCAGGGGCGGGGGATGATCCCCAAGACGCGCAGTGGCAAGACACTGCGACGGGTGCTGCGGGAGCTGGTGGAGCACGGGGCGCGCGGGGACTACCAGGCGCCGGTCAGCGTTCCGCCGACGGTGGAGGACGCCGAGGTGGTGGAGGTTGCGCGGGGCAGGGTGAAGGAGTACTTTGAGCAGAAGAAGCGGCAGGTGAAGCTGTAGGTTGGCCCGTACTAGAATCTAGACGTAGATATGTTGGGAAATCCTTAGATCATTGTCATCTCTACAATAGACCAGACGGACCGATAGGCAATTAGATAAAAGATCGTGACTTCAACCATTAGGTATAAAAAGCGAAGCTGAGTATACACACAGGAGTAAACAAAGTAAATCAAAATCAAAACCTCAAAATAAATATGTATAGAGATAACCGGAGGCCAGGAGAAGATATGAACAATCCGACTTGGTTCGACGACAAAAGACAAAACAGCGTAGGGCGTGATCTGGATCCGAAGGAAACAAGTAAATAAAAAAAAAAAGTATGTATGGTATCGGTCGTATCACCAAGAGATAAGAATAGTCATGATAAATGATATCGGTTCAATCGGATATACCATACCTCCCAGCTGGAATTGGATATCGTACCGGTCTACCGAAGTAGGGGGGTAGCCTGTCCAACAGTTATGTTAGACCAGGCTCCCTACCTACATAGACACGATCACCGAGTCGAGAGATTGAGAGTGAGAGCGAGAGAGCGAAAGGGGTATAACGGCAATAGATTGAACGGATATCATATCAAGACGAAGACGAAGAGAAGAAGAAAAAAGAACCACCACCAATCAATCAACCCCTAAACCCAATCATCCATAGACAGAAAGAGATCTATCTACAGCAAGTAAGCGACCAGACCGAAGACGGTGGCGAGACCGGCCCCGGCACCGGCAGCAGCGCGCGAGGCACCGCCGGTGAAGATGGGAGCGGCGGGGGTCGTGGCGGAGCCGGAGGGCAGGACGCCCGAGGGGGCGGGGCCGGAGGGAGCGACGCCGGAGGGAGCGGGAGCGCTGGGGATCAGCGGGACGGAGGGAGCGGCGCTGCTGGAGGGGATGACCACGGAGCCGCCGCTGCTGCTGGGGGCGTTGGAGGGAACGCCGGGGACGGGGTTGACGTTGCTGGGGACGGAGACGACGGGGGACTTGGTCTTGGAGGCGCTGTTGGAGGTTAGGGTCGGAGGTTCAGATATCTAGAAGAGCAAAACATACCACTTGTTGCAGCGGGTGACGGTCGAGGTGATCAGAGGACGCGTGGTGCTGTAGCGAACGTTGGTGGCGGACGCCGGGGCGGGCTGCGATGACGGTCAGTATGAGGGCATCGTCATGGATATACCCGAGTCGACATACCTGAGTAACGGTGGTCTCAGCCGGCAGAGTCGACACCTTGGGGCAGAAGGTCGCGGTCTCGGTGACGATGACGGTCTGCACGGGTTCTTCGGCGGCGACGACACCGACGGCCATGGTGGCCAGGGCAGCGGTGGCGAGAGAGAAACGCATGTTGATTGATTGGATTGGAGTGGGTAGGACTGGGATTGGCTTGTGGTTTCTGAAGAGTCGATCGCAACAGTAAAAGAGTGACTGAGGGATATAAGAGAAAGAATGTACTCGGTCAAGACCGGGGATGATGCTCAAGATGAAACGGGCTGGAGGGAGGGAAGAGAGAGAGAAGAGAGGAAAAGGAGGCAGAGTGGGCGAGTTCGATATTTATTCTCCATAGCCAATAAACCTCAGGAGTCCACTATTAATCAAATCAGGGACCGAAAAAACGGGATCGTTGCTTGAGTCTAGGAGGCTTAGGGTTAGTGCGGTATCACCGGGGGGTGGAAATACTATATCACACACCACCGAGTACGCTGCTGAGTCCTACGAGCAGTCGATCCACGCACCCCCCTATCACCACGTCCAGACACCCCTTTTCCTCTCCACCTTTATCCTCCAGTAGCTCCGTGGCTTTGGGTAAGGATCGACCACGTTCCTTCGGGTCCAGAGCTCTAGCGGTGCCCTCGTCCACGGCCGACGTGACCATGCATCGCTTGGGCATGCAGCCTCGCAGATTGGTCCTGTTCCTGATCCCATTCCCGGGCGGATTTTGGCTCGGATCTGAAAATCAGATCGTGTTTCACTTTCTTTTTACTGTTTCTTTTTTCTTTCTTTCTTTTTTTTTATGCCCTCTGGCTCGTATTTTCTTCTGCTGCGCCCGGTCAATCCTTTCCCGGTTGAGGAGTGTCTCGACTTGGGGCCAACTTTGGGGCAAATAATTGGCATGATTATTGGGAACGGTCCGTCGTGTAATTCGTCCATTTTTCCTCCTCGTCGGGTGCCTGACCGACATGTTCTCGGATCTGTCGACTGCAGAAAATAGAAACATCCGCGGGACTCTCCACATCCACCGACTCAGTCCGTGGATCCTCATTCCCCTCTGCAAGGCACGTGTCGGTGTGACTGAAGAACTTGGACTATTTCACCTGATACTGTGAACTGTAAGGTACCGACGGAGTGATTCGCGGTTCCAGGGTTGTTGGCTGCTAGTCTCTGCGTACCTGAAGGTAGTCTAGCCGACCCACCGTGGACTCCCGTCTTCCGTTGGCTCTATCGATTCCATTCAGTATGCATACACATTCTTGAGCAGCTTAAAGGTTTACTTTGACTTCGCCTTTTGCTTTTCCTTTTATTATGACCCCTGAAGCGACCCGGATTTCGGAAGAGACTATCGTGCACGTTGACCCCTTGCAGTCGACAGTAGCGTCTTACATTTGGTCTTTTCTATTGGAGTGCTCACCCCTCGCCGCTTTTTGCTCACTGAGCAGGCCTTGAATAGAGGGGTGGATAGCCTGAGTGGGGTAGCTTAAGAAAACGCACCCAGCTAGAGATGCTCAGTGTGGTCTATGTTCATGACGACTCAACTGCGATTTGGAACTTGTCAACCAGGAAACTGCCAACGAGATGGCGTTCTCACGCACATACTTTGGTACAAGGACGACGTTGGCGCGGTGGATGGATGGGAGCAGAGCAGACTGATGAGCGAATACAGGATTTTTGAATGACCTCCTATGGTGGCATTGGACGAACCACTGAAGGTCTTCGCCAAACTGAACGCCATGGCATCAATTCTACACAAAAGCAGCGACCATTGCACCCTGGTCATCAACACCAGAGGTTCGGAAAGCGAATATATAGCGTTCCTTCCGCTAGGGTATAGAACGCGTCGTCCGCCTGTACCGTGGGCTCGTCCGGCCGGTCTGACGTTACAGTTGTATCAAAATGGCCCTCAACTCCGACTGCGCGAAGGTAAGAGATTCTGGAAGCTCTCTATATCTTTGCTGCCGGGGAGCTGCGGTGCGAAAGGCCGAGGCAGGGGAATCCGAGTCAAGATACTCCATCTCACTTAGGTAGCATTCCGCGTGCCGTGTGGATAGGTCGCTGCCAGTGTCCCTTCCGAAGGCCATTGCGTCTTTTCGCCAGTCCGAGGCAAGACCTCATTAATTAATTTGCTCTTCTGTTGGCAGAAATCTGGTCCAGTACCTTTGTTAGTTCTAGACAGACAATTACCAGGATGAACCGTGGCTGGCATCACGTGCTCCCTGGGAGTGTTGGACCGGGCTCAATTTCCAGACAATCTTAAGATACGATATCTGAGCGATGTCCGAAACATTATTCGGGACAGACAAAGAAACCAAGATTGGATGAAACTGGTACGGAGTAGAATCAATTTCCAATTAACACTAAAGACTAAGCGAGCCAAGGTATCTTATCCTCCATCACGCCACGGAAATGGCAATAACACAACAGATCCAATCCGATTTGTTCGTTGTCCCAAGTATGGATGGTGAAAGGCGGGGACATATCAGCAGCGCCCGGGAGAAGCCAGCCGAGGCCGTCCGCTCCACGAGAGCTGACCAGGTAGTCGCCGTTTCTTCATCTTGGATTTAGTTGTGTGAAGAAAGGAAAGAGAAGGGAAGCCGCGGCGGAATTTGACGATGCGCCAGAAATAAGCGAGGCGGAGAGGAACATCCTTTTGCCGCCCGTCGGAGATGCTAGGCCCAACGCGGACTAGCGCCGTCAGCTTCCCGCGGGCAACGGCCGCCGCCGTATCAGCGGCGGCTTGTCCGAAGATAGGACCTCCTCCTTCTTTAATCGGGTCCTTGGGGAGCTCCTCACTTGTCTTCTTTCCCGACTTTGCTTTTCCCCTCCGTTGTAATTCTTGCTTCCTGATCTCTTGTATACTACCCTCGACCCCAATTACAAGCAACCGACGGCATCATGTTGAGTCGTTGCGGCCGCCCAGCCTCGCGCTTGCTCCCGCTCGCCGGAAGCTCCTCCAGAGCTATCACTGCGCAGCTCCGACCTGCCGCCTCCCACCTCTCCAGATCGACTCCGCAGTCGCGCGGTGTTTCGTCCGCCAGTCGCGATGGACAGCAGCATGTATGCGCCAATTGATGGACTCCCTAGCCGAGTGTTGCCTGCCTCGATCAATGCTAATGTTATATACTGCTTCTAGTTGCTCTCCGCATCGCTCAAAGAGGAGGACCCCACTATCCACAATATCCTTGAAAAGGTGCACTTGCTCGCTGCCATTAGGCTTCATGAACAGTATACTCATAAATCCGCAGGAGAAAAAACGCCAGAAGCACTTCATCAACTTGATCCCTTCCGAGAACTTCACCTCGCAAGCCGTCCTCGATGCGCTGGGCAGTGTGATGCAGAGTCAGTACTACCGACGCCGTCGGCCTGCAATTGATGTTCTCTCGTCGCTGACCGCACCTAGACAAATACTCCGAGGGATATCCCGGTGCTAGATACTACGGAGGAAACGAATTCATCGACGAGTCGGAGCGACTCTGCCAATTGCGTGCTCTGGAGACTTTCCGGCTGAGCCCCGAAGAATGGGGAGTAAACGTGCAACGTGAGTTGTCTACTGATTCTGATTTGACATTGCGGAAGCAATTGACTGATTCGTTGCTAAAGCTCTCTCCGGTTCGCCGGCCAACCTGTACGCCATTTCTGCTCTTCTAAACACCCACGACCGCCTCATGGGTCTGGACTTGCCCCATGGTGGCCATCTGTCGCACGGTTACCAAACCCCCACCAAGAAGATCTCTTTCATTTCGAAATACTTCGAGACGTTCCCCTACCGTCTGGATGAGTCCACTGGTCTGATCGACTACGACGCTCTTGCCAAGAATGCTCTTCTGTATCGTCCGAAGCTCATCATCGCCGGCACGTCGGCCTACAGCCGACTGATCGACTACTCTCGCATGCGGGAGATCGCCGATGCGGCCGGCTCTTACCTCCTGAGCGATATGGCCCACATCTCCGGTCTGGTCGCTGCCGACGTCGTGCCGTCGCCCTTCCAGCACTCGGATGTTGTCACCACCACCACGCACAAGTCCCTGAGAGGTCCCCGCGGTGCGATGATCTTCTACCGCAAGGGTGTCCGCCGAACGGATAAGAAGGGCAATCCCGAGATGTATGATCTGGAGAACCCGATCAACGCATCTGTCTTCCCTGGCCACCAGGGTGGACCTCACAACCATACTATCACCGCCCTGGCCGTTGCTTTGAAGCAAGCGCAGTCGAGCGAGTTCAAGACCTACCAGGAGACGGTGTTGTCCAACGCACAGGCACTGTCCGATCGATTGGGTAACTCCCAGAACAACGGAGGCTTGGGATACAACATCGTGTCCGGCGGAACGGACAACCACTTGGTTCTAGTGGACCTGAAGAACCGCGGCGTGGATGGTGCTCGCGTTGAGCGTGTGCTGGAACTGTGCGGCGTGGCCAGCAACAAGAACACCGTGCCCGGTGACAAGTCCGCCCTCAAGCCTGGCGGCCTGCGTCTCGGTACCCCGGCCATGACCACGCGTGGCTTCCAGCCGGAGGACTTCCGCCGCGTGGCCGACATCGTGGACCGTGCCGTGATCATCACCCAAAAGCTGGACAAATCTGCCAAGGAAAGCGCCTCGGCCAAGGGAGTCAAGAACCCCAACACCGTCAAGGCATTCCTGGAGTATGTCAAGGAGGGCGAAGAGATCCCGGAAATTGTGCTCCTGAGACAGGAGGTTGAAGACTGGGTCGGCACCTTTAGCCTTCCGTGGGCCCAGGACGAGTAAAATGGCTTGATTCTCTATTTGTTAATTTATGACCCGGCTTCAGGAGGTGTTTTTGTTTTTGATGGCTTTTGCTTTTGCGAGCATATTTGCGTTGAATGAATTGTCTTACCCGTTGATTTTCTTTTTCTTTTTGATATATGCATGGATGTACAAATGTTCAACACATCTACTAGACTCAATGACTGGCTTTACTGGATTTCATAAAGCAATCCGAGCAGATTGTAACTGCCTGGCCTGTGCTTGTAGGTGCCTAATTTCTGACTGTGCGAAACTATGTATGTACTTGTGCATCCTCACTCATCTTACTGTAGCATTGATTTAACTGAAATGTAATCGGTACTTATTAGTTCCTTATTTCTTATTGTTTCTGCTTCCTGAGTTCCAGAGCAGGACTGCGATAGTGAGTATTATCGAATAATGGATGGCTAATATCGAAATCTATCTTCGTCCTTTGATCCTATCTTCTTGTATCCTCGTACATCTTTTACTGATGGTCATCTTGACCAAGTACATATACTTGTCTGCCTGGAAGCAATCAGCACTTCAGGCCATACTTGCTTACGGATACTAGGCACGACATAAGAAGGCTTCAGCCTCACATAGGCATCCTCGATTCGTCAGCTTCCGATTCAATGGTTCCCTTCTCCCAGTTCTGTTGCATAAATCAAAGATGAGCTTGCTGCGTATTGCTTGCGCCAGAACAGTTTCAGCCAACACTGCTGTAATGGATCACGATATCACCCACTGGAGGACAGGGATGGGATCTACTACGTTGTTGGAAGTGTGTTGAGTTCCACAAGCATGCTCACACACTGATATATTTAGTCACAAGGAATGCACGATCAAATATTTTAATCGTCTAACAACCTATGGATGCTATATACCAGTCCCACAGTTCCATTGTACTACTGCACAGGTCTAGAATCGTTGGCAGATAGGTGGTAGACCATTCCTGCGTCGCCATCGGTCTGCCATCCATACACCTCGGGAACAGGCACATCGCCATGCAGACATCGACGAATAGCATACAGGCATTGCATTGCGCTTCCGAGATATGAATTCTAGATTCCCATTTCATGAATAGGTTTAACTCCTCGAAGATGACAGGCGGTGGGTAATAGCTCCTAAGCGGGCCAGTCGTGAAGTGGACTTTCCTTGGGTCAGGATACACTCCGGCGCGATGTTGCCTTTCGGTTGTGCCCGTATTTCTTTCGGGGAGGGCAGTTGTTCCCATTTCTTGAAAAACGAAGAATCTTTGACTTCGAAGTCGAGCGAATGTGGGACTATAGAGGGCGTGAGCCGCATGTGTTCTTCTTTGGAGTGGTGTTTGTATCCCGCAGCTGCTGCGTTGTAAGAAGTACCAGCCCGGCCAGGGTCAGCTGATTCGGTATTCTCTCTCTCCCTTGATATCTCGACTCGCCAAGCTGAAACACGTAAATATCGAGGGTAGAGCTGGGATCAATTGAATGAAGTGATTCAGACCTCCCTGCTGGCAGAGACGGCCTGCTCGGCGGGTCTCGTTCACCTTATCCACCTAAAACTGGCCTGCATGAGCGCATTCGTCCGGTAGTGTTGGAGAAGACTTCAAGGGGAGAGGGCACAACAGGTGGGGGATATGGCCAGGGCCGTTGATTCATACCGACTCCAATTCGCAAGTGATAGCGCAAATGCCTTTGCCTCACGGGCTATGAGTATATATCTAGCCACCACCACTCTGTTATAAATTGTGAGGACCCCAGTTCTAAGGAAGTGTAGGTCTTTATCTGCTTCGGGTTTCATCACGCTCTCGCGACTTTTTTTCGTTCACTATGATGGGATAGTAGCAGACCGGAAACACTTCATATTTCATGACGGAATTTCGCAAGAGCACCTGAAATATGTGAAATTTGAAATCCAAGATTCGAAAGCAAATGGGTATATACATAGTTGGACTGATCCACCGGAGTTAAGTCCAGGTAGTCCGATCTTCTCTCACCAACAGCATTCACAGCAGAACAGACCGGTAGGAAAACTAACAAGACACATCAGCGACTATAAGACCTCGTCGGGGTGAACTACATACCATGAGGATCCTTTCGCGGTCTTATCTGACTTCCCCTCACGCTTGAGGGCGTTTCCTATAGCCTGGATATAAATGGCATAATCGCTGGCGCCCTCGGCCTCCAGGATCATCTTCGCCTGTCGGAGCTCTGAGACCGACAACCAGGTCAATTGGAACTCGCCAAACTTCGGTCTTTCCAGATTGACAGCACCCTCCATGGGTCCTGGATAACTCGAGTCAGCACGAGCATGAAGGCCCGGGGACACATAGCTTACGCTCCACTTTCTCCAGAGCCCGGAATGACTTCCACACCTTCACTTTCTGTTCCTCCGTGGTGGGACTGTACGCAGGGAACTTGAACACCTTCTTACCAACCCTCAGTTTCTGCCACCAGAAGTACTCGTCGCACGACAGATATTGCTCGAGCACTTGTCCCTCGCGGTATATAGCCAACCCGTCGTCGGGTAGGCCGAAGCGGTAAGGGCCAATCCCTTGGTTCATGGTCCTGGTTGTGGTGTATGTATGTCTCGGTCTTGCTCCACGCCTGTCTTGATGCGACACAGACCACTACTCAAAGCCAGTTTCCAGCCTGTGACAAGAGGACTCGACGATCTGGCGGGACCGTTCTCAGGTGGTCCAACGATTTACGTGGAGAAGTATCGACAGCTGAACTTCCGCAGTAGTTATACGGAGTAAAAAGTGACAATGGTATAACTGAACGGATGTTAAGGGGTAGGCGACGATCCTCAGCACAGCCCCGAAACTAAAAAGCCTCGACACGCATGTGGGGCAGGGAGATTGGATGGTCGCTCTCGTCCAGTCAACGTGTATACCGGCGGACCGTGGTGGAATTGGCTGGGCCGTGCTTGACTGCGTTCCTGTCGCTTTCGATCTGCAGTCGGCGTTTTTGATGTCGATACTTGACAGGTTCTGGGTGGATGGACAGAGGATGTACTTTGTTTAAAAGGACGAGTCCCAAGGACTTGGCACAGCGCTATGACGGCATGCGATAAGCGAAGGCTTATCTCTCGTCTCCGCATTCCCCGGAATTACGACATCCCTTTCATTCGGATTTCTGACCTCAATTCCTTTGTTTCCATTTCCAACGTCTGTCAGCACGGAAGACACGATTGCTCACCATGAAAGTCACACAGGTAGCTTATCCGTTACGACTAAACCTACATGTTCAATGGTTGACCTCGCACAGCTCTACACATACCCCATCAAATCCATACGGGGTGTCGCCCTCTCCGAGGCAGCGGTCACCGGCACCGGGTTCCACCATGACCGTCGCTTCATGCTGCTCAAGGTGAAGACCAGCGACGACGGCACCGAAACCCTCCAGAATATGCACGTCCCGCATTTCCCCGAGATGTCCCTCTTCCTGACCGACATCGTATTCCCCACGGAAGGCAAGAACGACGGCCAGATCCTCGTGACCTACAGACCTCCGGGTGTCGACGACAACGCCGACCCGCGCGTCAAGACTCTCGCGATTCCCTTGCAGCCTGACGTACGAGGACGGGAGGAGCTGGGCATCATAATGCACCAGAGTCCGACGAAGGGATACAACATGGGGAGCGAATATAATGACTGGTTCAGCGAGTGTTTCGGATACCGCGTTGTCCTGGCGTACCTAGGGCCTAATTGGAGACCGGTGCTCGGAAGCTTCCCGCCGGCGAAGAGTGCAATTCATGGTGGGCGGCGACAATCCACAACGTCGCCGGTCTCCACGCGGTCGCTGGCGATCCTGGCCACGCTGACGCTGCTTCTCAACGCCGTCGGGGTGCCCATGGTGCGCGAGAAAGCCGGACAATCCCTGCTCCCCAGCGTCGTAGCCACGGCGGTCGCCGTGCTCCTCTCGCTTGCCCTCAGTTACGGCTGGTCCGCAGCAAAAAAGAATGAAGAGAAAATCACGTTTGCCGACTCGTCACCGTACCTAGTAGTGTCGGAGACGTCGGTGGACGACGTGTCTGCGCGTCTGGCCGGCGACGAAGTAATGGATGTGACCAAGTCCCGGCCGAACATTGTCGTGGCGGGCGCCGCGAAGGCCTTCGAGGAGGACTTCTGGGCCGAGTTGACGGTGGGCAAGAGCGCGCGACTTCTGCTGACGGCGAACTGCGTGCGCTGCCAGAGTTTGAATGTGGATTATGCCACGGGCAAAATGGGCACCGGGGAGTCGGGCAGCGTGCTGAAGAAGCTGATGAAGGACCGAAGGGTCGACAAGGGGGCCAAGTATAGCCCCGTGTTTGGCAGGTACTCGTTCTTGGATCCGGAATCGGAGAATGTGTTGATTCGTGTGGGAGACGAGGTGGCTGTGACGAAGACAGCTGATGAGCGAACAGTATATGGTGAGTTACGAGTTCGAATGGCAAACCGGATCGCTAACTGTTCTTCTAGATTGGCCTGGTCTGAGCTAGGATATAATAGCAAGGAGACGATTTGGTCTGTAGGAATGTTTGGCCCTCACCCTGAGGGTATCTACTATACTATACTATGCTATACTATGCTATACTATGCTATACTATGCTATACTATGCTATACTTTGCTATACTATACTTTCTGTACTGGTCAATAAAAGTCCTGCGCAGGTGACGGTGCCAAGACCCGAGTCTTATCAATCCGGCCCTGCAATTCTCCCCTCACTTCCCCTCCTTCATCCCCGACTGCGGTCATCCCAGTTGCAGCAACGAGAAAGAAACCATGAGTGAATTCCCTCCTGCGAGCCTTCAGCCTCTTATCCAGGAGGTCTTTGACCTCCTCGTATCCCGCACGGAAACCATTTCCGTGGCGGAGACGGTATGCTTTCCGGACCATCCATAGAGCGATCTACTTCCTGCCCGGCGGAAACTAGTCGCTGACAAGTACATACGAACATACCAGGCCGCCGGCGGACTCATCTCAGCTTGTCTCCTCTCGACCCCAGGGGCATCTTCCATTTACAAGGGTGGTTTAACGGTACGTGAGAGCCGCGAAAAAAAAAACGGTCATGATTACGACGGGCTGGTTTGTCAGCTGCAAATCAAAACGAAGATGTGAATGGACCGAGGGTGCCGAATGAACTCTAAATCTCCAAAACGAACAGGTCTACACGTTGCCCTCTCGTATCGCCTTCGCAGGTTGGACGCCGGACCATTTGAAGAATTACAGCGGCCCTACTCCCGACATTGTGGCGGGATTGGCGGACCACGTTCGTCAGACCCTCGATGCGACCTATGCGATCAGCGAGAGTGGTACGGCCGGACCGACGGGTGGGACGACGAGGAATCGCACACCGTAAGTGTGGCAGTTTGATTTTTGATTTTTTTTCGAATCGGGATCTTCCTTCCAGATACTCGAGTGGATGTTGACGGGGTGGTTATTCTAGAGGCTATGTGGCGGTCGCGGTATCCACGGCACACGGAACGTATACCCGAGAGGCAGAGACGGGCAGCAATGACCGAGCGGCCAATATGGTCGCGTTCGCGGCGGAGGCGCTGAAACTGGTGCGGGATGTGATTCAGGGAAAGGCGGTTTTGTAAGCCTGATCGGGTCTCGGGAGTCAAGGATGGGGAGGGTTCCTGAATTGGGGCATTTGAGTGGCAGAAGGGATGTCTTACACCGGAGAAACACAGGATGGACCGTAACTACGAGGATTAAATCATAGGGAGCACAGCCCCAATGACGCAGGGCCACCGCCACAGCCCCGTGATTCGGGGCATCCGCGGATCTCATTTGACGTCGCGCGGGACTCAGCCTTATTAACTAAGCGACGGTTTCACTTGCCCGCCTCTCACTGGCCGCCGCCCGTTCCTCAGGAGCTGAAAGATCTTTCTTCGTGTCTTCGGTCCCTTTCTTTTTCACTTCCCTCCTCGTTCACTCTTGTCCTCTTTCCTCTCGCTGTCCTCCCTGCGAACTCGCCGAATTGATTGGGTTCTGCCGACAGCTCTCCAGAAACCCCCGTACCACGAAACCCCTCCATCCGGAAACCCGATCACCGGGACCCAAACGCTTCCTCTGGCCTCGCCCACCTGACACCCAAGACTTTCCCAAGCCTATAATTTTGCCGCCGACTCCGATCAGGCCGCCAGATTATCCCCTTCCCCTCCCCACCAGGGAACTCGTCCCGCCCATCCAAAGGGATCGACATAATGGACGCGGTAAACTTGCGCCGCAAAGATACGACCAAGGGTCCTCCGTTGAGGATCCTGTCGCTAGGTAAGTAGATGGATTCCAAACTTATCCGCCAAATCCCTCGAGTCCCCGGGCTAACGAATCAGATGGCGGCGGAGTCCGAGGCTACTCCATGCTCATCATCCTGCAGGAGTTGATGTATCGGATCTACGTCGAATGCGAAGGCAAGGCTCCGCGGCGCGATCAGATCCCCAAACCCTGCGACCATTTCGACCTCATCGCTGGCACCGGCACCGGCGGATTAATTGCCCTGATGCTGGGGCGTCTTCGCCTCGACCTCGAAACCTGCAAGGAAGTCTACGTGCGCATGACCCGTCGAGTCTTCGAGACCGATAAGACCATCGCCGGGATTCCGTATCGGTCGACGCTATTCAAGGCATCCAAGTTGGAAGAGGCCATCCGCGAGTGCGTCCGAGAACACACCGTCTACGAAGCCGAGGGCAACGACGCATCTCCCGGCGGTGCTCGCAACTCCATGGCGAGTGCGCCGTTCAGTCCGAACTCCCTTCCGCAGCGCTCCGGCAGTCGCGCTAGCTTCAGCACCAGCACGTCACATTCCTCGAACCCGACGAGTCAGCGAGGCTCCGCATACATCAACGGTCTCCGATGGGGAAATCCTGACGCGCTTCTATACGACAATCGGGAATATCGGACCAAGACGTAAGTTAACTGCTCTCATGTTTAATTTTCGGGGACTCAGCTAATGGCGTAGCGCCGTCACCGCATTGTATAAAGGTACCACCCGTCACGGGTCTGCCGTCCTCCTTCGATCCTACGACTCCCGCAAGGAACCTCCGCCCGAGTTCAACTGCACGGTATGGCAAGCCGGCCGAGCGACTTCGGCGACCGGCCTCGCCTTCAAACCCATTCAGATCGGCCAACATGTGTTTATCGACGAAGGGGCCGGCACATATAATCCGGCGCCCCATATTCTCGACGAGGCGGCCGTCAACGAGTGGCCCGGCCGGGAGGTGGGTGCCTTTATCAGCATCGGCACGGGTCGACGCCCGCCCGGCACCAACAACCGACAACACGAGTGGTGGGAAGATTTCTTCGGCGATGCGCTGGGCACGTTCGCTGAAGCGCGACGACGCCTGATCGCCAAGATCGAAGGCTGCGAGGATATCCACAAGGACATGCTGCGCGATCATCTGGCCAAACGCAACGTGAGCAAAGACAACTACTACCGGCTGAACGTGGAAGTCGGCGTGGGTGAATTCGGCATGAACGAATGGAACCGGCTGGTCGACATCAGCACCAACACCCGTCGCTACCTGACCCGCCCGGAGGTCAAGAAGCAGATTCTGGATGCCGGGGTGAAGTTCGCCAAGATCGAGCGCATGAACCAGCGGCTGGCGGCCCACCAGGCGGCCGGAAACGCGGACATGCCCAACTTCCAGGATGACGGCTCCATGTACATCCAGAGCCCCCGACTGTCGGTGCCGCCGCCGCACCATTTCGCGGTGGAGTTGCCCGCCGAACTCCCGGGCGACTTCGTCCTGCACCCGCCTTCCAATCCGCCGCCCAACGACGACCGACTCCCCGTGCACCCCACACCTCAAGACACGGTCATGCCATCGCCGGCACGAGGGTCGGGCAGTGATATCGGCAGCTTCTGTCCCAGCGACGTCAGCCGACCGGCGTCGCAGCAGCACGGGTCCCCGCGACGAAGTATGGACCAAGTGTTCGAGTATGGCGCACCGCCCGTGCCTCCCAAGACCCCAATCCCCTATCCGCCAGACCACCCGAGCGAGCTGGGCGAGGTTCCGATGCCGATGCCGCTGTCGGTCGCCAGTCCCGGGCGGAATGGCAAAGTGCGGCCGCCATATCCGGTGGACGAAGCGCCCCCAGTGGTGAACAAGCATCGAAAACCCAGCTATCACGTGCGCTGAGGGGAGAGCAGGCGACTCTTTTCCATGATGGATGCATTGAATGTTGATGATTTTCCTTTCTTTCTTTTACGAGTGAGGCCTTAGGATACCTACGGATACCCGATGAGTTTATAGTAATACCACACGTGACGAATGACGAGTCAGCACTGCATTTCTTGGCGCGGTCTAGACCAGAGTTTACTCTCGTGGACGCAGGACGCCTTATAGGCCGTGTCCATTGTAGATGAAGTCGACCGTGTACTCCGTACACTGTAGTCATAAGTCCTCATCAGCACGATGACTCGTACTCCGGATGCGACATGCGTCCTCCCTCGTGGCCCCTCAAGTCCTGAGAATTAATTAATCTCCGTCCCGTGAGTGGCTCCCGCCCCGCCCAACCTCGTGCTTTTCCCTGATCGGCCCTTTGTTTGTCGTTCCTTCGCTCCTTTTCCTTTCTCCTTCTTTCTTCTCCCCCTTGCAGGTTCTGCTGTTCTTGCATTCTCCCCTGATTTGACACTTTCCGCTCCACGAGGCGCCTGTCACCGTCCCCCTATCTCGACTCCCTTTGTTGAATTGCCGCCGTGACGCCGCTCTGCGTCCGCCGATCTAATGGATTAGCGCCGTCTTACCTATTTATATCTCAACTTTTTTTTTCTCTCTCTGATTGTTAAGGGTTCGTTGTCCTCTTGACCCTCGGATTCCAATTTATGTGCGCAATATTCGAAAGAAGATTATTTACTCGGACTATATAGCGATAGTTCCACGCGAATCCCGTCTCGCCGACCGTCGATCGACCAGACACTGCTGGCAGTGTTGTATACCTCCTGGTTCCCCCTCCGCTCCCCACCTCTCCGGGTTCCATGGATTTCTCCGTCCTCGAAGCACGCTCCGATTCGAGCGGTCGACCCTCGTCCTACAAGGCCATCGGCGTTTCGCTCGCCGTCGCATCAGGTGTCTTCATCGGTGTCTCGTTCGTGTTGAAGAAAATCGGCCTGCTGAAGGCCAACCTCAAGTACAATGAAGAAGCCGGCGAGGGATACGGCTACCTGCGCAACTTCTGGTGGTGGACGGGGATGACTCTGATGATCGTGGGCGAAATCTGCAATTTCGTGGCGTATGCGTTTGTGGACGCCATCCTCGTGACGCCGTTGGGGGCGCTTTCCGTCGTCATCACGACCATCCTGTCCGCCATCTTCCTGAAGGAGCGCCTTAGCTTCGTCGGCAAAGTCGGTTGTTTCACTTGCATCTTGGGCTCCGTGGTCATCGCCATGAATGCGCCCGAGCAGTCGTCCGTGAATAACATCCAGGATATGAAGGCCTATGTCATCACCCCCGGGTTCCTGACATATGCCGGGGTGATCGTCGTGGGCGCTGTCGTCACCGCCGTGTGGGCGGGGCCGCGATACGGCAAGAAGAGCATGTTCGTCTATATCAGCATCTGCAGTACGATCGGCGGGCTGAGCGTGGTGGCCACGCAGGGACTGGGATCGGCCATTCTGGCGCAGATCAACGGCCAGTCGCAGTTTAAGGAGTGGTTTTTGTATGTGTTGTTGGTGTTTGTCGTGACGACGCTGCTGACGGAAATCATCTATCTTAATGTTGTATCCCCTTGGATTCCAGTTTGATTGGTGATGATGGCTAACTACTGGCAGAAAGCGTTGAACATCTTTAATGCCGCCCTCGTCACCCCGACTTACTACGTCTTCTTCACCAGTGCCACCATCATCACCTCGGCTGTTCTCTTCCAAGGTTTCAAAGGAACGGGCATGCAGATCGCCACCGTCGTCATGGGATTTCTCCAGATCTGCGCGGGAGTGGTGCTGCTGCAGCTGTCCAAGTCGGCCAAGGATGTTCCCGACGCGGCAGTCTTCAAGGGCGACCTGGATCAGGTGCGCGAGGTGGCCACGCAGGAAGAACCCGAATACGAGCCCAAGGCCGATTCGATTCGCGGGGCGGCCGCTATCATTCGACGATTGTCGACTCCGCGTCGCACGATGGAGGCCGAGGAGGCGCGCCGGTATTACCGGGAGCGACAAGAAGATCAACAGCACCAACCGGGCGATAACGAGATCATCGAATGGGATGGGTTGCGCCGGCGCAAGACCGTTCTCGGGGAGGGCCCGACGATGTCACGAAGTCGCACGGCATCGATGAAGAAGAATCAATTGCCGCCATTGCCTCCGATGCCCCCGCTAGGCATGTCCAAATTCCCCGAGTATGAGGAGGAAACGCGCCCCACGACGCAACAGAGTGGCCATTCGTTCCTCGAGGAGATCCGCCCGCGGCGAACCAGCCGGGCGTCCACCTGGCAGCCCATCCCGGAGGAGCACGAACCGGGGATGGACCCGGTGTCGCTGACCTCCATGTCCGGGCAGCCGCGCCATCACGTCGACACAAGCTATCACGGCCACCATCGCACCGAGACGCCCCGATCGGTGGTGTCGTTTGCCAGCGAGGACACCAGGGAGCACAGTCCGGCGCGACGGCAGTTTTCGTTCAACATGTTCCATCGCAACAAAGCGGCGGCTGAAGCCCCGTCTCCCAAACCAACACGCAGCATCCTACGACACAGTCACCACCACCACAGCGATTCTCAGACGACGGAAGAGGAGCGGCTCGGGCTGGTCAAGGGGGATTCCCGCCAGGAAGAGGATGGCGACGAGCCGCTAGGCCGGGGTTCGATTGACAGCGACCCGGGGTATGAGTCTGGCCATACCACCTACCAAGGACCGAGTCCAGGCCCTCCGGGGTACTATCAAGCGGTCGGATCTTCTGATCCCCACCATCATCCTCTCCATTACCAGCCTCCTCCTCCTCCCCCGTCGGCAGCCGCATCCCGGACCCGACGGAATCCTCTGCCCCCGTTGCCTGACGAGGAGCCATTGGAGGATCCGTATGTGAATTTCGAGCCTTACGGCGACCACAACCGACACGGCTCAAGCGGCAGTGTCGGGTCATTATCGTCGGGGCCAAGTCGAGGACGAGGCCATGGATGGCGACGTCATTCAAAGACGGGAGAGGACGTATCCTTATAAATATGATTTTTTTTTTTGATTGTTTGCTTGTATTATTATGATCTTTAATGACAGATTATGTAGTATGAATGATATGATAATGATAATGTTTGACGAGCATGTGGGTATCATAGAATCATCAACTCCAGAGAAATGCAGACAGAAACAAACCTGGTCATAGTATAATATACGGAATGATCTCACCTCCCAAACCCCAACACACTCCTCTGTCCCTTCTCCGCCATCTGCATGGCAAACCGTGCTTCTGACAACCTCTTCCCGGCCTTAATACTCTCCAACACCCTGTACCCATTAGCACTCTCCCTACTAAAAAGGACGGGGGAGGACGGGGAAAGAACAAGACTCACCACTCCACAAAAACCACCTTCCACCCACGACACCCACCCCTCGCAATCTCCCTCTGCAACTTCCCGCCCGCAAGACCGCCCCCTGCCCCTGTCCCTGCTCCTTTAGACGATGGTCTGGTATTCGGCCGCCCGACAATGACGTGGGTGACGCGACGGGATAGCGAGAGGAAGACGGTGGCGCCGTGCAGCGTCAGCAGGTGTTTTAGTTTGTGGTCGGAGACGCAGGGGTGCGAGGCTGCGTTGATGTAGATTGTCAGGGTGGTGAAGATCTGGGGGTGTTGGGGTTGGGGTTGGGGTTGGAGGGTGGATGGGATGGTGGAGGGAGTTGCTGCTGCTGCTGCTGCTGCTGCTGTTGTTGTGTGGTTCTGGAGATGGATGGCGCTGGTGTTGTCGTTGGTGTCGTTGGTGTTATTGTAGTCATTGGTGGAGGTGATAATGGAAGAAGACTCTTCCAACCCATCCTTCATCTCCTCTTTCGACGACAACCCCTTCGACACAGAAGCCGAAGAGGAAGAAGAAGAAGAAGAAGAAGCTTTCCCCACGCCAAACATCCCCCGAATATCCCTCTGACCTGATCTCGCACTCCCACTCCCACTCGCACCCTCCACCCACATCCCTCTTTCCAACTTTCCCCCCGCCCCGCGCGCAACCGTGCAGTCACCGCGTCCCTCGCCGAACTGTCGTGCCAGCTTCTCCTGTCGCAGCGTCCGGTATGCCGTGCCTTGCGCGGAATCGGCGACTTGGTGGCCTGTCGAGGAGGTCGTCCAGGGGTCGAAGCGGAGGTGGTTTGTCGGGGTGATTGATTGGTGGGATGAGGGTGGCATTTTGGGGGGTTTGGGTTTGTTGTGCTGGTATTGTTGTTTGCTAGGGTTTGCGATGAGGGGGTTGAGTTATCGGTTGTGGGAGAGTGTTGGTGTTGGTGTTGAAGTTGAAGCAAAATCCGGATTGAAAGAAGCACGTGGATCCACGGTTCGCCGTGTTGATGTTTTCCCTCTTTCGGCTTAGTGCGGGACCCCTCTAGTATACCGAAGATCTGCAACTCCAAGACCTCAACAAAGAAAGTAAGTGTATTGATCATCTATTCATATGCAACAAAGCGAAACGCGAAAAGGCCCTGAAGGATCACCCCCACACATCCTCCTGCCACTTGTTCCGCCTCTTGATCCCCCGCCGCCACTCATTCACCTGCTCCTCCTCCCACCCCTTGGCATTCTTCATGACCCCGCCGACCACTGCGTCCACCTCCCTCGCCATGCCCGCTCGTCCACAGATGTAGAAATTCGCCCCCTCGTCCATCAGCCGGACGACCTCGCCGCCGACCTCTTGGACCCGGTCCTGCACGTATCGCTTCGGCGTCGCGCCGCCGAGTCGCGAGAACGCCGTCACGATGCGCAGCTTCCCCTCCAGCGCGGTCTGCAGGCTGTCCAGCTCGTCGCAGTACAGGAAGTCCTCGTCCGGATGTCGACAGCCGAAGAAGAGGATCATTTCGCCGATCTCCCGCCCGATCTGCTGCAGCTGGCGTCGCTCGGCGATGAACGCGCGGAACGGCGCGATGCCCGTGCCGGCGGCCACCATGATGAGCGGGCAGCTGCCGAGCCGGGGCAGCTTGAACCGGCTCTTGCGGAGGTGCGCGAAGACCTTGCCGCCAGTGAGGGCGTCGTTGGGGCCGGTGAGGTGGTAGGTTAGGCCCTGGGGGTGTGACGAGGAGGAATGCAGGGTCTCGGAGATGGCGAGGAGGTAGTTGGAGGTGACGCCGTGGATGAGTTGATCGGGGGCCTCGGGAACCGGGGTCGACGAGACAAGCACGGTGATGGAGGCCTTGCGCGGGGAGATGACGCTGCTGGAGGAGATGGAGTAGTAGCGTGGCTGGGTCGGGGGGAGGGTTTCGACGAGGTATGAGAGCGGCAGCTCGCTCCAGGGGGCGTCCGGGCTGGCAAGTTGCAGCAGTCGGCCGAGGTTGACGTGCGTGCGGTTGAGGAAGGCGGCGTAGCGCGCCTTGTCCTGGCCCAGTTCCAGCAGGTAGCTCTTTGCGGCCGGCGTGGGAGCGAACTGTGCCAGGCCGAGCACGTTGTCGCGGTTCACGGGCGCGCAGATCTCGAGGTAGTATCGGAACAGCGCGGCGGCACTGGTGGGCGACGGAATCTTGACCTTCGTGGCCGGGTCAACGGACTGGATGCTGATGGGAGCGTCGCGACGTGCGGATCGTCCGAGCACCTGCAGGAGACGCGCGACCTCGTCGTCGGGATTGCCCGGCCAGATGGCCAGGTGGTCGCCGGTCTTATAGCTCAGCTCGGGATGGCTGGTCAGATCCAGATCGATGTGCAGGCAGTGCCGCTGTTGCTGCTGCTGCTTGTCCGAAACCTCAAACAGCTGCCGGGAAGTGGCAATGTCCAGTGGCCGCACAGGCGAGCACTGCGCCGTGATTCGCGACGAGTCGCGGTTATCAGGCTCGCCGTGGTGCAGGTCGATCGGCTCCAAGGACTCGTCCTCCTGGACCGCCAACGTAGGCACGTACTGCACCTCTTTCTCCTCGAACCCCAGCTGGTGGCTGAACTCCGAAAACAAGGACTCCTTCCAGCCGATAAAGTCCTCCTGCGTCGCGCCCTCGGCATCATTCGCCCGTCCCACGGGCATCAAGGACTTCGCGCCCAGCCGATCCAGCGACTCCACCACAACATCCACCACGCGATTGTAGTACTTGTAGTTACTGTTCCCCAGGCCAAAGGCAAAGTACCTCAGATTCTGCAGCGTCACCTGCTCCTTAGTCGCCTTGTTGACCCAGTCCCAGAACTCCGCCGTATTATCACTGGGATCGCCCTCGCCGTACGTCGACAGCACAAAGACCACGACCTTCGAGTCCGGGATCTGCGCCACACTCTCGGGGTCAAAATCCGACAGATCGGCTGACAAGGCGCCCACGCCGAACCGCAGGGTGATCTCGCGAGCCAGCCGGTTGGCGAACCCCTCGGCGGTGCCGGACTGCGAGCCCCAGAAGACCACGAGGTCCTTCTCCGTCTCGGCCAGCTTCTGCGCGATGTTCCGCGTCTCCTTGCTGCCGGACCCGGCGCCCGCGCCGTGCTTCAGCTGCGGCCGCTCAAAGGCCAGGTGCGCGTACGGGTCGGGCTGGTCCCAGAGGAGGCCGCGCGAGAGGTACGTCGCGCCGGCCATGGAGAGGACGGTGAGAGCGACATAGTCGGCGACCCCGGTGGGGGTCATGACTTTGGAGAGATCCTGGAGGAGCTCGGGCGGGATGCGCCATTGGGAGAGGGGGAGGATGCTCATGCTCATTTTCACTCATGCAGGAAGATAGGTATAAGATGGCAATAAGAGTAAGTCGAGTGAATTGGCAGACGAAAGACAAGCAAGCAGGTAGCTATAAGTCATTCGATACGTGCTCCCCATGTCGGACTGAATTCCCCCATGGGAAACAGGCCTGCATGAACCGGAGCAGAAGCTCTCCCCGACTTGCCAAGAGGCGTCATCGGTGTTTGACCGACATCTGAGATGATCGGCATCTGCGGTGGGACGGAGTGAGAGTTGCACAGGAAGAGAAAAATTGAAACGCGGGGAAGAAAGACGAAATGCGGAGGCGGGAAATGTTTCCTCTTGTGGCCGCAAGCCCTAATTTTGTCTCTCTCTCTCTCTCTCTCTCTCTCTCTTTGACTCCCCCTTCTCCCTGTTTGTGGCGGATCTGGCCTGGATTCGTTCCGATCTATCGACGATCGCTCATTTGCCGTCGGTTATGAGAAAGTACACGCATATCATAGCGTTGGGCTTATTGGCGGAGTTGATGCCATCAATATCAACTCCCGCTGTAGCCGATCTACTTGGTCTTGGCTATTGGAGTAGGCTACGATCCATAGAAGTGCGTGTTATGTGTCTTCATAGCAATACTTATCGTTTATCTACAGAGCGTACAACGCGGCTGACTTGGTCTGGATCATCGGATGGTGACGATCGAGAACTCCTAGATTCATGGAGATCTTCGACTTTATTTTCATCTAAGACGGATTGTAGAAGCTGTACCAATTACTGCCATGAGAAAGAAACAGAATGAAATTCATAGCCCATAAATTCTAACCCACCCTAATCTATCCACCCAGTCCTCACCAAGAACGGATGATATGAAGTCAAAGTATATAAGTAAATAAAGAATCGAAAGAAAAGATAGAAGATCATAGATCGGTCCTTCGCCACACCTTCACCGGCATATCTCCCAGAATCAGATTCATCGTCTCCAGCCGCTTCAGCTCCCATCCGGGATGCGGCAGCGCAAACTCATACCGATGCACCACCGTCGCCAGGATCTTCGTCTGCTCTAGATACGAGATATTCCGCCCGATGCAGGACCGCGCCCCGGCCGAGAACGCCACGAAGTACGGCTGCAGCGCCTTGCCTTCCTCGCCGAGCCATCGCTCGGGGATGTACTGGTCGGACTTGGGGAACGCGCGCTCGTCGTGGTGCGCCACGTACGCCGACATGCTGACCGACGTGTTGCCGGGCACCCACTGGCCCAGGATCTCCATGCCCTCCGGGGGCGTCTCGCGCGGGAGACCGTGCGAGGTGGGCGGGAAGATGCGCAGGGATTCGTCCAGGCAGGCGCGCAGGTACGGCAGATGCTTGATCTTATCGTAGGGGGCGACGATCTCGTCGGGGTCCAGCACGGCGTCGAGCTCCTCGCGCAGCGTGCGCAGACAGGCCGGGTTGCGCAGCAGCTGGTACATGACGTTGGCGATGGCGATGGCGGTGGTGACGCTGCCGGCGTTCATCATGATGTTCATCTCGGCGACGACCTCGCCCCATTCGAGATTGTTGGCGCGCCCGTTCTTGTCCTCCATGAGGGCTTGGAAGAAGTCCTCCAGCTTCTCGCCCGCCTCGTACCGCCGCAGCCGCTCCATCGATCGCCGCCACACGATGTTCTCCCAGTCCTCGGACGACTTCTGCATGCGGTTGAAGTACGGGATCACGTTGACCAGCTTGTTCAGCACCGGGTACCACTCGTAGTTCCAGAGGATGAGCGATTGCTTGCGCGCCGTGGGGTACAGCGCCTTGCGGAGATTGACCTCGTACGTCGACCCGTCCTTGCGCTCGGCGATGCAGACGTCGGTCCCCGAGTCCAAGAATCCCAGCTTCTCGGACAGCCCGATGTCGGCGATGGCGTCGAGGGAGAAGAAGTTCGTCCAGGCGCGAAAGTCCACCGTGAGATCGCAGGCATCCAGAGCCTGCGTGCCGGCCGCCACCGCGGCCGACTTTGGCGGCGCCGTGCAGACTTTGTCGAAGTGGGCCACCACCTTCTCAATCTTGTCGCTGACCTTGTACTCCCACGTCTCCAGGTTCTTGAGCGCGTAGGCCGACGAGAGCACCTTGCGCTTGCGCGAGTGGTCGGGGCGATCGACCACGTCGGCGAGATGGTAGTGCGAGCCGGCCGTTATTACATACGAGGGGTCTTTGATGCAGCGCGTATTGTGACCATAGATGTCCTTGATGGCACGTACATCGCCGTAGGATAGCATGTTGGGCCCCGTGCGAATGACGGGCTTTTTCCGGTGCATCTCGTGCAGTTCTTTGGATCGGAATCCGCGCGAAGCGAGGATCATGAAGGGGATAGCAGACATGCCCGAGAAGAAGTTCATGTTAGGATATCGGCGGAGGCCTGTCATCATTATTAGCATGGATCCAAATGGGCCATCACGAGAAACCTACCCTTGGGATCTCGAATATATCCGACAAACGGACCGACCGCGAAGTACATGAAGCCCACCAGCCCCAAGACGGTGGCATAGGGGGCGATCGAGACGAGAGACCACATGTTCAGATGTTGTGCAATGGACAGACAGAGGGTAAAGAGAGGTCTGAAGTTGAGATCACTTTCGTCTGTTGATGCTTCTTCCCTTCACCACGGCCGCGGTACTTATATTCTTCTACCCTCCAGCCCATCCCTCGCGATGACCTTCTCCCCCACAGAGGGGAACCGCAAGACGCATCTCCCACATCACTATCTTGGCCAGAACAAGTGTCCATGGCGGATGGGAGGGGACGGACAAAATTCCCCTTCGCGGAGAGAATGCTAGTGGCAAGGGCGAACCGTGGATCTGCAGCCGTGGGGAAAACTTCCACTTTCAGTGCGCATCCAGACGAGAGAAATTCCCCTGCGATGCAACTCAGCCAGTCCCCACCAGTCTCTTCCTCAATCCGTCATCTGAGATCATGGCCACAACGTCATCTGGTTTCAACCTGACAGGATCTCCTCCCCCGGACGGGACGGCATTTGCCCGCGATAACCCAAGACCAACCCTAACCCGACCAGTCCGGCTGTCTTCAGGGATTGGCGGCGTCTGGGGAAACTGGGGAAAAGCTCCACTCTTGTCGGCTCGTTGATTTAGCTTTTGATTGCGTCCGTTCTGGGGAAAGACAGAGAGGCAAAAAATGACGCCTAGGGTTACAATAGCCGGTGTCTCATGTCCAAGCCATGGCGTGAGGGGAAGAGAACTAGGGGGCGGTCGCTATATCTAGATGTGATTCTTCTGGGGGACTGAACATGGGAAGGACAAGGTCAGCCTGTAGGCCATTTTTATAGCCTGTTTTGCTTTTTCCAGACAGTCATCAGTCTCCATTCTTTGTTCCTAGTGCTCCTAGTGTCTGTGTAATTGGAAGAATCAATTCGATCAGATCCACTTGCTTGATTGATTCAATACCTTCCACAATGGACGCCGACTCCCTCAAAGCCTCCGACGACAACAAAGCGGAAATTATCCACGAGGAAGACCTCGCCGCTGCAGAACTACTCGATGACTCCATCGAGAGCACGCAACCGGGAAAGGCCATTTGGCTGATCGCATGCACCGTCTCTATGGGCGGCTTCCTGTTTGGTGGGTGGCCCCTGTTTGAATTTGCCATGCATACACTCCGGTCCTCGAGCTAAGCTATATGGCTCGATATCTGCAGGCTATGACACCGGCGTCATCTCTGCCGTCCTAGTCAACCTAGGCACTGACCTTGGTAAACCCCTGAGTTCGAACGAGCAGGAATTAGTGACGGCCATCACGTCTGGCGGCGCCCTCATCGGCGCCGTGCTGGCCGGTCTGACCTCTGACAAATACGGCCGCAAGCTGGCCGTGTACGTGGGCTGCGCGCTGTTCTTCATCGGCACCATCATCCAGGCCGCTGCGTATACGCTGGCCCAAATGACCGTGGGCCGGCTGGTCGTCGGCTTCGGCGTGGGCGAGGCCGCCATGATCATCCCCTTATACATCGGGGAGATGGCGCCGGCACGATACCGAGGACGGTTGATCGTCTTCGATAATCTGTGCGTCACCTTCGGGCAGCTCATCTCGTATGCGCTGGGAGCGGCCTTCACCGAGGTGCCGAATGGCTGGCGGTATATGGTCGGCATCGGTGCGGTGCCGGCTGTTATGCTGGCCGCCACGATGCCCTTGTGTCCCGAGACACCCCGGCAGTTGATTTCACATGGCCGCATCCCGGAGGCGAAGAAAGTGTTGGCGCAGATCTTCCCACGTGCCACAGAACAGCAGGTGGCATCGAAGGCGCATCTGATTCAGCATTCTATCGAGGAGATCGCGATCTCGGTGTCTGATAGAAGCCTGTTGTGGCAGGCTAAGCAACTGTTCACGGTGGGGGTCAACCTGCGGGCCCTGGTCACTGCCTGTTCCATCATGGCTGGTATGTAGACCCCGTTGCCTTAGTCTCATGAACCGAACTGATCGAAACCGCAGTATCTCAGCTTGGCGGCTTCAACACCCTCATGTATTACTCGGCAACGCTTTTCTCTATGGTAGGATTCGACAAACCAACCGCCGTCTCGATCGTGGTTGGTGCAACCAACTTTCTGTTCGGATTTCCCAACTTCATCTTCATCGACCGATTTGGCCGACGACGTATGCTGTTCGTCACTGTCTTGGGAATGGTAGGTCACTGACTAGCATCCTCTGAGCTCAACAGAGATACTGACCATGTGAAAGTCCCTCTCCCTCGTCGTAGCCGCTATAGCCTTCCACTGGATCCCCGTCAGCCACGACCTGACGGTGGTAGAGACGCGCGAGATGGGCTGGGCCAACATCTTGCTCCTAGTGGCACTGATTGTGTACATCGCCTTCTACGCGGCGGGCGTGGCCCCCATCGCCTGGGTGGGTACTGAGTTCCTACCGCTGGAGGTGCGCGCTCTCGGCACGATGATGAACACGGTGACGTGCTGGGGCTGCAACATTATCATCTCGTCGACTTTCCTGTCCATGATGAAGGCGATGACGCCTAGCGGGGCGTTCGGGTTCTATGCTGGCATCTGCTTCGTGGGGTGGATCTTCGTCATCTTCTGCTATGCTGAGGTGCACAACATGCCTTTGGAGAGTGTCAGAGAGGTGTACATGCATGGCTTCGGGGTCAAGCACGCGAAGAAGTTGCAGCGGGAGATGAAGGAGGCGAGGAGAAGAGAGGCTGAGGGCGTGGACGGGCCAACGGATTAGCTTGGTGACTCTGTACGATAACATGATGATGATTCTCTCCGACAGTGATCTGGGAAGATCCGCAATAAGGCTTTGGATAAGTATAAAATGAATCATTTCACATACCTGATCGGGAATTCTCGCTAGAAATGCATATAGACACCGGGTTCTTCCAGTAACGTTTACCTCGTGCGAGCGTATAAAAAGCCTCGTGCACACACATAATGAGTCTCCACGCCACCACCCTTGTCATCGCTTGAGCTTGATCGTTAGCAGATTGGCGAACAACAATTCACCACATCCCCCAAACTACTCACAGAGAATTTAGCGGGAAATTCACGTTTCGCCTCGGTTACAGCAGCTACGTTCTCACCCTACTTTGCTATCTCGAGCTCCTCGCTTCTTGTCTTTCGACTTCGTTCCAAATCTCCCCTGTGGCTCATCCATTCGTTCACAAATCTACCACATCCATTCCAGAGTAAGCGTGACGCCTCTTGTTATCAGAACACGCCAGACCACAGCTTCTTCTAATCACCGTCTTTCAGACCACTCAATCACAATCCCAACCGAGATGTCGTTCGAAACTCCTCCGTACGCCCAGGAGGTTCGCATCGCCACTCTCGCAGTTCACCGCGCCAGCATCATCGCCAAGGTCGTGCAGGGCCGCGTTGACAAAGGCTCGCTCGACAAAGATGATGCCTCCCCCGTGACGGTCGCGGACTTCGCCGCGCAGGCCATCCTGATCAGCACCTTGCATCACCACTTCCCCGACGACCACTTCATCGGCGAGGAGACTGCGGACGCGCTGCGCAAGGATCCCGAGCTGCTCGAGCAGGTGTGGCGGCTGGTGTCTTTGACCAAGGACGCCGAGGTTAGCAATGTGAATGGCGGCCTCTATGAGGTGGCTCAGCATGTTAAGGACGCCGCTCTGGACACTCCCGACGACATGCTGCGGATTATTGATCTCGGCGGAAACGGCGAGGGCATGGAAAAGGGCCGCACTTGGATCCTGGACCCGATTGACGGCACTGCGACGTTCATCCGGGGCCAGCAGTTCGCGGTGTCGGTGGCGCTCGTGGTCGATGGAGAGCAGCAAGTGGGCGCGGTGGGATACCCGAATTTCAAGGACGGGGGAGCCGTTGTGCATGAGGACTCGATCGACGAGGACGACTATGGACTAGTGGTGTACGCTGTCAAGGGCCAGGGCGCATGGAAGAGGCTGATGCTGCGCCGAGGCTTGCAGCACCGCGAGAAGCTGACGCAGCCGACGACCGACAAGCTGGTCTTCGTGGAGAGTCTGGCCAGCCCGTACATCGACCAAGAAAAGCAGACAGTCGTGCGCAACCGGCTGCAGGCCCCGGAGCCTAATGCGGATCTCTGGTCCATGCAGGTCAAGTACGGCGCTCTTATTGTCGGCGTATGCAATGCGATGGTGCGCATTCCCAAGCACAAGGATCATCGGCCCTGGGCGTGGGATCATGCAGGCGGGATGCTCGTGTATGAGGAATCGGGAGGCAAGCTCACCGACCTGCATGGGCGTCCATTCCGTTACTGCGGAAGAAAGTTGATGGACAACGTCGGCTTGGTGGCTGCCCTTCCTGAGGTTCATGCCCAGGTATTGGAGGTGGCTCGACAGGTTGCGGAAGAGTGAGAGAAGAAACCGCACGTGGAGATGAGAAGATCGTGAGGAAAGGGAGATTGTCTACCAGGATCATATGATCACATTGTCTACAATTGTTTAGGAAAGTAGATCTTAGTTTTTTTTTGTTTTTTTGTTTTTTTATCAGGAATGCGATGTCATAAATCACGAAATGAAGTTTTTTTTTAGGAAAAAAATAGATAAATGCCCATACACAAGAGATAAAACAGTAGAAACGAAGGAGAAAGCACAAAACCCTCGATGCATGAATGGAGAGAATAAGCCACAACGATATAAAAATAAGAATAAACTCTCGTGATAGGAAATTCGTCACATCATGGTCGTTAAATATAGCCTCTCGCAAAACGCACATACCACAAGATGACCAAAGACAAGCACCATAACGCTGACCATCCCTCAATCCATGGACAAAGCGAAAAGCAGGGCAGCTCATATTGCCACTGCTTGCAGCAAGAAACAAACCCCAGAAAAAAAATCACATCCTTTCCCAAGTCTGCCAGCTCATTCCCATGAGGTTGGCCTAAGGGAAGTAGAACCCACGCAATATTATAATGATCGTAGACCCAATTCACCAAATGACCAGGCAGACATCCACACCATGCATAAACGATGCCGATGTTCAGTCCCTGTCTAACCCTGAATCATTAAATCAAAACACGCCGGAAAGGAAAAAAGATAACGAAAGGAAATCATAAAACAGAGGGAAAAAACACCCCAATCAGGGATACCCTGCGACTCACAGGCCATCTATCCCAAGATGGTTATGTTGCAGGTCCTCGACTGTGTAGAGGCGTAGTCTATTGCAAAAACGTTAAAAACACAAGAAAAATCTGACATGCGCTCCAGAAAAGAAGCCGATTCAATGGCATGATGCCGCTCCAGGTAGACTGTTGAATGGGCCACTTTGTCTTTATTGGATCTTTTTTCCCGCCCGGTTTTGGCTTCATGAGCCCATTCAAATGTCCGTAAAACTTTTGGCGTCTATTTCGTTAGAATTTTCTTTTTATTTTCCGCGAACAAGTGAATTATTGCCGACGGGACATGACACCGCCAGCTTTCATAGGCTGCAATGGAAGGTGCACTCCAACGGGACCGCCGACATCCGTCAAAGTCTTACGACGTTTGGAGCCGTAGTCTGCGTCGCGGCTGTCGGGCCGAACAATTCGGTCCACATCGTCATCCTCTCGGAGGCGCTTGCCTGACCCCAGAGACCCGTTCATTCCCGTCGAGTATCCAGACGCGGAATTTGACGCCACCGAGTAGTTGTCGGAGGTTGTCCCGTTGGCTGGCGTGCCACGGGTATCGCTGACAATGTTGTAAAGACTACCGGCGGCCGCCGGTCGAGGAGGCGTGTTGTAACCAGAAGCCCACTGTGGGGGAGGGCCGCCGCTCGTCCGAGGAGTCATGCGTCCGGATCCATTCTGTTGGGAGGGCGATCCGGTGACATCGGGGGTCAGCTGCGAGTGATCTCCCGTCAGGCTGCCGACAGATGGGTTGGTGGTGTACGTGTATGAGCCACGGCTAGTGTTGTAGCCGCCATTGTCGTGCTGCACATACGCGGACTCGTGTTCAGGGACATGCTCAGGCACCCCATTGCCAACATGGCCATTACTCTGGGAATAGCGCTCCGATTTCACATCGCCCGTCTCCGCCTCTTGAGGCCCGCCAGGCGTCCGTCCGGAAGGAGGGCCCATTTCATTCTTGATATAGCTGTTGGGCTGCATGCTCTGACCGTACGAGGCCATAGTTGGCTGGCTCAAGGGCTGTTGCGGGGCGTAATGGGCATGGGATGCAGGGGCAGTCGAGTAGTACGGTTTCGAGCTATCGTACCCGGACTGAGGCTGATACGACTGCATCCCTTGCAGGCCACTTCCTGGGGGCGTGGTCGCCGGCGTGGTCGGCATCGACCGTGCATTGCTCAGAGTGGTATCTATTGACAGGGGTTGTGAGTGCGGCACACCGGAATTCATACCCTGGTTTCCCCACTCGTAACCGTGACCTTGACTCGTGAGGCCCATGAGGCTTGACGCGCTGGCTGGGGGCGTGGGAAACGCGGGCGCCCGCTCCAATCCTGGTCGACCCTGAGAGCCAATGGTCGAAGGTTGGGGCATGTGCGAGGGAACAGGAGTTTGCAAGGAATGATGATGGTGCAGCGGAGGCGGTTGTGGGCCTTGCGAGGCTCGAGCTGCTTGTGGGCCTTCTAGTCGTCGCTGTTGGGATTCCTGGACCACCATATTCGTGCGGGTCTGGTTGGTGGGATGGTACAGAAGACCACCAATGTTGTGCACGAATAGGGGATACAAAAGATCCGTGATCTTTTCCTTATTCGCGAATTCCAACGCACGCTCGAAGGGAATCCTACAGGTTGTTAGTTCGACTATCTGAGTGCAGGTTGACAAATGCAGAATCGTACCACACGCCCTTCAGATGCATAGGGCCGATCTTCACCACATGTCGAATCTTCTCGCTCTTGAGGATACCGTCCCGACGGCCTCGCGTCATCCCCGCAACGTTGAGCAGCTTAGTTCCATTGATCATATGGTTATCTGTGGGAAGTTTATTAGCAAGGACATTTCAAAACCAACAAGATTTATGAAAATTCTGACCTTCTCGTCGAGCGACGCAGACACCCTTGGACTCGACTTGGTAGCAGAGACTACCCTCATCTTCCCACAATGTAGCCGTAACTCTTGGTTTGGCCCCGGGAGGAGCGACTTGTCCTGTGGCGTCATAGATGTACCCTTGCAATGGTGCACCAGTTGTGTTTGCATAACCTTGGGTTGCCACAGGGTGATTTGTCACTACTTAGAAAGTCAGTCCTAGGTCTGCATCAAAAAAGGACAGGAGTGGCAGGGGGAACCAGAACGTACCCGGCAAAGGCAACAATTGAGCGGGAACCTGGGCACCCATCGACGTCGGGGGCTGGTGCCCTCCTTGTGACGAAGTAACACCCCCGGGATAGGCATATTGCGAGTATGAGCTGGCGGGTCCGTACGACGTCGAGGCGGGTTGCAGGACTGGCGGCTGCTGGTGATATTGGTAATGAGGGATCCCACCGGCAGTGGCCGCATGAGAAGCATACGGCTGAGCCGACGACAGATGCGAAGAGTGGACGTCCATGTACGGTTGAGTTTGGTTCATGCTGCCAATCGAGCTCGCGTGTGAATAATAACCGTCGCTCACCGGGTGTTGAGCAATCGAATAGTCCTGAGGAGCGGAAGAATCCAATGAGAGCCGGCCCTGGCCACCAGTCGCTAGATCTCCGGACGGCGGCGGGCTCCTGGCCTCGTTGACGAGAGGGGTCGACCCGGACAGACTGGTCCGCGCACTGGCGTTGTTGGATCCGGGGACCGATGGATCTTCGTAAGTCGCCCGATAGGACTGGCCCGAGATGGGCGGCTGCGAGGCCGTCGGTAAGCTGAGTGCCGGTAGTTTGTCGCCAGACAACAACGGTCTCTCTGCAGCGTGGTGGTTGTACCAAGGTATATCAACAGGACCTCTGGTGTGGACCTGCGAAATCGACGGCAGCTCCAGTTTTTCGGTTGGCGGGGTAAACGGCTATAATTATTCGAGAGGAATGAAGGCGTTGGACGTTGGACTCGAACACGTCCAACGTTCCAGAAGTAACGAAGTTAGAGCTTTTTTTTGGTTTTGTTGACCCTCTCCTTTCTTGTGGTCGGGGTGTTAGGAATCAATGTCTGAAATCAGCATGCAAAATTTGCCGTCGGCGATCGTTAAAAAAAACAGAGGAAATTTGACAAAAGAAAGAGCCAAGATGGATGCTGGCACGGAGTCGGGAGGCAATGCAGATATTCGTTAATGCTTTGGAAACGCAATGCAGCAAAATGCAAGATGTGCAATCGTAGTGGGCTCGTGGCAAGTCGTAAGCGTAAAATAAAACGGAAAACACCAGAAGATTCCTAGGTGCAACTGGACAGAGAAAGTCGCTATGTAGTTTTGTGTACTGGGAGAAAGTCTAGCTCCAGAAACTTGGGAAGATCTCGGTCGTCAAGCAGAACCATGAAAGTTGCTGTTTTTGTTTTTGGTATTTCGACGAAACAACAAAGCGCTTGCAGATGGTCAACAGGAATCGCTCAACCAAATCAGAAGCACGAAATCATGGGTCTCGTTTCAAATCGTAAGAAGGGGGCGGAAAAAGGACGACGTGACAGTCCAGCATCAAACGTCGATGAGGGCCTTCTCTCGAGGATCCGGGTTCTCCCACGCTATTGTACCCGAGGAGGGAAGGGGGAGAGATCAGAGAAGTCGCAAAGACGAGCAACGAACGGTGGATCTCGGACGGTGGTGGCGATTCGTAACAGGTCGTAGCAGGTCGTCGAGTAACAATTGGCGTGAAGCTGCAGCGCAGAAATACAAGTGGAAAAAAGCGAGCAGTCTGTATGAAACAAAGCAAAAGCAATAAGTAAGCAGGGCGTTCAAGTCATCAGCATGATCATGCAGAGTCAGAAACAGGAAAAGAAAAGTCGGGTGCAGTGAGTGGTCGAGGAGAAAGAGTTCAGACGGGAAGCAGTATGTATGTATAAGAGAAGTGTCAAACGGAAGGGATGCTACACTAACGAGGCGGACAAGGGAGGATGGGGGAGGTGGGTGGGCACTGGTAAAATCAAAAAATAGAAATTCAAGCTCACGCATGCAGAAAGAGGGGAGGGGAGGGGGCAGATGAGATATGGGGATTTTTTTTTAAAAAAAAAAAAAAAAAAAAAAAGAAAAAAAAAGAAAAAAAGAAAAAAGAAAAAGAAAATAAAAAATAATCATGCAACAAAAATAAAACAAAATAGCAATGATCTCAGACACTCCGGATGAGGATCATAGCAGACCGAGAATCCAAAAAATAAAAACGAAATCGAAACAAATCAGGAAAGAAAAAAAAAGGTTCGGGGCGGTGGAGAGGGAAGACGCGCGAGAGAGGAAAATGAAATGATTGCAGTGCCGCAGGAGCAGCAGCAGATCATACACGAAAGGTGGAGGAGGCTGGGGGCGCACAGCAAACGCAGGCCCCAGACTAAGCCTAATTATTCTCTGCAGCGGCTGGGCGGGTTGGTGTTTCTGGACCACGCCGGCACCCTTTTGTCTCGACGAGAAGCAGGTCGAGTCGGTCGACTGCGGGATCTGGGAGATGGCGGGGAGGGAAGGGGGAAAGAAATACAAGACGTCGAGCCCAAAGGGAGAGGGGGGGGGGGAAGAGAGCCAAAGCACCGAAAACGAAGGGAACGAGAGCAGACGAATGAATATGAGGCCGAGGGCGAGGGAAGGGGGGAGGGAAAAGGAAATAAAAACCGAGCACAGGGAGCGAGATATACCAGCGTTAGGACATTAATTTTTCTTTTTTGGTATCGTCCCCCCCTTGTTGGTTTGGCAGGGTCGGGAAAGGGAAGTAATTGGCAGGCAGGCAAAGTACGGCAGCTGAAGGGGAAGACGATGGAAGAGAGGGGGGATTTTCAGACGAAGCTCTGAACCACGGCCAGCGAATCACTGGGTGACGGATGGGCCGAGGAGGGGAAGGTTGGGAGCGAGGATTTGGGTCGAGAGGGGAAGAGCCGGTGGAAGTACTGGCTTGACCGACAGGAAGGAAGGAGGGGGTCACCGGCCGCCGTTCCAGCTTTTCCCGCCGACTGCGAGGCTGGTTTGGCAGGCCTTGACAGGTGCAAATTCCAGCCAATTTATGGGGAATAAGACATTTCCAGAAAACTCTCTCCCTTTCAGATACTAGGTAGATCGTCGCGAACAACGCAATTCATCCCTGGACTCGTCCAGCTCCCAGTATCCTCATCCAAAGGAGAGCGAGCCGGCCTCGGGGGTTGGTACCAACGGGTGGTATTGGAACGGCCGGATATTGTATACACACCACCCGGCAGCAAGGAAGCATCCAAAAAAAACACGGAAGGAAACAACCATAAAATAAAACCATAAAATAAAATCAAAAAGAACAGCACCTCAACAACCACGAAGTCGAGAACCAGGTGTACGGGCGGTGGAAATAACACGAACATAAAATCACAAATAATGGAAAAATCATGGACCTACCGGCACGTGTCGCTGGTGATTTTCTTGAATCACCGGTTTCTTTCGAGACCTGCTGCGCGGGAATGTAAGAGAAGCTGCAAGGCAATTGTTGCTGGATTGCCAGAATGTCTCTGATGCTTCGAGCTTGAGCCGTGTTGGTGCGTTTTCTGGGTCTCGCGTTATCTGTGGGAAAGCCCCGGCTGGTTCCGTCTTCTTGGGTCCCGTTTGGATTCGGTGCTGAGCTGAAGAAAAGGGAACTTGAAGAGAGACTGAGGAAGAGAGATTGCACTGGGGATAAGTAGCAAGTCACTGGACTGTCCGTCCCTATACCTGCTAAGTACTTAACATGTCCTAGATGAAGAGAGAAAAAATGATTAAAATAAAATAACATCCATCGTAATTAAAAAAAAATAGGAAAAATAAAAAAAGGAAAATAATATAAATGTCAGCAACCCAAGGGCCAAGAGGGGAGGGATTATTAAAAAAATAACAATAATAATTAAAAATAAATAAAATAAAATGATGTTTTTTTTTTTTTTTTTTTTTTTTTTTTTGGAGATGTGGATCCCGCGATTTTCAAAAATGAAAAACAAAAAAAAAAAAAAAAAAAAAAAAAAAAGAGGATTTTCTGGGAAGACAACAACCGTGCGTCTTGCTTGCGGAAGAGCGGAGAGATACGCCGTCACCAGGATCTGCTGGTGCTGCGCTCAACTTTTTCTCGCGCGCTCTCTGTTTCTCTGGCAGGGTCCAGAAGCCCGGTGTCAAGCTCAGACAGCGAGATTCTCGCAGAACCGCCACGAAGCAAGGACCACCGGCCGGATAAGCTAAACAAGACGCCGGGCAGGAACCACCGTTTGGGCTAGGACGATGATGATCCGGTCGATGCGCTGAGGACGGGGATTGGCCAGTTGCAGAGCGAGAGGGGGGTGAGAGCAGCGGGCGGAATAGAGCGGGTGGAAAGACTCCTCGAGGAATCTGAACGAGGCAGAGGAATAAAAAGAAAAGAAAAGAAAAGAAAGTATGTCCTTCACGTACCTGTACGTCGGAATAGATTCGAGCACAATGGATTCGATCAAAAGCTGGCTCTGGAGTGGACAGCGAGGATGGTACAGATGTCCAAAGAATGTCGTCCGATTCTGCAGGGTCGAGCCACCATTAAGAAACAATTCACGCCGAGCAAAGCCTGAGTATCATATTGCTGACCACTTCGGAAGACCCATCTGATTAGGAAAGAAGAAAAAAAGTGAAAATTAAATGAAGTCCCAAATAAGTGGATGGATCGGTTTTTCCTCCCTTCAATCCCCTATTGTTTTTTCCTGGTTCCTGATGATATTACATTTACTCTCAGCTACAACTACAACCATTTGGGGAAATTGCTCTACCAAGTGAGAGGAACGCGGGAGGAGGGAAAGGAAAAAAAAAAAAAAAAAAAAAAAAAAGGAGAAGGCCAGAAGGCAGAAGGCAAAAGTAGAAAAGTACGATTGACCAGGATGTTTGGAAATAAGCAAATCAAAAAAATCAAAAGAAATTGCAAGACCCTCTGCTTCGAATTGACCGCGATGGTCGGTAGCCACTGTGAACTGTTGGGACCGATCGCGTTGCTGTAAGTCATTCGATCGTCCTGCGCTGCTGGGATGATGCTGGATCGGCCTGGAGGGACGATCGGTGAGGAGCCTAAGAAAATGCATTATTATTATTATTTTCGTTATTACATGTTATGGTGGTTATTTTATGGCCATTAATATTCCCAAGACTGGTTAATCCCCGTCAAGGAAGAGGACCAAACCCTCTGCCCGATACCCTACCGGAGTATGTACGTACATGCCTCGTTGCAACTCTGTTCTTCCTGGTGCCCCTTCCATGGGAATAATGGGGGCAATATACGGGAATATATTGGACACTACCCGGCAATCGAAGCCTATACCATTGGAAGGAGTCCCCTTGTATCAAAGTTGAAGATCTTTCAAAAAATAACAAGCGAGTTACCTTGAATTTCACTGGGGATGGTTCCCATGGAAAGAGCGGATCTTATTACAATCAGGAGTCGTACAGGCAAGAGCCAGAATGATCCAAGTCCAGTCCAGACTGATAGGCGCAGAAAACACCCCGGAGCTAAAGCGAAACAAAATGACGGATGAGATGACAGGCGTGTTCCAGGTTCGAACAGTTGTCTCCACGATGGAGGCCCCACTCCGCGAACCAAGGGCCGGCCGTAAGCTTTCCCACGGAGCCTTCAGCCATACCGAATTTCTTACGGGAAAGTATGCTGCACCAGTGGTACCTCGACGGTTCCGGTGGATGAAGAAAGGTTTTTTTTATACTTAGTACCTGCCTCCTGACCGATTGACGTACATGCTTCCTGATGGACAAGAAGCATAATGTCATTATCTGCTGGATTGGGGATTGGGTTTACGTTTTCTTTTTCTCGCGCGACAAGAGCCTACGGGGACCATCCCAGCGGTCGGTCAGTCCTGCTTGCCGAGGCGGGCAGGCAAAACAGCATAGGTGGCTTCGATTACCGACAACTGCACCTGTGTTCGGTATGCAATGTCCACGCTGATCCTGATGGCGCAGTCGGCACGACAGCTTCCCGACCCAAAACGTTCCTCGGAGCGAATAAAGGAGGCGGACCAACACCAATAATGACGATAACTGCGGAGAGGGGGAGAAATTAATTGGGATAAGGGAGCCCAGCAGATGCAAGATTCACGCACTCTAAACGTCGTGTGGATCATTGAGTATCTGTAAGAGCGGGAAGTAGGTATTCGACACAGACCAACGAACTTTCTGGGCTTACGAAGTATGTGGAATGGGGATATCTACGCAGTGGTTTAACAAGGGCAATGATATGGCGGTCTTAGACTGACAACTATTGACTATAGTGAGGATGGTGCTGAGGAAAATAAAAAAAAAAAAACGGAAATAAAAAATAAAATAAAAAGTTCGGAGGGAAATTCACATGGAATACAGCCCGAGTAGGCGGTCGTAGCTGGGGAATGTACTCTCGTACATTGTAAATCCCCTCATGTTTTGATTAGTGTTTACTATGTTAAATCCCCTCGGAGATCCGATTTTCCTCTCCCAGTCAGTGACCCGAAGTATGCCGTGGGGGAAGAAAAAAAAGATGAAAAAGGCTCAGTGAGAGTGAAAAATATTTTCCACAAGCGATCCACCCGAGACTTCCTCTTTTTTTTTTTTTTTTTTTTTTTTTTTTTTTTTTTTTTTTTTTTTTTTTCCGCGCTTCACTAATTATCTGTGATTGTTCTCTGTATTTCTTGGACAGAGAAGCTACGGAGTAGAGCCAATCCGTACGGGTTACAGAGAATATACCAGCGGCCAAACTAACAATACGAGATCTTTTGCTAGGCGCCATCCGCGAGCAGACTAGAGGACGCCAGCGATGAATAGCCTCCAGACCAAGTGGGAACCCCTTCCGGTGATGGGGGACCCATTGGTCATAGCCTTGGCCTCGGAGCTGGTGGTGTGTGCGATAAATAATTTAAGGCTTTCGGGACGATCTGGAGGGCGTTAGAGTGCGGGCCCCGCCAAATACCAACCCAAAGGCCGCTGACAAGTCACCACGATCGGATGATGGAGTATAACGAGGGTGACTGGTCAACTGTGGTATTTGCCAGGAAACAGATTTTTCTTTCCTCTTGATTGACTATATTGAACACTATCTCGAATCTTATTTACCGGCAGATACCTTGATTCAGGAAAGGGCCGGGCAAAGATCGGTAAGGGAGTTAGTTAACCGTGTTTCCTGAATTTAGTTTGATTACTGGGTTAATTTATTTTTATTTATCATCTAACCCCAAAGGGGGCGAAACGAAAGGCAGACAGAAGAAATTAAGAATAAACTAAAATAGAATCGAGCAGCGAGAGGGAGAGGGAGAGGGAGCGAGAGATGAAAATAGGTTGTATGCAAGCAAGCGAGGACAACCATGTCACACAAGAGGTCGCAGAAGAAGAAACAAACCAGGATTAGAAAGGCCTGGCAGGGGTTCGTGCAGATGGCAGGGATAAATCACTGGCTGAGAGCGCACCACGAAAGTCAAGGTGGCGTGCGAGCAACAGTCGATCAAGCTCTGTGTCTGGTCGGTCAGAATTAATGGCCGGGAAAAATTAATTAGAGGGTATTAATGAGATCTGTTCGATGTTAGGTAGGTATACTGGTCGTACCTAGTACGATGACATCCCCCTAATCGGTGGTGGCCAGGCATTCCTACCGCCTTTTTGGATTTTTGCTTTTTGGCCTCTTTCGGCTTAGTTGGTATCTCACTTCGCCCAGTTGAGCATCCGAATGAGATATATTGGCCCTGTCATAACTACCTGGTCGCAACCTCGCTCACCCACCTCAGCCCTTCTCCTCCTCCCTCCCCCCCCTTGATCTACTATTAACACCCTAGTCTCAGTTGCAATACCAATCTCTGCCCTGTCCCGACCACCCACCACGTACGGAGTATGTACGTACCATGACTAGCCAGTTTTCTCTTTTCCTATATGAGAACCTGCCGTTGGATAGATCAGACAGGCCCGGGTACGGCGAAGAAGTCGGTCAGGAAGAAAAGCCCAACCCCATGTCCCTCGCCCACGACCCTTGTGAGTCCGCCAAAATTCTCCGCTGAGGATGCTTCCAGACTTTCCCACCTGCGTGGGTCTTGAATCCAGTTACTGGATGGC